TGATACTTTGAATATTACATGTTAATAACTTGATTGGAATTATAACCTTGAATTGACAGTTTGATACTTTGAAAATTTTGAGCCAGCCCTACCCCCAAGGGCTGTAGGTGCTAGTTTCAAATCCTTTTTAGTCTGAAATATGTATGCTAGATATTGAGTAAGGTGGTTTTATTGTTTTTTGTCACTTTGAATAATATTTCTGTTCATGTTAAAAACAAAATCAACTCTCTGTATAAATATATCAGGTGACCGTTAAGGCCCATGGGCCTCTTGTATAATAAAGTCAACACTGTGGGGCATAGCACGTGTTCTAGTTACACTAAGTTAGGGTATAACACTATTTAGATTTTATAATAAAGTCAACACTGTGGGGCATAGCACGTGTTCTAGTTACACTAAGTTAGGGTATAACACTCTTTAGATTTTATAATAAAGTCATCACTGTGGGGCATAGCACATGTACTAGTATGTATAAATATATCAGGTGACCGTTAAGGCCCATGGGCCTCTTGTATAATAAAGTCAACACTGTGGGGCATAGCAAGTGTTCTAGTTACACTAAGTTAGGGTATAACACTCTTTAGATTTTATAATAAAGTCATCACTGTGGGGCATAGCACGTGTACTACAAACACTCAGTTAGGGTATAACACTGATTAGATTTTATAATAAAGTCATCACTGTGGGGCATAGCACATGTACTAGTATGTATAAATATATCAGGTGACCGTTAAGGCCCATGGGCCTCTTGTATAATAAAGTCAACACTGTGGGGCATAGCACGTGTTCTAGTTACACTAAGTTAGGGCATAACACTATTTAGATTTTATAATAAAGTCAACAGTGTGGGGCATAGCACATGTACTAGTAACACTAAGTTAGGGTATAACACTATTTATATTTTATAATAAAGTCAACAGTGTGGGGCATAGCACATGTACTAGTAACACTAAGGTAGGGTATAACACTATTTAGATCTTATAATAAAGTCATCACTGTGGGGCATAGCACATGTACTAGTATGTATAAATATATCAGGTGACCGTTAAGGCCCATGGGCCTCTTGTATAATAAAGGCAACACTGTGGGGCATAGCACGTGTTCTAGTTACACTAAGTTAGGGTATAACACTCTTTAGATTTTATAATAAAGTCAACACTGTGGGGCATAGCATGTACTAGTAACACTAAGTTAGGGTATAACACTATTTATATTTTATAATAAAGTCAACAGTGTGGGGCATAGCACATGTACTAGTAACACTAAGGTAGGGTATAACACTATTTAGATCTTATAATAAAGTCATCACTGTGGGGCATAGCACATGTACTAGTATGTATAAATATATCAGGTGACCGTTAAGGCCCATGGGCCTCTTGTATAATAAAGTCAACACTGTGGGGCATAGCACGTGTTCTAGTTACACTAAGTTAGGGCATAACACTATTTAGATTTTATAATAAAGTCAACAGTGTGGGGCATAGCACATGTACTAGTAACACTAAGGTAGGGTATAACACTATTTAGATCTTATAATAAAGTCATCACTGTGGGGCATAGCACATGTACTAGTATGTATAAATATATCAGGTGACCGTTAAGGCCCATGGGCCTCTTGTATAATAAAGTCAACACTGTGGGGCATAGCACGTGTACTAGTAACACTAAGTTAGGGTATAACACTATTTATATTTTATAATAAAGTCAACAGTGTGGGGCATAGCACATGTACTAGTAACACTAAGGTAGGGTATAACACTATTTAGATCTTATAATAAAGTCATCACTGTGGGGCATAGCACATGTACTAGTATGTATAAATATATCAGGTGACCGTTAAGGCCCATGGGCCTCTTGTATAATAAAGTCAACACTGTGGGGCATAGCACGTGTACTACAAAAACTAAGTTAGGGTATAACACTGTTTAGATTTTATAATAAAGTCAACACTGTGGGGCATAGCACATGTACTAGCAACACTAAGTTAGGGTATAACACTGTTTAGATTTTATATTAAAGTCATCACTGTGGCCACGGTGGCCAAGTGGTTAAGGCGTCTGACATTCTGCTACCACTAGCCCTCCACCACTTGGTAGCGGGTTTGAGGCCTTCTTGGGGCAGTCGCCAGGTACTGGCCGTAGGCCGGTGGTTTTTCTCCGAGAACTCTGAGAGCTATATATATATTAAAAGGACCTAAAACACAAGCAAAACAAACCAAAGCTTGTTTGACCTATTGCCATTGATTCTGCTGAACGTTGTGTGCTTTCTACTGTGCTCCATCCTTTGTCTGTTAAAATTTCAAGTTTTAAACGTCTTGAGTACTCAGGATGAAAGCTATCAATTGTGTTCAAAGAAATGACTTTGCACAACTTCTAAGTCACAGGGGTCAGATTTATTTTAAAGTTTTGTAATGTTATGCTATGTAAATATTTTTTTTTTATTTATTTCAACAGACGACTGTTGTTAAGTATTGTCAGATTGGAATTAGAAGCTAGCTCACCAATATTTTTTGTTCTAAATAATTATTGATATGACATATATATCAGAAACCACTACCTGTGTACAGTCCATGCTGCCAAGATGATGGTACCTAGGAGGCAGGGACTCATTGTCAATGTATCGTCTGTCGGGGGACTAACCTATCTCTTCAACGTGCCTTATGGCATTGGAAAGGAGGCTGTAAGTTTTGAATGATTTCTGTTCAAGATATTTGTTTTCTTCATTTCCAATATTTACGTACTAGAATGGAATTTAAACAAAATAAGCTGTATACAAGTATAGTTAGTACCGGGCGTAGTTCTATATTATCTAGATGTATATTTCGTGTCAGATCTTTTCTTACCAGTGACATTACACGACATCTTAAATGGAAATACTGTCATTGCAAACTCTGAGTTACTTTAAATAACATACAACATACATAATTTACCAGTTGTAAATCGGATATTTTGTGTTTATCTGTCTCACAGTGTGACAGAATGGCTGCAGATTGTGCAGTAGAGTTGAAGAAACACAACATAGCCATGATCAGTTTGTGGCCTGGGGCAGTGAGAACGGAACGTATCAACTTCTTCCTCGAACAAGGTTCCACTAAAAGTGGGGTGAGTTTAAATTGTAACATTAAAAGTTATTTACAATATTAGTACAGAACTGTCTAAACTGGCCTCTATCTATGACGGATACAGTATTCGCGGAAATTAGCACCCAGGACACTTGAAAAATGGGCTAAACGGGGCACTTAATGACATAAAAGAATATAGGTTTTGTCACCTTTACACCAAACGACACAAGGCAATTAGTTGGACACATTTTAAAATTGTTTTCTAAAAGATTGTAAAACAGTCTTGTCAGATTTTGAGATGTCTTGATATAAAGTGTTTTTAGTGTTTTATAATTTGTTTACTGAATGGAGATTGTTTGGGAAAGGGTGGGGGGGGGGACATATATTATTTAAATAAGTGCCCAATAAAGGGAAGGGGCACCTGTTACAGGAAATAGAACCTTTTGAATAAACTTAGTTATTAGGGCCTGGTTGTTTACCCTCCATGTTGAGTCTGGATTTAAATTTTTCCTTCGTTGACCCCCGCAAAATTGGGATTTTTTTTCATATGTAAAATGTGCAATCCATTAACTGATAATTTTGTTTTTGTTTAACTTTGTTTAACAACCTATTAACAGCTAAGGACATTTAAGGACGTGTCTCCATGTTTGTAGTATTTGTGTATGCAGGGGACAGGGTATGTTGGTGTACTTGCCTCCTTGTGATAGCGCGGATCTGATGCCGATTTTATAGTGCTATCTCAAAGAAATACCATGCCAAAAGGCACCCAGCACAGCATTTTGCCCGGTCACATTATACTGACAAAGGGTGAACTAGTTGTTGCCATTTTCCCTAAATGGTGAACGTTAAGCAGGGAATAATAACTACCATTTTTAAGGACTTTGGTATGTCCCGGCCTGGGGACAGAACCCATTGCCTTCCTCGCCTGGGTGAACTCATGGTAATTAATAAGATGTAAAATGTTAATGTTTTGTGCATTTTCTGTTCTCCTCTGTACTTATTTCAAACTACATTAATAAGTGTCCCGCATCGGAGATGGGGATGCGTAATAGTAATCTCTGTATCCGCCTGTCCTTCTGTCCATCAACACTTTCATTTCAGGAGATCCAAAAAACTAATCTATCTGAAATTTGACATGCTGATATACTGAGACATGAAGATGTGCAATAGGGGTTTAAAAAGTTTCTAAGGTTGAGGTCACTAATATCTAAAAATAGATCAGGAGGCTGGCTGTGGGGGTGTATTGTCCTGTATTATCTCGGAATCCAAGGTTAGTCTTATTGAAATTCAATACGGTGATACATGTATCACATGTTTGTAGATATGCAATAGGATTTAAAAGTTTTTAAGGTCAAGGTCACTGTATCTAAAAATAGACCGGTGGCGGAGCAGGTTCTTATCTCAGAATACAAAAGACTAATCTTTTTTAAATTTGTTGAGACATTGTTTATGTTTAGATTTGCAATAGGGGTTAGAAATGTTTTTTAGGGTAGGTCAAGGTTACTAAATATTAACCATGGGGAGTAAGATCAGGCTGGACTTTAGCTGACCTGTCAGTGTTCTAGGTTAGAACACTGACATATTCAGAATAGGATATCCAGAATTGATCTTAATCTGCATGAACATATATTGTATAAACCTGTCAAATATTTCGATCCCAGCAATATCTGTTTCATAAAAAGTAAAATCACATCTGTAGTTATATAGATATATCTAGCATTTAAGCCCTTAAGGAAATATCTGATTGATCTATTTTTGTTTTGTAGGGAGATGATATGAAAAGTGTATTTGAAGAGGGAGAGACTATAGAATACTCTGGCAAAGCTGTGGTCGGTCTGGCGTCAGGTATGATCATACATTTGCAGATCAGTAACTGTCCTACTGACTGACCCATAACTGTCTTACTGACTGACCCATTACTGTCCTACTTACTAATCCATAACTGTCTTACCTACTGACCTATAACTGTCCTACTAACTGACCCATAACTGTCCTACTTACTGACCCATAACTGTCTTACTGACTGACCAATAACTGTCCTACTAACTGACCCATAACTGTCCTACTTACTGACCCATAACTGTCCTACTAACTGACCCATAACTGTCCTGGGGATTGACCCATAACTGTCCTACCTACTGATCCATAACTGTCCTGCTAACTGACCCATAACTGTCCTACTAACTGACCCATAACTGTCCTACTAATTGACCCATAACTGTCCTACCTACTGATCCATAACTGTCCTACTTACTGACCCATAACTGTCCTACTAACTGATCCATAACTGTCCTACTAACTGACCCATAACTGTCCTACCTACTGACCCATAACTGTCCTACTAACTGACCCATAAATGTCCTACTAACTGATCAATAACTGTCCTTCTTACTGATCCATAACTGTCCTGCTAACTGACCCATAACTGTCCTACTAACTGACCCATTACTGTCCTACTGACTGACCCATAAATGTTCTACTTACTGACCCATAACTGCCCTTCACACTTATTCATCCTCATACAGTGAATCAAAACTGACTTACAGACATACTTGATGACACCTTTAATTCTCTACAACCCTGTTAGATACATCAAGTCCATGGTCAATGCATATTGCAGTCAGAAATAACCTCCTATTTAACTTTGCTCTGCGCTATCAGAAAGAGTTAGAGATACCAAATTTCAGAATTTGTCATTTTTTTCATTTATTGACGTACTTACTGACCAAGTGTGTATTGACACATATTACTTAGATTTGTCTACTTGTCGACCTACATGTAGGTACTTACTGACCTGTTAGATATATGTTGTCCATGGTTATTGCAAATATTAATTCAGTTATCAGCTTTATTATGGTAACCATAACAAAATGGTCTGAATATCTTTCTTCAAAAGCTTGAATATTGGTGTGTAACTTCATATGTCCTTCAATCAGCGTAAATAACATCATACCTTGATATATCACATTTACCTTCGAACAACCTATGTTTTATTATTTATGTTTGCACATGGAATTTATTAAAATGTTTTTAGAGCTCATTGTTGAATTAAATAAATTAGTAAAGCATTTATATATTAATAATACAGTAACATTAAGATTACTTGTGTGTGTTCATTTACTACTACACAATCATATAGCTGGTACTACTAGCACCTAAAACGTGTTCCGTCGTACCAAATGATGAGTGTGTGGCAGAACTGGACTTTTTTTTGTAATAACCTTTTTAGGTTACCTGACCATAGGTCATGGTAACCTATTGTGATAGTCTTTTGTCCGTCGTGCTTCGTGCGTTAACTTTTCCTTGTGAACACGATAACTTGAGTAAATGTTAACCGAGTTTGATGAAACTTTGTATGCAGCCATATATCAATAAGATCCCAGACGAGTTCAAAAATGGGAATTATTCGACAGTAAGTTACAGAGTTATTGCCCTTTGTAATAATATTATTATTGGACCTTGTGAACACAAGAACTTGATTAAATGTTAACCGATTTTGATGAAACTTTGTATGCAGCCATATATCAATAAGATCCCGGACTCTAAATGGGAATTATTCGACAGTAAGTTACAGAGTTATTGCCCTTTGTAATAATATTATTATTGAACCTTAAGCTTGTGAACACAAGAACTTGATTAAATGTTAACCGATTTTGATGAAACTTTGTATGCAGCCATATATCAATAAGATCCCGGACTCTAAATGGGAATTATTCGACAGTAAGTTACAGAGTTATTGCCCTTTGTAATAATATTATTATTGAACCTTAAGCTTGTGAACACAAGAACTTGATTAAATGTTAACCGATTTTGATGAAACTTTGTATGCAGCCATATATCAATAAGATCCCGGACTCTAAATGGGAATTATTCGACAGTAAATTACAGAGTTATTGCCCTTTGTAATAATATTATTATTGAACCTTGTGAACACAAGAACTTGAGTAAATGTTAACCGATTTTGATAAAACTTTGTATGTAGCCATATATCAATAAGATCCCGGACAAGTTCGAAAATGGGAATTATTCGTCAGTAGCTTACAGAGTTATTGACCTTTGTAATATTATTATTATTGGACCATGTGAACACGAGAACTTGAGTAAATGTTAACCAAGTTTGATGAAATTTTGTATGCAGCCATATATCAATAAGATTCCGGACTCTAAATGGTAATTAATCGACAGTAACTTCAAAACAGTTTAAAACAGACTCCTTGAGTCAAAATTGGAGTCACACCCATTTATTTCAGTTATCGTGTTCACAGGGTCCAACAATAATAGAATTACCAAGGGGAATAACTATGTAAGTTATGGTCAAATTGGTCCGGTATTCAAACTCATCCAAGATCTCATTGATACAAAGCTGCTTACAAAGTTTCATCAAAATCGGTTCATATTTACTGAAGTTATTGTGTTCACAAGGAAAAATTAATGGACGATGCAGCAAGGTCACTCGGACCAACGAAAAGTATGAATTGGCCCCAGGATGCCAGTATTAATTTGAATCGGATGTCAGGTGACCGTTAAAGCCCATGGGCCTCTTGTTCTGTATGTACTAGATCCCAACATCATGAAGAAGACAGGAAAGATCCAGCTGTCAGCTGACCTTGGATATGAGTATGGGTTCAAGGACATTGATGGTAAGTATTAAAGGTCAGGACCTTGCAGTAAATCAACATTAAGTGCCCTCCCGAAGTGCTTAGTCACTTTAAATAACAGTTTCTGCACAAGTTATGTTAAATCATGTCAGTCTAATTTCAAAGGAACAATTTTTGGATAAATACAGAATGAAGATAAACTACATGTTAGGGAAATATTTGTTGATTATGCCATAAAATTGTGGGGGGGGGGGCATATAGTGTTGCCCATGTCCGTCCTGTCCCGTCGCTTCCTGATTCAATGTAAACACTTCATTCTTAGACAGATTTTTGTCAAACTTTATACAAAGGTCAAGTATGAGTATACTTCGGACATCGTTGTGTTTCAGGGGTCCAAGGTCAAGGCGAAGGTCACACTTGCTATATATAGAAAATCATCAACTGATTCAATTTGAACACTTAGGAACTTCATTCTTTCACGGATTTTGGTCAAACTTTATATAAAGGTCAAATATGGGTATACCTCTGACATCCTTGTGTTTCAGGATGGTAATAACATACAGAAAAAACATATGAATATAAAAAACATATGAATATTTAAATCAACTTATCAACTTTAAGTGTAGTACCTTGTGTGTGTGCATGTTTCAGGGTTCAAGATCAAAGTGGTTGTAACTTTTTATAGAACACTGAAACTAATTTCACATGGACAGCGGGGGCATTTATGTCTTGCAGACATTTTCTAGTTTCTCTAGTTATATGTGTAAAAGTATTGTGTTACTGCAGATAATACTGGTGCCTAAGTTCAGGTCGCAGATAATGACTGGAAGTGAACAGAGAAAGGTTTGGCTGGATTGATCAGTATATATGTAAAAGTATATTGTTACTAAAGAAATACTGGTAACTAAAAGTATAGTGTTACTAAAGAAATACTGGTAACTAAAAGTATAGTGTTGCTTAAGAAATACTCGTAACTAAAAGTATAGTGTTTCTAAAGAAATACTGATAACTAAAAGTATAGTGTTACTAAAGAAATACTGGTAACTAAAAGTATAGTGTTGCTAAAGAAATACTGGTAACTAAAAGTATAGTGTTACTAAAGAAATACTCGTAACTAAAAGGATAGTGTTACTAAAGAAATACTGGTAACTAAAAGTATAGTGTTACTAAAGAAATACTGGTAACTAAAAGTATAGTGTTACTAAAGAAATACTCGTAACTAAAAGTATAGTGTTACTAAAGAAACACTCATAACTAAAAGTATAGTGTTACTAAAGAAATACTGGTAACTAAAAGTATAGTGTTACTAAAGAAATACTGGTAACTAAAAGTATAGTGTTACTAAAGAAATACTGGTAACTAAAAGTATAGTGTTACTAAAGAAATACTGGTAACTAAAAGTATAGTGTTACTAAAGAAATACTGGTAACTAAAAGTATAGTGTTACTAAAGAAATACTGGTAACTAAAAGTATAGTGTTACTAAAGAAATACTGGTAACTAAAAGTATAGTGTTACTAAAGAAATACTGGTAACTAAAAGTATAGTGTTACTAAAGAAATACTGGTAACTAAAAGTATAGTGTTACTAAAGAAATACTGGTAACTAAAAGTATATTGTTAGTAAAGAAATACTGGTAACTAAAAGTATAGTGTTACTAAAGAAGTACTGGTAACTAAAAGTATATTGTTAGTAAAGAAATACTGGTAACTAAAAGTATAGTGTTACTAAAGAAGTACTGGTAACTAAAAGTATAGTGTCACTAAAGAAATACTGGTAACTAAAAGTATAGTGTTGCTAAAGAAATACTGGTAACTAAAAGTATATTGTTAGTAAAGAAATACTGGTAACTAAAAGTATAGTGTTACTAAAGAAGTACTGGTAACTAAAAGTATAGTGTCACTAAAGAAATACTCGTAACTAAAAGTATAGTGTCAATAAAGAAATACTGGTAACTAAAAGTATAGTGTTGCTAAAGAAATACTGGTAACTAAAAGTATAGTGTTACTAAAGAAACATTCGTAACTAAAAGTATAGTGTTACTAAAGAAACACTCGTAACTAAACGTATAGTGTTACTAAAGAAACACTCGTAACTAAACGTATAGTGTTACTAAAGAAACACTCGTAACTAAACGTATAGTGTTACTAAAGAAACACTCGTAACTAAACGTATAGTGTTACTAAAGAAGCACTGGTAACTAAAAGTATAGTGTTACTAAAGAAACACTCGTAACTAAAAGTATAGTGTTACTAAAGAAACACTCGTAACTAAACGTATAGTGTTACTAAAGAAATACTGGTAACTAAAAGTATAGTGTTACTAAAGAAACACTCGTAACTAAAAGTATAGTGTTACTAAAGAAATACTTGTAACCAAAACCAGGAAGACTGAGCTGAAGTCATCAATACAAAGTTTTCAGTTTTAGGGTTCCAAGTTTGAAATCATTAGGCGGACCCCCATGTCTATTAGGCGGACCCCCATGTCTATTAGGCGGACCCCCATGTCTATTAGGCGGACCCCCATGTCTATTAGGCGGACCCCCATGTCTATTAGGCGGACCCCCATGTCTATTAGGCGGACCCCCATGTCTATTAGGCGGACCCCCATGTCTATTAGGCGGACCCCCATGTCTATTAGGCGGACCCCCATGTCTATTAGGCGGACCCCCATGTCTATTAGGCGGACCCCCATGTCTATTAGGCGGACCCCCATGTCTATTAGGCGGACCCCCATGTCTATTAGGCGGACCCCCATGTCTATTAGGCGGACCCCCATGTCTATTAGGCGGACCCCCATGTCTATTAGGCGGACCCCCATGTCTATTAGGCGGACCCCCATGTCTATTAGGCGGACCCCCATGTCTATTAGGCGGACCCCCATGTCTATTAGGCGGACCCCCATGTCTATTAGGCGGACCCCCATGTCTATTAGGCGGACCCCCATGTCTATTAGGCGGACCCCCATGTCTATTAGGCGGACCCCCATGTCTATTAGGCGGACCCCCATGTCTATTAGGCGGACCCCCATGTCTATTAGAGTTGATTTATGTTTCAGGTCGAGAGAAGGTCTCTATGAGGAATCTGAAGCAAATCCTGATGCTCTCCCCTAACACACAGTGGATAGGGAGGCTAACACCAGGGTTTATATACATACCTAAATGGATAATGTCTCTGGCAGGAAACAAGTTCTGAGAGGTGTACAGAACAGTGTTACTATTGGTGCTAACAGTATTATCGAGATGTGTGGAATGTGCCAAACTGTTCAGTGTATGATAGAAGTAAAAGGGATCAATTTCATTGTACATGTACTCATCTTATTGACAACATAAAGATGTACTCATCTTATTGATAACATAAAGATGTGGAGGTGTGCTGATCTAATGTGATGATAATTACGCTTTAATTATATTACCCTAGACCATTAATGGATGATATCTTTTCCAACCAATTTCAGACTTTCTAAAGCATGAGTACTATATTTTTGTTTGTTTTTCACAATCTATGATCCTTTTATAGAAACTAAATTACGATCATGATCAATTAATTGAATTAAAAACTTAATTATGCATTTGCTAATGTTAATTTACCCCCTGCAACAAAATGTTGGATGTATAATAGAACTATAGTCCTAATCTGCTTTCTTTGGAAGTCGTCTTCATCATAATCAGACGTGGTTTTACGTCGTGTCGTCTTCATCATAATCAGACGTGGTTTTACGTCATGTCGTCTTCATCATAATCAGACGTGGTTTTACGTCGTGTTGTCTTCTTCATAATCAGACATGGTTTTATGTCGTGTTGTCTTCTTCATAATCAGACCTGGTTTTACGTCGTGTCTTCATCATAATCAGACCTGGTTTTACGTCGTGTGGTCTTCATCATAATCAGACCTGGTTTTACATCGTGTGTGTTAGGGTTATTGAAAGTATGAATATTCGTGGATGTATACATCTCTCATCGTAAATGTACAGGAGGTATATTTTTATTATGGTATGGCGTTGTCTGTCCGTCTGTCGTAAACTTTTGTTTGTCCGGCAATCTTCTCCTACATTTTTCAAACGATCTCTTTGAAACTTGGAATTCATTATAATCATGATATGAAGTTGTGTCTCCCTTAAAAGAATTTTGATTCGACAATTTTTGCAAAAGTTATTGCCCTTTGTTTATTTCAGTATTTGATTTTTGTCCGGCAATCTCCTCCTACATTTTTAGACAGATTTCTTTGAAACTTAGTAGGCTAAATAATCATGTTATGTTGTTGTGTTTCCTTAAAAAGAAGTTTGATTTGACGATTTTTGCAAAAGTTATTGCCCTTTGTTCATTTCAGTATTTGATTTTTTTATCCGGAGATTTTCTCCTACATTTTTATAGCATGTCAGCTAACCACTCTTTGAATGATGCAGATCTTATTTCAATGTAAGAAAGTATATAACACTGTATGGCATTCGACGGGCATATATTGTTCCGCCCGCGGTACTCTTGTTTAGTAATTTTAATTGTCTTACTTTTGTGAGTAGTTCAATTTAGTTGCGTTGAAAACTTGTGATCCATTATCTGAAGTAATGAGGATTATGTCCGAGGTTCTGGTCAAAAATGTGTTATTCAGGATAGCATACTTTATGGCGTAGCTGCTTTTTGGTCTCAGATAGACCCCCTCACTACCTCTTCCACAGCTGATCCAGGAAAATTTGTTTGTTTGGGGTTATTGACCTCGCAACAGCCAAGGTCATATGAGGACAGGCATTCAGGAAAGAATAGACCTGTATGCCATATTTTAAGTTATCATTTGAGGAGACTAATATGTGGCCCCTGCAGATATGCTGGTTTTCTTGTGTAACTTCTACTTACGAGGACATTGAGGAGACGTCCTATTGTAACTTCTCTTACGAGGACATCGAGGAGACATCTTATTGTAACTTCTACTTATGAGGACATTGAGGAGACATCTTATTGTAACTTCTACTCACGAGGAGACATCTTATTGTAACTTCTACTTACGAGGAGACATCTTATTGTAACTTCTACTCACGAGGAGACATCTTATTGTAACTTCTACTCACGAGGAGACATCTTATTGTAACTTCTACTTACGAGGAGACATCTTATTGTAACTTCTACTTACGAGGAGACATCTTATTGTAACTTCTACTTACGAGGAGACATCTTATTGTAACTTCTACTTACGAGGAGACATCTTATTGTAACTTCTACTTACGAGGAGACATCTTATTGTAACTTCTACTTACGAGGAGACATCTTATTGTAACTTCTACTTACGAGGAGACATCTTATTGTAACTTCTACTTACGAGGAGACATCTTATTGTAACTTCTACTTACGAGGAGACATCTTATTGTAACTTCTACTTACGAGGAGACATCTTATTGTAACTTCTACTTACGAGGAGACATCTTATTGTAACTTCTACTTACGAGGAGACATCTTATTGTAACTTCTACTTACGAGGAGACATCTTATTGTAACTTCTACTTACGAGGAGACATCTTATTGTAACTTCTACTTACGAGGAGACATCTTATTGTAACTTCTACTTACGAGGAGACATCTTATTGTAACTTCTACTTACGAGGAGACATCTTATTGTAACTTCTACTTACGAGGAGACATCTTATTGTAACTTCTACTTACGAGGAGACATCTTATTGTAACTTCTACTTACGAGGAGACATCTTATTGTAACTTCTACTTACGAGGAGACATCTTATTGTAACTTCTACTTACGAGGAGACATCTTATTGTAACTTCTACTTACGAGGAGACATCTTATTGTAACTTCTACTTACGAGGAGACATCTTATTGTAACTTCTACTTACGAGGAGACATCTTATTGTAACTTCTACTTACGAGGAGACATCTTATTGTAACTTCTACTTACGAGGAGACATCTTATTGTAACTTCTACTTACGAGGAGACATCTTATTGTAACTTCTACTTACGAGGAGACATCTTATTGTAACTTCTACTTACGAGGAGACATCTTATTGTAACTTCTACTTACGAGGAGACATCTTATTGTAACTTCTACTTACGAGGAGACATCTTATTGTAACTTCTACTTACGAGGAGACATCTTATTGTAACTTCTACTTACGAGGAGACATCTTATTGTAACTTCTACTTACGAGGAGACATCTTATTGTAACTTCTACTTACGAGGAGACATCTTATTGTAACTTCTACTTACGAGGAGACATCTTATTGTAACTTCTACTCACGAGGAGACATCTTATTGTAACTTCTACTCACGAGGAGACATCTTATTGTAACTTCTACTCACGAGGAGACATCTTATTGTAACTTCTACTCACGAGGAGACATCTTATTGTAACTTCTACTCACGAGGAGACATCTTATTGTAACTTCTACTCACGAGGAGACATCTTATTGTAACTTCTACTCACGAGGAGACATCTTATTGTAACTTCTACTCACGAGGAGACATCTTATTGTAACTTCTACTCACGAGGAGACATCCTATTGTAACTTCTACTTATGAGGACATTGAGGAGACATCTTATTGTAACTTCTACTTACGAGGTGACATCTTATTGTAACTTCTACTTATGAGGACATCGAGGAGACGTCCTATTGTAACTTCTACTTACGAGGACATTGAGGAGACGTCCTATTGTAACTTCTACTGAGGAGGACATTGAGGAGACGTCCTATTGTAACTTTTACTTACTAGGACATTGAGGCGACGTCCTATTGTAACTTCCTTGTTGTGTCTCCCTAAGCATCCATCTTTAAAATACCTTGGCTGTTGCCAATCGAATCAAACATGATAACGTGGAGTATTGATGTGTGTACTATGTGTTCAGCTACGTTGGTAGAACATAAATAAAATGACAACATATCAAAAAGCATTGTCCGAGTATTTATTTCAAATAGTTAATAGCAATACTTGTGAGACGACCAACTTGTTTTGCTGGTTAATGCTACTAAGTGGTCTACTGTGATCTTCTTAAACATGTAGATCTTAATGAAATTGATGTGAAATTATTACATACCAAATAACTGAATTGAAAATATCACATGTTAAAGTAAGATAATATCTAACTTCATTAAGGGTATATACTACATTACACACTGTACCTGTACATGTGTTGCACTTATCTCCCTTTGAAAAATATAATTTAAAACTGTAACACATCTATTCCTATAAAGAAAATGGATAAATCACAACATACTCAAGCTTCACCAATAAGTCCTTTTTCTTTATATGTGCCTATATTCTGTAGTCGCCATGCATACCTTTTGGTATCCATACTCAAAGCGAAGCACCCCACTGATCGACCCACAGTTCTACACCTGACGTTGGCGATATTACCTAACATGTGTTCCTATTTACATTTGAAATTTGTCATAATCAATTTCCATTCATAAAAGACATTCCAGGTTTGTATGACAGTAAAACATATCCTGATGTTATTTTAGAATCCTTGCCATAATTAATTGCAAAATCAATAATTATGTATTGCAGTGCATTTCTAGATATCAGAAGTCATAAATTCCTGATATCAAATTTTGGATCAATTTTTTGTAATAGATGTTGTACATGATGACAATAGGCGAGTCATACAAATACTGTTAAAGTACCTATTTTAGTGGACTCAAATTTTAGCATATAATCAAATTTTAGATTAGTGCATTTACAATAAGAAATTATATACTGAAACTTTTGTTAGCAGTCATAATTTAGCCCAATATTTAGACTGAGAAAGCACTAAAATTAGAATACGTTTTCAATACTATATAGGGTCTCAACTGAGATACCCATTCTAGTTTCATTAACTTAACAATGGAAAGAAAGTGTTGTGTACTGTACACATACAGTATAAAGTGTTGTGTACTGTACACATACAGTATATATCATTGATGAATTGTCATTCTTAACATACAAATGTACCAGTTTAAAATATTGCTGTCACAACAGCAGGGTTACTTTAACAATTTGTTCTACATAGCAATGGGATTCAAAATAAAGCTAAAACTATTAGAAATACATTAAATTATGAAGTGAAAATTCCTGTCGGTGCTTGTCGCATGGTTAAACATTTGTTGCTCTTTATTGGCACATTATTGATAAATATTTGCAAAACAAGATAGTATTCCATTTTAGTTCACTCAGCAGAGCCCTGGAACCGTATACATGTAACCGTTCTCATTCTGCTCGAGCATGGGTTCTAGGCCCAAACCAACTTTCTTGTAACTTACTTGAATCATGTGACATGGTAACAAAGAAAAGTTTAAACAGTTCAAACAGTATTCGACTTGAAGTCCCTCAATGATTCTTCCAAAATCACTGACAAAATGTGATTTTGTTTATTCATTTATCACACGTGATTTTGTTTATTCATTTATCACTGGAGCAAATAATTGGGTTCAAGCACAGAATCTGAGTTTGAGCATGAGAATGGTTTCATGAATACGGGCCCTGGACTAGTCTACTGATGAACTAGTTCGGCTCCACTCCTAATGGAGGCACTATAAAAGGTGAACAGTTACTGATGCAATCAATGATGAATTGGATCGTCCGCTGGATAACCGAACTACTCGGTAGTGAAGCAGGCGTAAAACCAATCAATCTGATGAATTGGGTAAAGCTAAGTTAATCAATCCTGTCCAGAACAGGCTGAGGAATCGGTCACTTAGGAAGATGATGGTACTACTTGTCATTAAGTACATTATCTAGGTAATAGTGGTGACAGAATTATTTGAATGACCAATGGCAGATGAAGGATTGCATTCAGATGAAAATCTCTCATCAGCATATAATATTGCACTTTTTTAAGTATAGCAGATTACAACTACATAACCAATGTCTCTCACCATATACATAGTCACCGATTAAAACAAAACATTTTGAAAATCTTCACCTAATACAAAACCATTGTTATAATTTCAGTGGTAAAGTGTACCAAGGTAGTCATTTATTACTCCTGTACAAAATAATTAAAACACAACTGCATCATTTCTGTAATGATGTGGTTGGTGTATCAAATTTGAAAACAATCTATCAAGATGAATAAAACAAGATGCATGCCCAAGGTTAAGTTATTATGCTTTTGATGTACCGGTAATTAGAAAAGGGCAATTACTTCCTCTAAAATTAGCCTAATCATAATGACTGCACAGAGGTTTAATAACGAGTAAAGATACACATCTCATCAGTATTCTCAAAGTTTGAAAATAAACCATTAAGATGTGTTCAGCCTTATGTAAAAACAACATTGGAGCCATGGCCTGGGGGTTATTCAACAGGGTTAATTGTGGTAGAAAAAAAGTATCTATTACTTTTTATGAACGCTTTCGAAACAGTCAGGTACAGTATGGATATCACACAAACAAAATAGGTTATCTTGTTCCTAGACTAAGTAGAATCCAATTAAAATCATGTCCTCATTTACTACAATACTCTGCATACTAGTGAAGTATCACTATAAATTATCATTGTAAATTAGGGTATGTGTATTATTTTAGTTAGATAGGACTGTATTGTATTTCAGCACTAATTTTAGAGTAATATGCAGCATTGCAATGTCAAATACATCGCTTACAGTAATACTGTAATGGGAGGGATTGATAGAATCTTTCTCCCCCCTCGGGGCAAGATAGAATCTTTCTTCCCCTTTGGGGTGAGATAGAATCTTTCTTCCCCTTTGGGGCGAGATAGAATCTTTCTTCCCCTTTGGGGCGAGATTGAATCTTTCTTCCCCTTCGGGGCGAGATAGAATCTTTCTTCCCCTTCTGGGTGAGGTAGGAGAATCTTTGACTCTGTCGGGGTGAGATAGGTGAATCTTTCCCAGAGGGGAAAGATGTCCTATCTCACCTAAAGAGGGTGAATGATTATTTTATTCTTACTGTGTTGACCCTGTCATATGCATAATGCAACACTGACATTACAGGTTCAATGTATTGTTGACCTGACGTCATACAACATGCTTCGATGACGGAGGGATCCCGCCTCCCAACCCTTGGGTGAGACAAGGATAGCTCACAGTAGGTAATTTAAGTGTGGATACACCTGTACATGTCCAGTGTAGGAGAAACTGGTTTACAAATATGAAACAAATAATTTTTTTCAAGTGATAAATATGTTCCTTTATAAGCCCGTCCGCATAAAATACTTATCCTGAACCTTAACCATATAATTACAATAGAACAGAGACTTCTGTCTGTAACATGTCTACAACCAACATACACACACACAGCCCTTACTGTAACATATGTCTACAACCAACATACACACACACACAGCCCTTACTGTAACATATGTCTACAACCAACATACACACACACACAGCCCTTACTGTAACATATGTCTACAACCAACATACACACACACACAGCCCTTACTGTAACATATGTCTACAACCAACATATACACACACACAGCCCTTATTCTGGATATCTAGTAACACTTATACAACCACATTCTAGTTTGTCACTGCATGGGTACATGAATATTATTTTAATTTTACAAAAATACTGATAAGTGTTTGATCTAATTAAAATCAAAAATCTCAATTATGTTGACACTGTAAACGGTGTTTATCAAATTGCCACACTGGGGCCTTTTGAAAAACCATTGGCCTAGTTTCACATTCACCTTTGTACACTAACAGATACTTCTTACTATACATATATCGTATATCTTTTCCCTTAAGTTTAACTCACCCTTTTTTTCAAGGGAAAAATTGATAAAATTTCCTGTTTAACCATTTATCTCATTGATAAATTTAAAAACATGATTCCAATATATAACCCCTAGTCCACTAACTTTGTTCATAGGTTATAATAAAGAAATGCCTGTTTATTTGAGCCTGCATTACACATCTAACTAGGACGGACAATTTAACAATTAGTCATGTGTGGTAACGGTTACAGCAAACAGTGAGAATACATTGCAACTAACGGTGATACATGTGATTATAATGAGATTACTGATGGCATTGGGGACAAAACATAATATCCTAGTGTACATACATGTTCAATGGGCAAATCAAAAGGCACTTTGTGAAAAAGAAAATGATTCTGTGTCTAATTATCTACCATAATTACAGTGAATCAGCCTGCAATGAAAAAGTGGAGCCCTTCCTATCAACCTGTAACCTCTCGGCACACAACTGTTACTGACTACATGGAATGGAACAGTGATTTATGACCAAACAGTGATATGTATTACATCAACAGAAATTAATTGTTTTTGATGGAACAGGTAAATTCCCTCAATATTTTAAAAAAAAATGGGCCGTTTTCGTTTAAACGGTCAAACCGGTTGGACCACAGTTGTTCATTTATTAAATAAGATTGGACCTAGTAATCTGATGCTGCTTTCAGGCGAGCCTTGACAAGGCATTGCAAGGCCTGGATAAACATTTGCAGGTTCGCCAGGATTTATACCCGAAATTGTTACATTTATAAACGGTCAAACCGGTTGTTCCGCATAAACGAACAGGCCCTTGGAGTCACTCACAGGTAGTCCTTTAGAGAAACTACAAATCACAAGTCCTGACCTACACTGTGATGGGTCTCCGAATCAAACACTGAACAGAACAAAAGAAGCATGTCATAGTCAGTGCCGTTGATCACTAGCACTAAATATTCATCTGCCTTTAATTATTAATTCTAGAATACAATAATACCTAGGTATCCTGCCTAGTGTTTAATGGTCAATAGGTTGTTGCCAACATCATGTGATGTTTCTTTTTTTCTATTTTTCTTCTTTTCAACCTTGAACTTGATGTTGTCCTTAAAATATCGGTAAACACCTTTATACCATGAAATTTTAGTTGAAAAATTATTGGCAATATAAAAAGGATTTAATCTTTCCATTTCACAGTAAATTATAAAAGCAAGTGATCACTATAACAACAACAAACCTATATATAAACCAGCCCTGATTGGTTGTGAGGCATGCCAAGTTGTGTTATACGTACAACGAAACAAAGATAAGCAGCAGAAAGGAAGATGCCACTTTTCTTAAAAACAAATCTGACCTACACAACTTTTCAAACCTGAAGGATGTGCTCAGTCAACACTGATGAGCAGTGAAAATCTCAATACCTCATCACCCCTACATATCTAAATTAGACTTGCCCAGTCATTGATTTGGTAAGGTTTAAATGTGACCTTAGGGATGAATGAAGGACACAAAACACAAGCAGTTACAGCAGATAACACAAGACATAATTTCAAATAACAAAAGTACATTAGTCGTGAATTATTCAGCACAGTGTTGGACTAGGAACTACACACGTTTCTGACTATCTAAAACTGCTAGTGCATGTATTCTTTGAATGCAACATGATGTAATAGTACAAACTATACAAAAGCACTGGTGTTCCACACACCTCGCTGGCCATTAATGGCTCAACACACACATACATTACACAAAGTAATGGCTCAACACACACACATTACACAAAGTAATGGCTGTAAACACACAAACATTACACAAAGTTACTATCTGGTGTTCTACACACTTCGCTGGCCATTAATTGCTCAACACACACAAACAATACACAAAGTAATGGCTGTAAACACACAAACATTACACAAAGTAATGGCTCAACACACATAAACATTACACAAAGTAATGGCTCAACACACACACATTACACAAAGGAATGGCTGTAAACACACAAACATTACACAAAGTAATGGCTCAACTCACATACATTACACAAAGTAATGGCTCAACACACATACATTACACAAAGTTACTATCTGGTGTTCTACACACCTCGCTGGCCATTAATGGCTCAACACACACAAACATTACACAAAGTAATGGCTGTAAACACACAAACATTACACTAAGTTACTATCTGGTGTTTTACACACTCTTGTTGCCCGGTCAACACACGGTTGACTCAACAGATACAATTATCCCACAAAGTAACTACTAATAGTATCTTGTGTCCACACACCTCTGTTGCCTGGTCAACACATAAATGGCATCGTCACACCTCCTGTTGTCCAGTCAACACATCTTTGACTGAACAGACACATCTATTACACAAAATGACTATCTGGCATCGTCACACCTCCTGCTGTCCAGTCAACACATGTTTGACTGAACAGACACATCTATTACACAAAATGACTATCTGGTGTCCACACACCCCTGTTGTCCAGACAACATAAGGTTGACTCAACAAATGCATCATTTGAATATATGAACATGCAAACAGGCCCAGTACACATTTATACAGCTAGGTACACTACAGCATTACAAATAAACTAACAGACATAAACCTCTTCCCAAGGATTGCCCATGATAATATGTAGTATAAAGCTTTCTCTCTTCAAAGGGTTACATAATACAACATACTGAGACAAGCTGTTACACAGTAAACTTAATTTAAATTGCCATCATGATTATTTACAATCTCTGTCAAGCCTTAAACTTGTCTGCTATCACATGTTTATTAAAAGGAAGAAATCAAATGACGAGAAGCCGTTAAACTGTAGGCATGTCATTACATCATTGTCGTCATGTCACAAGGTATATAAAATATCTTCTACTTGTCTTACAGACTTGATGAATAATCAACATAATTTTACAAGTCGGACCATATTTTACTACTCTAGTCCAGTTGTTATGCACTATTTCAGATAGGATATAAAATGTTTTTTCTCCAACTACAACAAATAGGAGAAACTGAGTCTCTTAATACACCCCATCCCTGCTACATCCATGATTAAACTCTGTTTTAGGTAAAAGTGACCTTTACCTTTGACAATTGCAGCCATATTCAAATTTGTTACAGGCATAGCAAAGGTAAATAGGAAATTTCATCAAAATTTCTCAAGAAATATTGGGTAAAAATAAGAAAATAAGTCGTCAAAATGTCTTTTCCTTATATGTTAACTTTTTGGTGGTTTGCAAATAATTTCTCTACATTTGTAGTTTTAGCTTGATAGAGGATCAGATTTAATTCCTGGAGTTATTAGGCAAAAGTAAGAAAATAAGGTTTGCCTTGTGAAATAATGTTGTATATTCTTTGAGTTATCACAAAAAAACTGAGTCTATGAGTCAAGAAAGCAAAGTAACAACCACACACTATAAACTCCCTTCAACAATAACAAACATTTATAAAAGCTACCCGCAAACATTGGGCCATGAGGAATGATTCTATATAAACTACTGTAGGTATTTGACATACCAAGTGCCCCACCCCTTTTAAGCACCCCCTTATCCCTTGTTTCTGGTCTAAGAGTCTCATCCTTTCATAAAAATTACCAACTTTCATTAAAGTATCTTATGGCTATTTATGAACATATAGTTGTACTGGAAAGTTCTGCAATCATGCGATCAGAAACTGCTAAGCTTGCGGGGCATTTTTTAGATGATGTACGGTAAGTAATGAGATTTACATCTGAGATGATATGGTTGTTTACATACTTGTAAATAAAGCTTTGGGTTCAATTCAATGGTGAATTGATCGTCTTATTTTGAGGTCGATATAAGTTTGCTTTGCTATAATTTCATATTTGGTCTAAGTATTACATTGCAAATTCAAAATAAATTAGTGATTTATGTAAAAACTTTTAGGCAAGTCCTGAACTTCATTTTCAAAATGTTGATGAATTCAATTATTAAGAGATGTAGTGGGTTATGAAAATGTGGGCATGTCCAAAGAGGAAAAGCATGAGTGTAGGACTTGAATATCTGTGTGCCAAAAATCACTGATAAATTATCTAAACATAGCTACAAATGTTATCTAACATTTTCACCAAGTTACTAACAGACTTGCAACCATGTGACAGGTCACCATTACCTGTGTTTTCAGACAATTACAGCTCTCACATTGACAAGTCCTTGGTCCCATCAAAACAGTATTTAAGTCATTTAAATAAACTTCATCAACAGATATTACACACACGTGTCACATCAACAGATATTACACACATGTGTCACATCAACAGGTATTACACACATGTGTCACATCAACAGATATTACACACACGTGTCACATCAACAGGTATTACACACGTGTCACATTGACAGGTATAACACACACGTGTCACATCAACAGGTATCTTCAGTCATGCTTTCACATATAGACAAGTGTCACATTTAATACAATTACAAGCACTTCAACCTAAAAAAAGACTGATATCACATTTTCTGTCAAAATGGCAGGTCAAGTATCACACTTCCAGTTGTGGAGTACATGATTTCAATCGCCTAGGTGTGATGAGCACAGGTTTCACACGTCTAGGTGCACGTGTGGTGGACATATGTGTCACATATCCAGGTGTGGATTACACAGGTATGCCCTGGTGTCCTCACAAACATACAGGTATCACACATCGTCTCTTACACAAATGGACAGGTATCGCGTCAGATTTACACACCTGGATACACTGTAGTTAAGGTGTCACACCAAGTGGTCGGGGTAGTACATGCTGGTTGCCTGTAATTTCTTCCTTCGTTCTGTCACCCGGTAAATTGCCTTCTTAACCTCAGATGCTATAAATACACTTGACGTCAGGAATATTAGAAACACAAAATCTGCAACAGAAGTACAATAGGGTTACTTATGTCTGATCTCTGATCCGGTCCATTTCACTGTAATCAATCTAATTACTTCATTTCTTAACAGGTTTTTAGCAAACTACATGTATATACAAAAGTGAAGTATGAGACAGTCTCAAATGAGTTTGTGTTTCAGGGCTCCAAGGTCGAGGTCACCTTTATTTTATATAGAAAGTGAATCAACTGAAGAAACTTTATTTGTTAACAGATTTAGATCAGAATTTATACCAAGGTCAATTGTGAGCAAAGGTCAAAGACAAGATAAAGGTCACCATTGCTATTTCAATAATTTGTCAGAAAATAGCACTAATTTGGATGGCAACAGGGATATTTATTTCTTCAAAACATTTTCAAGTTATAAACAAAGAGTCCAAAAAAAGATAAATATACACCCTCCAGTGATAAAACATATGCCTACAAATGTCTCCCCTGCTCTAAGTGAAGAACATTTATCATTGAAAACTTTGATTAAGAAGTTATAAATTGAACGAATATAGAAATACAATTGCATAAATTACAGCCATTTAACCTATGAGATAAATGTTCATGGTTGCCATATTTATATTTCAGTTTTTCACTAATAAAGTCAACCCTCACTTATATTACAGTTTTCACGTTAGTTAATAGTTGAACAAGTTTGGAATTAGTGAGGAGAAGGAAAATTTATGATATCTAATCACTATCTCCATATTGATAGGAAATACAATTGCAATTTTATACATTTTGTATTAACAGTAAGTTGCAGGGCTCACCTTGAAAATACAGGGCCTCTGTCTGGAATATAGCCTGTAGAGGGGGAAAGTAGATGACGAGGAGCTGGCCAATGATGGAGCCAACCACTGCTGTCAGAAATACTTTGTTGGTAAAAAGTCCTATTTGAAATATTGACTTCTCCTGGAATGAAATAAAAGAGTGTGGTGTACAACTATGATACAACAGATGAAAGAGTGTAATATTCTTCATTACCTTTAGGCAGTCACCTGTATGTAGCTCAGATCCCTACTTATCAGTCAAGTGTATGTAGCTCACATCCTTACTTATCAGTCACCGGTGTGTAGCTCACATCCCTACTTATCAGTCACCTGTATGTAGCTCAGATCCCTACTTATCAGTCACCGGTATGTAGCTCACATCCTTACTTATCAGTCACCGGTATGTAGCTCACATCCTTACTTATCAGTCACCGGTATGTATCTCAGATCCCTACTTATCAGTCAAGTGTATGTAGCTCACATCCTTACTTATCAGTCACCGGTATGTAGCTCACATCCTTACTTATCAGTCACCGGTATGTAGCTCAGATCCCTTCTTATCAGTCACCTGTATGTAGCTCACATCCCTACTTATCAGTCGCCGGTATGTAGCTCAGATCCTTACTTATCAGTCACCTGTATGTAGCTCACATCCTTACTTATCAGTCACCTGTATGTAGGTCACATTCCTACTTATCAGTCACCTGTATGTAGCTCAGATCCCTACTTATCAGTCACCTGTATGTAGCTCACATTCCTACTTATCAGTCACCTGTATGTAGCTCAAATCCCTACTTATCAGTCACCTGTATGTAGCTCACATTCCTACCTAGCAGTCACCTGTATGTAGCTCAGATCCCTACTTATCAGTCACCTGTATGTAGCTCAGATCCCTACTTATTAGTCACCTGTATGTAGCTCACATCCCTACTTATCAGTCGCCTGTATGTAGCTCACATTCCTACTTATCAGTCAACTGTATGTAGCTCAAATCCCTACTTATCAGTCACCTGTATGTAGCTAACATTCCTACCTAGCAGTCACCTGTATGTAGCTCAGATCCCTACTTATTAGTCACCTGTATGTAGCTCACATCCCTACTTATCAGTCACCAGTATGTAGCTCACATTCCTACTTATCAGTCACCTGTATGTAGCTCAGATCTCTACTTATCAGTCACCTGTATGTAGCTCACATCCCTACTTATCAGTCACCTGTATGTAGCTCAAATCCCTACTCATCAGTCACCTGTATGTAGCTCAGATCCCTACTTATCAGTGGATTGACTGTGTGTACAGTGGAATCTGTATTATGCGACCACCCAAGGGAAATTAAACAAGAGCCCCAGAGGGCCTGTATCGCTCACCTGAATATGTTTAAAATAATTGGTACGAAGTGAAGATTTAGCACTCCATGGTAGGTGCTGTAAGTACATATGAAATTTCAGAAAGATCCATCCAGCACTTGAGATAGAGTGAGAACAAACTTCAAACAGAGCCCCATCCCTATGCCCCTAGGGCGTCATACCCACCAATTATACAAAATTGAGTCCCCTTGACCCAAGGTTGCTCCAGACAAAATAAGGATAAAATCCCTTAATCCCGATGGTTGGAGAAGGATTTTAAAGGTTTACCTCTATTTCTACTATTGGGCCCCGCCCTTCTGCCCCCTGGGAGACCACACCCACTGCTTATACAAAATTGAGTCATCTTGGCCAAAGGATGCTCCAGACTAAATAAGGATAAAATCCCTTAATCCCGATGGTAGGAGAAGGATTTTAAAGGTTTTACCTCTATTTCTACTATTGGGCCCCGCCCTTCTGCCCCCAGGGGGACCAGACCCATGGTTTATACAACATTGGTTCCCCTTCACCCAAGAATGCTTCAGACCAAATATAAACCAAATCCTTTCATTCCTACAGAAGAAGAAGGATTTTAAAGAATATTTTGCTATGTTTCCCCTATTGGGCCCCGCCCCACAGGAAATGAAAACCCGCCAGTGTACTTCATCCAATCAGATTGAGGATATCGTAGGGTTAAAGGTAACATTGCCTTGCAGGACACTCGTGCATTCAATATGGTTTTACTCAGCTGCGATAAATATCGGTCCGTATTTTCACTGCTAAATCATCAATATAAGCAGTTAGAAAAAATACTTTATATTTGTTTCTGCACATCAATGAATTTATTATAAGTTTGGAAATTTGTTTTTTCAAATTTGTTCATTGAACTTGATAAAAAGACCATGAATTAGCCCTTCATCAAATGTGGTGACAGTCGCAAATTTGGAGATCCACGACTATTTCAACAACCGTTTGGTATATTTTCGTCAAACATGGTCGCTAAAATTTATCAAATGTGGTCGTTTAACGGTCGTTGGTCGTGTTAGACCGATGGTCGCTTAATACAGTTGAATTACATAGTAAAAACTGTCGAGAGGAATGAAAAGTGGTCGCATAAAACAGATGGTCGTTTAATACAGATGGTCACTTGAGCAGATTCGACTGTATACTGTAAATGTACATCTTTTAGTGGTATTCTAACTCTAGTGCTTTTTGCACCTTATTTATTGCACTAAATTATGATTGTGCTAATTTAAGGTTCTGATTATAGTTTCCTGTTGCATATATTGTGAGTGCGCGAGTTATTTGATATTACTCTAAATTTTTGAGCCCACCAAAATAATTACTTTTACAGTACATAGTACGACAATGTATGTATGTGTATACATGTACTTATTACTGAACTAATCTTAATTCTTCAACAAATTAACAATTAATTTAGACTTATTCAGTCATAGTACCACTTTTTAACATGACAGCATGCCTCATTTACCTACCTGAGATCTACAGCTGATAGCATGCCTTGTTAACTTACCTGAGATCTACAGCTGAGAGCATGCCTCATATACCTACCTGAGATCTATAGCTGAGAGCATGCCTCGTTAACTTACCTGAGATCTACAGCTGAGAGCATGCCTCGTTAACCTACCTGAGATCTACAGCTGAGAGCATGCCTTGATAACTCACCTGAGATCTACAGCTGAGAGCATTAAACATGTCAAAGAATACAAAACAGGTGAAGGTCATAGTTGTATCTCTAGGTGTGATCTTGTTGTCGCTCATCTGGAACATAAGAACAATGTTTTAGTTGGTAAAGGTGAACAGTTTGGATGTATCATGGCACAGGTGAACCCAATTAATAAAGCAACAGGTGTGTGGGTTACACACTATTGGGAGACAGGATTATAGTGGACGACTGACTCACCTCCCTCCAGAACACCCACAGTGTGCCCACGACAATGATGGCTGCTGACATGAGGACACTACCCATGAGACTTTTGGTGATGATGGGGTCCTTGACCTTGCGTGGGGGCTGCCGTATGACATCATGGTCCACAGACTCCACACCCAGACTGAAACACAGTGTCAGAAATGTCAAGGTTTTATGCAATGCCTTTATCCCAAGAAATATAACAGTATTCATCATTAAGAAGTAAGGAATATTATATTTATTATATTTTTCCATTTGATACAAATATTACTCATTTGACAAAGTTATATGTTATTTTCCAATGGCTATTTGATTCACCCATGTAATCTATATCACATTGATTGACAGATTTCTTGTATGTTCACAGCAAATACTGTAGCCATCATTGATGAATCAATTTGCAGTGAAAAGAAAATATAAAAAAAACCTTCATATTTCAATGTTTAGAATGAATCAGGCTACCAACCTCTGTGCTGGAGGGCCGTCCATTATGATGTTGATCCACAGAATCTGCATGGCATTCAAAGGATTGGGCAGTTGCATCAGTGTGGACAGGGCTATCAGGGACAGGGCGGCTATACTCCTGTGGAAAAACAATTAGGTACATCAGTGTGGACAGGGCTATCAGGGACAGGGCGGCTATACTCCTGTGGAAAAACAATTAGGTACATCAGTGTGGACAGGGCTATCAGGGACAGGGCGGCTATACTCCTGTGGAAAAACAATTAGGTACATCAGTGTGGACAGGGCTATCAGGGACAGGGCGGCTATACTCCTGTGGAAAAACAATTAGGTACATCAGTGTGGACAGGGCTATCAGGGACAGGGCGGCTATACTCCTGTGGAAAAACAATTAGGTACATCAGTGTGGACAGGGCTATCAGGGACAGGGCGGCTATACTCCTGTGGAAAAACAATTAGGTACATCAGTGTGGACAGGGCTATCAGGGACAGGGCGGCTATACTCCTGTGGAAAAACAATTAGGTACATCAGTGTGGACAGGGCTATCAGGGACAGGGCGGCTATACTCCTGTGGAAAAACAATTAGGTACATCAGTGTGGACAGGGCTATCAGGGACAGGGCGGCTATACTCCTGTGGAAAAACAATTAGGTACATCAGTGTGGACAGGGCTATCAGGGACAGGGCGGCTATACTCCTGTGGAAAAACAATTAGGTACATCAGTGTGGACAGGGCTATCAGGGACAGGGCGGCTATACTCCTGTGGAAAAACAATTAGGTACATCAGTGTGGACAGGGCTATCAGGGACAGGGCGGCTATACTCCTGTGGAAAAACAATTAGGTACATCAGTGTGGACAGGGCTATCAGGGACAGGGCGGCTATACTCCTGTGGAAAAACAATTAGGTACATCAGTGTGGACAGGGCTATCAGGGACAGGGCGGCTATACTCCTGTGGAAAAACAATTAGGTACATCAGTGTGGACAGGGCTATCAGGGACAGGGCGGCTATACTCCTGTGGAAAAACAATTAGGTACATCAGTGTGGACAGGGCTATCAGGAACAGGGCGGCTATACTCCTGTGGACACATTATCATGTATGAGCTAGTGCTCAATAAGGTACCAAGAAGTTTTAAATAGGCTTAGTGTTAACTGTCTGGGAAAAGAATAATTGATTATAACTGAAGACATGAAGGAGTGTTTGGTGTTATATTCTGTTATGTGGGAGATAAAGAAGAGCTGGGGCAAGTGAACAAGACAGATGAAGTGCTTATCTACTCACGTGCTTAGTTGAAACCTGACAAAATTTCTGATATTGTAGAATATTGCTTTTCCTTCTTCGATGGCAGATCTGAAAATGAATTTCAAATGAAGATGTGAGCAATTACATATTCTGAGCTGGAATGTCTTCGTTTATGAAATTTCAGTTATTCCACTACCGATCCTAACAAAACTAGAACACTGACAGGTAAGTAAGGGCCCCGTCTTGTGGCAATATATATCCCCCAAAATCATCAAGAAGCGATTTGCCCATATAGCTGAGCTTGACGTTTGACATTTGAACTTCCAAAAGAATCGCAAGGAAGCAAAATATACATTTTACATGTACTATGATGTGAGTCTTGTTTCCTTCCACCTCCATATTTGCTGGGCTAACAGAAATGTAAATACCGGTGCAATACTCATTTGTTAGCTTGATTTGTTTTATTTCACCTTATATACCTCCTCCATCAAGAGCCAGGGTCAAAGTCAGAGATCCACTTTGTCTTTGACCTTTGGACCCAAATGACCTTAACCATTAAACCAATGACCCTGATCTTTGGTCAGTTGACTTATTCTTTAATTCCGACCAACTTTGCTTCTTAATATCATAACAAAATGTTCTTCAGTGAAAAATACAAAACTTGACCTTGACCCTTTGGACCGCGTAACCTGGCCCTAAGGTCAGTTGACTCTGTGTTAAGTTCTGAACAACATTGCTTCATAATGTCATAACAAAATGTTCATCAGGAAAAAGTACAAAATTTAACCTTCACCTTTGACCCAGTGACCTTGACCTTTGGTCAGTTGACTCCTTGTTTAATTCTGATCAACTTTGCTTCATCATGTCATAACAAAATGTTCATCAGTGAAAAGATGCCAAATTTGACATTGACATTTGATTCTAATGACCTTGACCTATGACCTCGACTTTTTACCTCAGTGCGTCTCTTTGTTTAATTCCGAACAACTTTGCTTCATAATGTCATAGCGAAATGTTCACCAGTGAAAAGCTACAAAATTTGACCCCTGACCCAATGACCTTGACCTTTGGTCTGTTGACTCCTTGTTTAATCCTGATCAACTTTGCTTCATAACATCATAACAAAATATTTATCAGTAAAAAGATGTAAAATTTGACCTTGACCTTTGAACCTAATGACCTTGACCTATGACTTTTTACCTCAATGTGTATTTTTATGAACTGAACATCTTGACCAAGTTTCATGTACATCGGTCAATAAATACTTAAGTTATCAGCCAGGAACAAAATTTGTGGACAGACAGACAGACAGACAGACAGACAGACAAGGTGATTACTATAGGGCACCCGTATCTCCGATACGGGGCCCTAATTATCTTAATTTAGTTGGGGAAATTTTAAATATCTGTAATCTATATTTACTTTAAAATGTATGTCATACATGTCTGGTATCTCTATACAGTATTGTCTTTGATGTTTTCTATGACATGATAGATTTGTCATACAATTATTATTAACCCCTATATTTGTCTCTCACAGAATGTATTTTTAGCTCTGCCATTAAACTGTGTATATAGCTGGTTTTTATTCAGCACTGAAATACAACAGGTATGAACCAGCCCTACTTACAGTGTGACAGAGAAGTCATCGTCGACCAGTATCATGTCCGCTGCCTCCTTGGACACATCAGTACCCGACCGCCCCATGGAGATCCCGATATCGGATGTCTTCAGTGCTACAGCATCGTTAACACCGTCACCGGTCATACCCACAACATGGCCGAGAGACTGCAGGGCCTGGGAACAAACACAACAGTCACTACATGATGGTGGTACGGAATAGTAGGATTCTCATAGGGGTTAACAAGCTGACATCAAGCTGGAATAAATCTTGTTGGGGCAGAAGCTGTTTACCAATATAGTTTCAAATTACATGTTTTACCAAAAAACTCTTCACAAATCTATGGTTTCATGTTCTCTATCTCTATACTTGACATGAAATAGCAGAACATTATTTGTTATAAGGACTACACTACATTTAGAGTAAATGTGATGTTTACCAGTTATACCTTTACAATCTTTATATTAATAATGTCTGTGTATAGTTCTATAGAGGAGTGGTGTGGTGGCCTGGGCTGTCTGGAGAAAGAATCCGTATTACCTTTACAATCTTTATATTAATAATGTCTGTGTATAGTTCTATAGAGGAGTGGTGTGGTGGCCTGGGCTGTCTGGAGAAAGAATCCGTATTACCTTTACAATCTTTATATTAATAATGTCTGTGTATAGTTCTATAGAGGAGTGGTGTGGTGGCCTGGGCTGTCTGGAGAAAGAATCCGTATTACCTTTACAATCTTTATATTAATAATGTCTGTGTATAGTTCTATAGAGGAGTGGTGTGGTGGCCTGGGCTGTCTGGAGAAAGAATCCGTATTACCTTTACAATCTTTATATTAATAATGTCTGTGTATAGTTCTATAGAGGAGTGGTGTGGTGGCCTGGGCTGTCTGGAGAAAGAATCCGTATTACCTTTACAATCTTTATATTAATAATGTCTGTGTATAGTTCTATAGAGGAGTGGTGTGGTGGCCTGGGCTGTCTGGAGAAAGAATCCGTATTACCTTTACAATCTTTATATTAATAATGTCTGTGTATAGTTCTATAGAGGAGTGGTGTGGTGGCCTGGGCTGTCTGGAGAAAGAATCCGTATTACCTTTACAATCTTTATATTAATAATGTCTGTGTATAGTTCTATAGAGGAGTGGTGTGGTGGCCTGGGCTGTCTGGAGAAAGAATCCGTATTACCTTTACAATCTTTATATTAATAATGTCTGTGTATAGTTCTATAGAGGAGTGGTGTGGTGGCCTGGGCTGTCTGGAGAAAGAATCCGTATTACCTTTACAATCTTTATATTAATAATGTCTGTGTATAGTTCTATAGAGGAGTGGTGTGGTGGCCTGGGCTGTCTGGAGAAAGAATCCGTATTACCTTTACAATCTTTATATTAATAATGTCTGTGTATAGTTCTATAGAGGAGTGGTGTGGTGGCCTGGGCTGTCTGGAGAAAGAATCCGTATTACCTTTACAATCTTTATATTAATAATGTCTGTGTATAGTTCTATAGAGGAGTGGTGTGGTGGCCTGGGCTGTCTGGAGAAAGAATCCGTATTACCTTTACAATCTTTATATTAATAATGTCTGTGTATAGTTCTATAGAGGAGTGGTGTGGTGGCCTGGGCTGTCTGGAGAAAGAATCCGTATTACCTTTACAATCTTTATATTAATAATGTCTGTGTATAGTTCTATAGAGGAGTGGTGTGGTGGCCTGGGCTGTCTGGAGAAAGAATCCGTATTACCTTTACAATCTTTATATTAATAATGTCTGTGTATAGTTCTATAGAGGAGTGGTGTGGTGGCCTGGGCTGTCTGGAGAAAGAATCTGTATTACCTTTACAATCTTTATATTAATAATGTCTGTGTATAGTTCTATAGAGAAGTGGTGTGGTGGCCTGGGCTGTCTGGAGAAGGAATCTGTATTACCTTTACAATCTTTATATTAATAATGTCCGTGCATAGTTCTATAGACAAGTGGTGTTGTGGCCTGGGCTGTCTGGAGAAGGAATCTGTATTACCTTTACAATCTTGACTTTGTGTCTTGGTGTGGTTCTATAAAACACAGTGGTATTGTTGATGACGTCTTTGAGTGATTCAGTATCCATTTTTTCTACCTGGTCACCAGACAAAGTTCTGTTTCCCGTGGCATACAATCCAAGTCGAGCACCTGTAGACAGATCAACCACTCAGCAACAACAACATAGTGTACCCACTACTTCACATATACAGGGCTAAACTACATGTGATATAACAGGAGATTACTTGTAAAGAAATATTTAAAAACAGTATTCATTGAATAATATAAATACTGTTTATTCTATCCTCAAATACTGATTAATATCATTTTATCTCACAAGTCAAATACACACATGATGTAAGTGCCAACTGTTATTGATACACCTGAACCATTCTGCTGATAGATAACTGACTACCAAGCCTAGTCACCTGTGAGTTCTATGATTTCTGGTGTAATGATAACTGACTACCAAGCCTAGTCACCTGTGAGTCCTATGATGTCTGGTGTAATGATAACTGACTACAAAGCCTAGTCACCTGTGAGTTCTATGAAGTTTGGTGTAATGGTAACTGACTACCAAGCCTAGCCACCTGTGAGTTCTATGATGTCTGGTGTAATGGTAATTGACTACCAAGCCTAGTCATCTGTGAGTTCTATGATGTCTGGTATAATGGTAACAGACTACCCTAGTCACCTGTGAGTTCTATGATTTCTGGTGTAATGATAACTGACTCCCAAGCCTAGTCACCTGTGAGTTCTATGAAGGCTGGTGTAATGGTAACTGACTACCAAGCCTAGTCGCCTGTGAGTTCTATGAAGTCTGGTGTAATGGAAACTGACTACCAAGCCTAGTCACCTGTGAGTCCTATGATGTCTGGTGTAATGATAACTGACTAACAAGACTAGTCACCTGTGAGTTCTATGATGTCTGGTGTAATGGTAACTGACTCCCAAGCCTAGTCACCTGTGAGTTCTATGATGTCTTGTGTAATGGTAACTGACTGCCAAGCCTAGTCTCCTGTGAGTTATATGAAGTCTGGTGTAATGGTAACTGACTACAAAGCCTAGTCACCTGTGAGTTCTATGAAGTCCGGTGTAATGGTAACTGACTACCAAGCCTAGTCTCTTGTGAGTTCTATGAAGTCTGGTGTAATGGTATCTGACTACCAAGCCTAGTCTCCTGTGAGTTCTATGAAGTCTGGTGTAATGGAAACTGACTACCAAGCCTAGTCACCTGTGAGTCCTATGATGTCTGGTGTAATGATAACTGACTACCAAGCCTAGTCACCTGGTATAATGGTAACAGACTACCAAGCCTAGTCCCCTGTGAGTTCTATGAAGTCTGGTGTAATGGAAACTGACTACCAAGCCTAGTCACCTGTGAGTCCTATGATGTCTGGTGTAATGATAACTGACTATCAAGCCTAGTCACCTGTGAGTTCTATGATGTCTGGTGAAATGATACTGTGAGTTATATGATGTCTGGTGTAATGGTAACTAACTACCAAGCCTAGTCTCCTGTGAGTTATATGAAGTCTGGTGTAATGGTAACTGACTACAAAGCCTAGTCACCTGTGAGTTCTATGATGTCTGGTGAAATGATACTGTGAGTTATATGATGTCTGGTGTAATGGTACCTAACCACCAAGCCTAGTCACCTGTGAGTTCTATGAAGGCTGGTGTAATGGTAACTGACTACCAAGCCTAGCCACCTGTGAGTTCTATGATGTCTGGTGTAATGGTAACTGATTACCAAGCCTAGTTTCCTGTGAGTTCTATGATGTCTGGTGTAATGGTAACTGACCACCAAGCCTAGTCACCTGTGAGTTATATGATGTCTGGTGTAATGGTAACTAACCACCAAGCCTAGTCACCTGTGAGTTCTATGATGTCTGGTATAATGGTAACAGACTACCAAGCCTAGTCACCTGTGAGTTCTATGATGTCTGGTGTAATGATAACTGACTACCAAGCCTAGTCACCTGTGAGTTCTATGATGTCTGGTGTAATGATAACTGACTACCAAGCCTAGTCACCTGTGAGTTCTATGATGTCTGGTGTAATGATAACTGACTACCAAGCCTAGTCACCTGTGAGTTCTATGATGTCTGGTGTAATGATAACTGACTACCAAGCCTAGTCACCTGTGAGTTCTATGATGTCTGGTGTAATGATAACTGACTACCAAGCCTAGTCACCTGTGAGTTCTATGATGTCTGGTGTAATGATAACTGACTACCAAGCCTAGTCACCTGTGAGTTCTATGATGTCTGGTGTAATGATAACTGACTACCAAGCCTAGTCACCTGTGAGTTCTATGATGTCTGGTGTAATGATAACTGACTACCAAGCCTAGTCACCTGTGAGTTCTATGATGTCTGGTGTAATGATAACTGACTACCAAGCCTAGTCACCTGTGAGTTCTATGATGTCTGGTGTAATGGTAACTGACTACCAAGCCTAGTCACCTGTGAGTTCTATGATGTCTGGTGTAATGATAACTGACTACCAAGCCTAGTCACCTGTGAGTTCTATGATGTCTGGTGTAATGATAACTGACTACCAAGCCTAGTCACCTGTGAGTTCTATGATGTCTGGTGTAATGATAACTGACTACCAAGCCTAGTCACCTGTGAGTTCTATGATGTCTGGTGTAATGATAACTGACTACCAAGCCTAGTCACCTGTGAGTTCTATGATGTCTGGTGTAATGGTAACTGACTACCAAGCCTAGTCACCTGTGAGTTCTATGATGTCTGGTGTAATGATAACTGACTACCAAGCCTAGTCACCTGTGAGTTCTATGATGTCTGGTGTAATGATAACTGACTACCAAGCCTAGTCACCTGTGAGTTCTATGATGTCTGGTGTAATGATAACTGACTACCAAGCCTAGTCACCTGTGAGTTCTATGATGTCTGGTGTAATGATAACTGACTACCAAGCCTAGTCACCTGTGAGTTCTATGATGTCTGGTGTAATGATAACTGACTACCAAGCCTAGTCACCTGTGAGTTCTATGATGTCTGGTGTAATGATAACTGACTACCAAGCCTAGTCACCTGTGAGTTCTATGATGTCTGGTGTAATGATAACTGACTACCAAGCCTAGTCACCTGTGAGTTCTATGATGTCTGGTGTAATGATAACTGACTACCAAGCCTAGTCACCTGTGAGTTCTATGATGTCTGGTGTAATGATAACTGACTACCAAGCCTAGTCACCTGTGAGTTCTATGATGTCTGGTGTAATGATAACTGACTACCAAGCCTAGTCACCTGTGAGTTCTATGATGTCTGGTGTAATGATAACTGACTACCAAGCCTAGTCACCTGTGAGTTCTATGATGTCTGGTGTAATGATAACTGACTACCAAGCCTAGTCACCTGTGAGTTCTATGATGTCTGGTGTAATGATAACTGACTACCAAGCCTAGTCACCTGTGAGTTCTATGATGTCTGGTGTAATGATAACTGACTACCAAGCCTAGTCACCTGTGAGTTCTATGATGTCTGGTGTAATGATAACTGACTACCAAGCCTAGTCACCTGTGAGTTCTATGATGTCTGGTGTAATGATAACTGACTACCAAGCCTAGTCACCTGTGAGTTCTATGATGTCTGGTGTAATGGTAACTGACTACCAAGCCTAGTCACCTGTGAGTTCTATGATGTCTGGTGTAATGATAACTGACTACCAAGCCTAGTCACCTGTGAGTTCTATGATGTCTGGTGTAATGGTAACTGACTACCAAGCCTAGTCACCTGTGAGTTCTATGATGTCTGGTGTAATGATAACTGACTACCAAGCCTAGTCACCTGTGAGTTCTATGATGTCTGGTGTAATGATAACTGACTACCAAGCCTAGTCACCTGTGAGTTCTATGATGTCTGGTGTAATGGTAACTGACTACCAAGCCTAGTCACCTGTGAGTTCTATGATGTCTGGTGTAATGGTAACTGACTACCAAGCCTAGTCACCTGTGAGTTCTATGATGTCTGGTGTAATGATAACTGACTACCAAGCCTAGTCACCTGTGAGTTCTATGATGTCTGGTGTAATGATAACTGACTACCAAGCCTAGTCACCTGTGAGTTCTATGATGTCTGGTGTAATGGTAACTGACTACCAAGCCTAGTCACCTGTGAGTTCTATGATGTCTGGTGTAATGATAACTGACTACCAAGCCTAGTCACCTGTGAGTTCTATGATGTCTGGTGTAATGATAACTGACTACCAAGCCTAGTCACCTGTGAGTTCTATGATGTCTGGTGTAATGATAACTGACTACCAAGCCTAGTCACCTGTGAGTTCTATGATGTCTGGTGTAATGGTAGGGTGGGGCATGACAAACAGCATCAGGGCAACCTGTTTCAGCCCTCTAAAAAATCTCTGAATATAACAGATGCTGCTTATTTAGGCACAATCTGGTAAAATTGTTTCTTGTCTTCATTAAGTTTTTAGTTTGTATTTTAATTAAAGAGCAGATGAAAAGATAGTTTCTGGAAGAGGCCTATGTTGATTAGGAGAGAGAAAAAGAGGGAAACAATTTTATTACACATTCAAGTGAATCAGTTTCTGTTCTAAGGAAGGACTTGTTATGTTTACATACCTATAGCCTTGGCAGTTTCTTCTGCATCACCAGTCACCATCTTGATGGCCACACCCCCACTGATTAGGGTTGAGATGGACTCCCGGACCCCAGGGCGGGGTGGGTCAATAATCCCAACCATACCCACAAATACAAGGCTTTGTGGGTCAGGTCCATACGCCATCGCCAATACTGTAATACAGTAACACAACTTGATCAAAGTTATCTACAAGTACATTAAGTTATCTACAAGTACATTAAGTTATCTACAAGTACATTAAGTTATCTACAAGTACATTAAGTTATCTGTATTTAGTGATTCAGATACAACAAATCTTTAAAAAAAATAGTTTAATTTCTCTTTAGAATAGTTTTAATTCTTTTGGTATGAGTCAAAGAGGTTAAAAAAAAATTCTACTTATTGTACTGTTGCTTCATCTGCTTTTGATCAGAAGATCTGTGGAGTTGGATTCAATGAACAACCAGAACAAGTTTGATTGGTCAGTATCAAACATGACATCTGTCACAATGTGGAAAACATCACCACTCACATCTGTCACAATGTGGAATACATCACCACTCACATCTGTCACAATGTGACAAATATCACCTTTCACATCTGTCACAATGTGAAAGATTTCAGTTTTATATATGACAGAACTCAATTTATGTCACTGCATAGCTGTCAACACTCTCTCATTAGGAGGGAGACTTCCTCATTTACATAGCTGTCAACCCTCCCTCATTAGGAGGGAGACTTCCTCAGTAGGAGGGAGACTCCATAATTTACTTAGCTGTCAACCCTCCCTCATTAGGAGGACGACTCCCTCATTTTGACAAAAAATTACCAATCTCCCTCGAAACTCCTTCATTCAAGTCCAAACTCACACAAAACTCAAAATCAACATCCTGTGATCAAATGATCTCCTAGTTACTACAGGGTGGTTGTAATGATCATAACAGGTGTGTCTGAATCAAATGAATGCTTTTTCGAGTTATTTTGATACATTAAATTGAGCAAAGCAGTTTCAGTCACATTTCACGCACCTTCTCCTTCATTTGAAAAATGTGGAATGAGGGAGATCTTCCTCATTGGAGGTTTCAGAGGCTGACACTTATGTCACTGGCCAAAAATATGATAAAGAGCACAATCTAACAGCATGGCCAAGAAAACGATAACTTTATAACATGTCATATACATCCAAACACCTACTCAATAAACTGACTGAATCCGTCTACACACACAAAGAGCACTCAACAACATGGCCAAAACTAGGTATCTAAATAAATGTAGCTCACATTGATGTTTTGTTGGACCATTAGCTAAGACTGTTGCCTTAACAGTCGGGAGTAAGGGTCCAAAACATGGGTTAGCCTAAACGCCAAGTTACAGCAGTTGTGACCGGATTTGTCCCGACTATTGACTCACCACGCAGACCTGCACTGCCCATCCTGACTGCTTGCTCCGTATACTCCATCTTATGTTTATCAGATATGGGTAGACAAGTACCCTCACTGTTGTACCTCACACAGTTACTCAGCACTTTCTCAATAGCTCCCTTCACAAAGTAAATCATCTCCTTACTCTGCAAATACACAAAATACCTAGTAAAAACAGAGTCATGGAGGTAAACATACAATATATTTACCTAGATGTAAACATACAATATCTTAACCTAGATGTAAACATACAATATATTTACCTAGATGTAAACATACAATATATTTACCAAAAATAACTAATGTAAGGTTGGTTTATAAACAACTTTTTACACAAAATCATATATTCTTAGAAATTTATCAAAATATTTTGAATTAGTTACAAACTGCAGATTTATCAATTTAAGTATGTTGGAGCCTCAACCATTGTTTTTCACTACAGAAGAAATGAATACAGCATAATCTCACAAAATATCAAATGACACATACAGAGAAGGACAAAACGTTCAATGAACACCTATGGATGTAGAAAAGGCACTGTGTCTGGTGAGTAAGAAAAACAACATTAAAACAGCAAACAGGTGAACTTACAAATGTTTATGACTTTCAAAAGTGAATTTAACATTCTTAAATGTGATGTGACAGACCATAATCTATCCACTACATGCTGCACTGTGTATTACAAATAGGGTCACCAAATTGAATGGATTACAAAAGGCTTTTCATACAACTACTGGAAACAGACTATACAAGTGTGATCAATGTGAATACAGACCTAATCTTATCACTAGTGGAGACAGATCCAATTTAATCAATGCCCTCTTAATACATTATCATACTTAAGTTCTATAAACTAAAAAAAAGAAATAGAATCAAGACCTTGCACCTACTCAGTTTGAGAAAATGATACTAATTTGTGAGGCAACTCATTTGTGATTCTAATCTTCTGCAAAAACATTACTGCATGGATTATTACTATCAATATTAACTAAGCATCCTAGCAAATCACACATTTCAAGAATTTACATATGAAACTATTCACTTTAAGTAAAATACACAAAAAACTAGAATTTTGTTTTTGTGAACAAAAATATATGTCTCCCCTTATCAGCCAATAGACAAACTTCGGTATAAAAAATCAACAAAGGGCCATATCTCTTTATATAGTGGGGCACGAGACCCAAATTTAGAATACGACACTCTTAAGATATATTACAACTATAGCTTTGGTTAACGTAGGTGAAATAACATGGAAGTTATGCCGTGGACAAACTTCGGTATTGAAAATAAACAAAGGACCATTACTCTGTATATAGTGGGGCACAAAACCCGATTTTAGTGCGAGAGATTCCACCTTCCCAATTGCAAGATACATAAATATGGTAAGTTTGGTCAACGTAGGTGAAATAACATGCAACTTATACTGCGGACAAATTTCGGTATTTAAAATAAACAAAGGGCCATAACTCTGTATAAAGTGGGTCACGAGACCTATTTTCAGTGCACTGTTCACCTTCTGTGGGTGATGCAGGTATACTTCAAGTTTGATTAAGATATCTTAAATGGTTTAGAAGTTATTCCGTGGACAAAATTCGGTTTTAAAAATAAATAAAGGGCCATAACTCTGTATAAAGTGGGGCACAAAACCTAATTTTAGCGCAAGAGATTCCACCTTCCCAAGATACATAAATATGGTAAGTTTGGTCAACGTAGGTGAAATAACATAGAACTTATGCTCCGGACAAACTTTGGTATTAAAATTAAACAAAGGGCCATAACTCTGTATATAGTGAAGCACTGGTTCTTGAGAAGAAGTTGATAATGTAAAAAGTTTAGCACGACGCACAACGGACGACGGACGACGGACGGAAAGTGATTGGAATAGGTCACTTGAGCAAAGCTCAGGTGACCTAATAAGAACCAAAAGAATAAGAATAAGAACCAGAAGAATAAGAATAAGAACCAGAAGAACCAGAAAAAGAACCAGTACTAATACAATATGTCTCCCTTCATTCAAAGGGGAGACATAATATAATTAACAGTATATCCACTATGTTGTTAGTGCTCACACACACAGACATCTGTCAGATGACTACACTTACTTGTACACCAAAAGCATCCCCACCCTGTAGAACACAAACAACTTATTTATTTACATCTTAAAGGTGTTTTACATTCAATCATACAAAAGAAGTATATTGTTTTCATGTCAACTTATTCAAGTAAGATCAAAGATTCTGAATCTTGACGATGTTTCGCTTTTAAATGTGAAGTGATAACCCATCTTTTTTGTCTGTCCCCACCCCACTGCACCCCCTACCCCAACCTCTAGGTGAGAAAGTGTATAACGATGTACAGGACTGAGAAACCTTTTTCATGTGGACATTATAAATAGTGATTATATCTGGTAGCCCTGATCTAATCATTCCTTTCTTTTACACCTTTTATCACCACTTATCCATGTATGACCTTTTGTGTATATGAGTGGTTAAGATCATTAAAATAATCCTAAACGAACCTCTGTAAGAACATGTATTTTTCAAGTTAAGAAATTCATATCCCATTCTTTCTAGTACTGAAACCAACAGCACTGATATTGTACACAGCTGTGAAAAGTAGATACATGACCAAATAACAGTCAGATAAGGGAGACAACTCTGCTTCTTAAATGCCATACAGCTGGGGGAATACATATAAAATTCCGATGAGAAGAAAACTAACAATAACTTACATTACTGAACTGGGGTGTACACTTTACTATCATACACTTAGTTTACTAACAATAACTTTCATTACCGTACTGGGGTTTACACTTTACTATCATACACTTAGTTTACTAACAATAACTTACATTACCGTACTGGGGTGTACACTTTACTATCATACACTTAGTTTCAGAGTCGAAGGGCTTCTCCTCTAGCCGTGTGTACAGGTCACGGACATTGTGGATGTTCATCTGAAAAGTGACAGTAGTTTGAAATAAACCTCATTATTCAATTGCCTGCTGACAAATCTAATATGAATCTCTCTTTTTTTTTGCACCAGTGAATTATTTATATATACATTTTGTATATGTATATTTAGTAAAAGGACAAACCAAACTGTGTGTAACCTTTGCATGGACTTTTAAGTTTGGATCAGTGTCCCTAACACTCTCAGATGTCATTTCAACATAATTTTGCTTCCATGTCATGTTTACAAACAAAATTATTGGAAAATATTATGTTAACATTCATATTTTTTTCCAAAACATTTCTTTTGACAATTAGTCATTGAATTAAACAAAAGCAACAGTTTTCACCTTCCATGCACATGCTATGAGAGCACCCTCTGTTGGTTGGCCATGAAGTCCATCAGCACATATGTCAGCATCATTACAGATACATCCGACCTCGATGACCTTGATGAGGGAGGGGTGAGAGTTATCTCTCACTTCCTGTCGTTGACACACCACTTCTCCGGAGGCATTATAACCCACACCAGTCACCTGTATACAAAGAACGTCAAAACCATTAATATTAAGGACATCATACTTTACCTCACCAGTTACCGAATTATGTTACGGTCTACATAGATGGGTGTCAACAAACCATTTTGTGGGGGTTATTCTCATTGTCCACTTAAGAACAAACAGTGTACACCTGTTTTCCATCTGATGAGCAGTCTGCATATATAAGAGGATATATGTAAATACAAGAGGCCCAGATGGCCTGTATCACTCACCTGAATATGTTTAAAATAATTGGTATGAAGTAAAGATATAGCACTCAATGGTAGGTGCTGTAAGTACATATGAAATTTCAGAAAGAGTCATCTAGTACTTGAGATATAACAAATTTCAAACAGAGCCCCACCCCTATGCCCCTAGGGGGGTCATACCCACTGCTTATACAAAAATTGAGTCCCTTTGGCCAAAGGATGCTCCAGACTAAATAAGGATAAAATCCCTTAATCCTTATGGTAGAAGAAGGATTTTGAAGATTTTACCTCTATTTCCCCAATTGGGCCCCACCCTTCTGCCACCTGGGAGACCACACCCACCGTTTATACATAAATTGAGACCCTTTGGCCAAAGGATGCTCCAGACTAAATAAGGATAAAATCCCTTAATCCCTATGGTAGAAGAAGGATTTTGAAGGTTTTACTTCTATTTCCACTATTCGGCCCCGGCCCTCTGCCCGAAGGGGGGCCACACACCCCATTTATACAAAATTGAGTCCCCTTGGCCCAAGGATGCTCCAGACTAAATTAGGATAAAATCCCTTAATCCCTACAGTAGGAGAAGGATTTTGAAGGTTTTAGCTATTTCCCCTATTGGGCTCCGCCCTTCTGCCCCCAGGGGGGCCACACCCACCATTTATACAAAATTGAGTCCCCTTGGCCTAAGGATGCTCCAGACCAAACTTAGTCAAAATCTACTTAAGCATAAGCTCATCATGGTCATTCGGACCAGGTGAGCTAAAAACCTTATCTGCTTAGGACACCAATGTCTATAGCTACAACCTGTCTTTTGACTACAGTCAGACCTGCTTTGGAGACCACTTGACGATAACTACCACCTATATATATCTACTGTCAAACCTGCCTGGAGATCACTTGACGATAACTACCACCTATATATAACTAATGTCAAACCTGCCTGGAGACCACTTGACGATAACTACCACCTATATATTACTACTGTCAAACCTGCCTGAGATCACTTGACCATAACTACCACCTATATATAACTACTGTCAAACCTGCCTGGAGACCACTTGACGATAACTACCACCTATATATATCTACTGTCAAACCTGCCTGGAGATCATTTGACCATAACTACCACCTATATATAACTACTGTCAAACCTGCCTGGAGATCACTTGACGATAACTACCACCTATATATAACTAATGTCAAACCTGCCTGGAGACCACTTGACGATAACTACCACCTATATATAACTACTGTCAAACCTGCCTGGATATCACTTGACAATAACTACCATCATACTGAAATAAGTCTAAATTCGGTGAAAAAGTCCATACTTACATAATATACAAACACATAAAATCACAGTTTGACATGAAACTAAAATATCTAATAACAATTTGGAATTTGGATTTGGTGTCTATATTCTTAAAAAAGTCTGGGGCTTTGGTTTTCAGTTTACTATAAGAGGCCTTACCTCTGCTACTAATCCATCCGAGGAGTATATCTGGGTGACAGTTTACTATAACAGAAAGACTACCACCTACAGTGAGGGCCTTACCTCTGCTACTAATCCATCTGAGGAGTATATATGGGTGACAGTTTACTATAACAGAAAGACTACCACCTACAGTGATGGCCTTACCTCTGCTACTAATCCATCTGAGGAGTATATATGGGTGACAGTTTACTATAACAGAAAGACTACCACCTACAGTGATGGCCTTACCTCTGCTACTAATCCATCTGAGGAGTATATATGGGTGACAGTTTACTATAACAGAAAGACTACCACCTACAGTGATGGCCTTACCTCTGCTACTAATCCATCTGAGGAGTATATATGGGTGACAGTTTACTATAACAGAAAGACTACCACCTACAGTGATGGCCTTACCTCTGCTACTAATCCATCTGAGGAGTATATATGGGTGACAGTTTACTATAACAGAAAGACTACCACCTACAGTGATGGCCTTACCTCTGCTACTAATCCATCTGAGGAGTATATATGGGTGACAGTTTACTATAACAGAAAGACTACCACCTACAGTGATGGCCTTACCTCTGCTACTAATCCATCTGAGGAGTATATATGGGTGACAGTTTACTATAACAGAAAGACTACCACCTACAGTGATGGCCTTACCTCTGCTACTAATCCATCTGAGGAGTATATATGGGTGACAGTTTACTATAACAGAAAGACTACCACCTACAGTGATGGCCTTACCTCTGCTACTAATCCATCTGAGGAGTATATATGGGTGACAGTTTACTATAACAGAAAGACTACCACCTACAGTGATGGCCTTACCTCTGCTACTAATCCATCTGAGGAGTATATATGGGTGACAGTTTACTATAACAGAAAGACTACCACCTACAGTGATGGCCTTACCTCTGCTACTAATCCATCTGAGGAGTATATATGGGTGACAGTTTACTATAACAGAAAGACTACCACCTACAGTGATGGCCTTACCTCTGCTACTAATCCATCTGAGGAGTATATATGGGTGACAGTTTACTATAACAGAAAGACTACCACCTACAGTGATGGCCTTACCTCTGCTACTAATCCATCTGAGGAGTATATATGGGTGACAGTTTACTATAACAGAAAGACTACCACCTACAGTGATGGCCTTACCTCTGCTACTAATCCATCTGAGGAGTATATCTGGGTGACAGTTTACTATAACAGAAAGACTACCACCTACAGTGATGGCCTTACCTCTGCTACTAATCCATCTGAGGAGTATATATGGGTGACAGTTTACTATAACAGAAAGACTACCACCTACAGTGATGGCCTTACCTCTGCTACTAATCCATCTGAGGAGTATATATGGGTGACAGTTTACTATAACAGAAAGACTACCACCTACAGTGATGGCCTTACCTCTGCTACTAATCCATCTGAGGAGTATATATGGGTGACAGTTTACTATAACAGAAAGACTACCACCTACAGTGATGGCCTTACCTCTGCTACTAATCCATCTGAGGAGTATATATGGGTGACAGTTTACTATAACAGAAAGACTACCACCTACAGTGATGGCCTTACCTCTGCTACTAATCCATCTGAGGAGTATATATGGGTGACAGTTTACTATAACAGAAAGACTACCACCTACAGTGATGGCCTTACCTCTGCTACTAATCCATCTGAGGAGTATATCTGGGTGACAGTTTACTATAACAGAAAGACTACCACCTACAGTGATGGCCTTACCTCTGCTACTAATCCATCTGAGGAGTATATATGGGTGACAGTTTACTATAACAGAAAGACTACCACCTACAGTGATGGCCTTACCTCTGCTACTAATCCATCTGAGGAGTATATATGGGTGACAGTTTACTATAACAGAAAGACTACCACCTACAGTGATGGCCTTACCTCTGCTACTAATCCATCTGAGGAGTATATATGGGTGACAGTTTACTATAACAGAAAGACTACCACCTACAGTGATGGCCTTACCTCTGCTACTAATCCATCTGAGGAGTATATATGGGTGACAGTTTACTATAACAGAAAGACTACCACCTACAGTGATGGCCTTACCTCTGCTACTAATCCATCTGAGGAGTATATATGGGTGACAGTTTACTATAACAGAAAGACTACCACCTACAGTGATGGCCTTACCTCTGCTACTAATCCATCTGAGGAGTATATATGGGTGACAGTTTACTATAACAGAAAGACTACCACCTACAGTGATGGCCTTACCTCTGCTACTAATCCGTCCGAGGAGTATATATGGGTGACAGTTTACTATAACAGAAAGACTACCACCTACAGTGATGGCCTTACCTCTGCTACTAATCCATCTGAGGAGTATATATGGGTGACAGTTTACTATAACAGAAAGACTACCACCTACAGTGATGGCCTTACCTCTGCTACTAATCCATCTGAGGAGTATATATGGGTGACAGTTTACTATAACAGAAAGACTACCACCTACAGTGATGGCCTTACCTCTGCTACTAATCCATCTGAGGAGTATATATGGGTGACAGTTTACTATAACAGAAAGACTACCACCTACAGTGAGGGCCTTACCTCTGCTACTAATCCATCTGAGGAGTATATATGGGTGACAGTTTACTATAACAGAGAGACTACCACCTACAGTGATATCCTTACCTCTGCTACTTATCCATCTGAGAAGAAGTATATCTGGGTGACAGTTTACTATAACAGCAAGACTACCAACTACAGTGAGAGCCTTACCTCTGCTACTAAACCATCTGAGGAGTATATCTGGGTGACAGTTTACTATAACAGAAAGACTACCACCTACAGTGATGGCCTTCCCTCTGCTACTAATCCATCCGAGGAGTATATCTCGGTGACAGTTTACTATAACAGAAAGACTACCACCTACAGTGATGGCTTTACCTCTGCTACTAATCCATCTGAGGAGTATATCTGGGTGACAGTTTACTATAACAGAAAGACTAACACCTACAGTGATGGCCTTACCTCTGCTACTAATCCATCTGAGGAGTATATATGGGTGACAGTTTACTATAACAGAAAGACTACCACCTACAGTGATGGCTTTACCTCTGCTACTAATCCATCTGAGGAGTATATATGGGTGACAGTCATTTCATTCTTGGTCAAAGTTCCAGTCTTGTCAGAGCAGACAACACTTGTACATCCTGTGATAGAAACAAAATGTCAGCCATGCATGTAGAACAGTTTATACATAATCATGTCAGACAAGTAAAACAACTAATACAGTACATATAGCACTAATACAGTACATATAGCACTAATACAGTACATATAGCACTAATACATATAGCCATTTTTCCATATTTCCTTCTGTATTTACAAACACAACTTTCTTAAAATGAATATGAAATTAAGAATACCAACTACATGGATGTACATTAATCCAATTTAATAAAGGAACCATTTTTACATATTGAATAAGATTGATCACTTTGGAAATATGTAATGTCAAAGTTTTACTGCATACACAAACAATTTATGCATTAAACGTTCAGTTGGTTTTAAATGTTGTGACATGTTAAACATGTACATTGTTTGTGTATACAGTAAAACTTGAACAAACTTTTACTGTTAGTACACATTACCTAAAGTTTCCACAGTTGGCAGTTTCTTCACAATGGCTTTTCTGTTGGCCATCCTCATCACCCCCAATGCTAGTGTCACTGTGACCACGATAGGCAGACCCTCTGGGATAGCAGCCACGGCCAAACTGTTACAATGGGTAAGCCATCAACAAACATAACAAATCATCACACGTTATTTCCTTCTTTGTTCCCACTTAAGCTAAGAAGATTATGTCATAGAATAGAAAAATTCAAAATTGTTAATATTAACTTCTTTATGTATCTCCAACTTATCCAAATTTCTTTAGTCACTGAACACCAGTAATTTGATGGAGACCATAGACTACCCAGTAACAGTATCTGACAACACTAGTGCAAATTTCATATAGACACACACACATCCACCACTCATTTACAATCTCACATACATCCGCTCATATCTACAGTTTTACTCCTACCATTTCAAACTTGCTTCTCCCCTTTTAACTTTACTGTCCTCCTGTACTCACCTGACCCCGATGGTGAACATGTCGAGAAGGCTGCGGCCCTGGATCCAGCCCAGGAACATGATACCCCCTATGATACAGAAGGAGTAGAAAGACAGCTGTTTGCCCAGAATGTCCATACTCTTCTGGAGGGGTGTCTTTGGTGACTGTAACAAAACAAATAGTATATTTCATATAGAAATACAGTCTTAATATCAGTGGAGGTGTAACACATATATACCTGTAGTATTTTCTCAGTATTATACAATAGCCATACACATATACTGTTTATCTGGTATCAAACAATAGCAACATATGTACACCTGTAAGATTTTTATTTCATGGTCCTTAATTTTCGCAGGTTTGCTAAAATGGTCAATTCCAGCGTCCATGGCACAATGTGCTACGGTAAAGTTGAAACAATTTGATATTATTTCCATGGGCTTTGTTTTTCTGAGGAAAAAAATGTTTCTGTGAATTTTGCAAAAATTAAAACCCTGAGTAAAAAAACTTCATTAGTATTACCTAGTATTATAATTCTTTATCTGCTTTACAAGGATTACAAACAGCCAGTAGCTATGTATTTGAGTTGATCTCAACTTGTATGATACAATAGCCATACTGTTTTATGAAAGAATGGTTAATGTCATTTTTCAGCAAAAGTAAAAGTTTCACATGATGATACCATGTTTAATATGAAGAATAATATAAATTGTTTTATGAAGCTACCGATAGCCGTTAGCTACTATGGACAGAAGGGTGAGGGGAATAAGGATGAGGACATTCCCCTTTCTATAATTCTGGATCAGCCCCTGGTTAACCATGTGTAAAATTTACATTAGATATAGTGTTACATTTAAAGCGCCATTGTTATATCTCCTGATATTATTTAATACTGAAGAGAAATATACAGCATTATTATAGAGTATGAACTGTATATACATAGAGAAACCTACCTCCTCTTCCTGCATCATCTTGAAGATTTCTCCAAATTCTGAATTTTCACCAATCCCTATTACAAAACCCTGAAACATAATTTCATGAAATTTTAATGACCAACCTACAGTTACAGAGAAAACTCGCTAATTATCTGGAAAATAAAATTAAACACACTTTCTCCATAATATAAAGTACTTTTAAACAATTTCTTATTTCTCAATCATCACAATGTATAGACTAAGCAGTCATTTTGCATTGATAAAGGGCCCCAGGCGTTATCACTACTGTACAATATCGTCACACAGGTACACTGTCAGCTAGTACAGTGTATTACCTTTCCTCGTCCACACCTGACCTGTGTCCCCTGATAAAGGCCCCCAGGCGTTTTAACTACTGTACAATATTGTCACACAGGTGCACTGTCGGTTAGTATTACCTTTCCTCGTCCACACCTGACCTGTGTCCCCTGATAAAGGGCCCCAGGCGTTATCACTACTTTACAATATCGTCACACAGGTACACTGTCAGTTAGTATTACCTTTCCTCGTCCACACCTGGCCTGTGTCCCCTGATAAAGGCCCCCAGGCGTCATCACTACTGTATAATATCGTCACACAGGTACACTGTCAGCTAGTATTACCTTTCCTCGTCCACACCTGACCTGTGTCCCCATAAACGCAATATTCTTCCTTTCGTTAATGTCGATCTGTTGTTTCTTTGGTAAAGCGTTGGCTACTTTTGAGCGTGGTACAATTTCTCCTGTGAAACTCGACTCGTCTATAGCTAATTGTTGAGACTGAAACAAAATGATGAAACAATGAGACTATGCATATACCTTATGACTTTGATTATAGACACCAAGCACTGAATACATTCATAGTTGAATTCAGGGGGATAACGGTCATTATCAAAATTACAGATTAAGTTGTTTCCCTTTGGTTTTGTTGTTAGTTTCGGACTGAAAAGAATCAAGTATGGTGCTACAGAAGACAAAAAAAGCAAATGGATTTATGTGTAAAAATTCCTTCTTATGAAATGTAACACAGAAAGAAGTTATCATTTCCTACTGTAAAACAGTACTAATCTGTACATTTGATTACATCTGATCAGACCTTCTATAAGTTATATGTATGTATCATTACCTACTGTGAAACAGTACTAATCTTACTGTACATTTGATTACATCTTACAAATGAAGTGATCAGACCTACTATAAGTTATATGTATTTATCACTACCTACTGTGAAACAGTACTAATCTCACTGTACATTTGATTACATCTTACAAATGAAGTGATCAGATTTTCTATAAGTTATATGTATTTATCATTACCTACTCTGAAACAGTACTAATCTTACTGTACATTTGATTACATCGTACAAATGAAGTGATCAGACCTACTATAAGTTATATGTATTTATCACTACCTACTGTGAAACAGTACTAATCTGTACATTTGATTACATCTTACAAATGAAGTGATCAGATCTTTTATAAGTTATATGTATTTATCATTACCTACTGTGAAACAGTACTAATCTTACTGTACATTTGATTACACCTTACAAATGAAGTGATCAGACCTTCTATAAGTTATATGTATTTATCATTACCTACTGTGAAACAGTACTAATCTGTACATTTGATTACATCTTACAAATGAAGTGATCAGACCTTCTTTAAGTTATATGTATTTATCATTCAGATATACACTTTCTGACATAGTTCTCATTACAAGGACAGTATGGCCTACCTCAAACAGTCTGATATCTGCAGGAACTCTGTCCCCCATAGCGAGGCAAACTACGTCCCCAGGTACTAGTTCTCGTGCCAGGAATGTCTGCAGCTTCCCTTCCCTAATACTGAAAACACAAACATCTAGTCACTCTCCTCTCTCTAAAAGTCACATCAAAGTTGGCTGAATGAATCCAAGTCAAAAGGATGTACTGTACCTGTACATTGTAGGCAGCTTGTAATCTCACAGAGCTAGATATCTATATATAATGAATTCAGCTTTCACTTTAATAACTTGCCTGCCTAGGTACATCCTACAGTTAATAGTGGGCGGAACAATTTACCCAATACTCTTATTGATTTACCAAATTCAGCTGCCGATTTACCAAAGTATGCTGTTGATTTATGGAACCTTGCGAACATTGTCAAGAACCAATATGAATGTCTAAATTAAATTCTCCATGGATATAAATTGAATAGTCTATCTGTACTTCTGGCATTTAGGAGTTTTACAATGAGATCATAATGGGTACTGTAAACAAGAAAACCTTGTACTGTAAATTATTTTATTTCCGAGATTAATCTCAATAAAAGTAATATTAATTGATATTGACTATTAAAAATTATGTTTTCTATAAACTGCCTTCAAAGCTACTGATTTTGGTTCAGATACAGATAAAGGAGAGACAGCAGTGTAAGTGGTTGTTTTGGTATAAGTCTCTGGTACACACACACAGATAAAGGAGAGACAGCAGTGTAAGTGGTTGTTTTGGGATAAGTCTCTGGTACACACACACAGATAAAGGAGTGACAGCAGTGTTGGCTGTTTTGGTATATGTCTCTGGTACACACACACAGGTAAAGGAGAGACAGCAGTGTAAGTGGTTGTTTTGGTATAAGTCTCTGGTACACACACACAGATAAAGGAGAGACCGCAGTGTAAGTGGTTATTTTGGTATATGTCTCTGGTTCATACATACAGATAAAGGAGTGACAGCAGTGTAAGTGGTTGTTTTAGTATATGTCTCTGGTACACACACACAGATAAAGGAGTGACAGCAGTGTAAGTGGTTGTTTTGGTATATGTCTCTGGGACACACACACAGGTAAAGGAGAGACAGCAATGTAAGTGGTTGTTTTGGTATATGCCTCTGGTACACACACACAGATAAAGGAGAGACAGCCATGTAAGTGGGTGTTTTGGTATATGTCTCTGGTACACACACACAGGAAAAGGAGAGACAGCAATGAAAGTGGGTGTTTTGGTATGTGTCTCTGGTACACACACACAGATAAAGGAGAGACAGCAATGTAAGTGGTTGTTTTGGTATATGCCTCTGGTACACACACACAGATAAAGGAGAGACAGCCGTGTAAGTGGTTATTTTGGTATATGTCTCTGGTACACACACACAGATACAGAGAGACAGCAGTGTAGGTGGTTGTTTTGGTATATGTCTCTGGTACACACAGATACAGATAAAGGAGAGACAGCAGTGTAAGTGGTTGTTTTGGGATAAGTCTCTGGTACACACACACAGATAAAGGAGAGACAGCCATGTAAGTGGTTGTTTTGGTATATGTCTCTGGTACACACAGATACAGATAAAGGAGAGACAGCAGTGTAAGAGGTTGTTTTGGTATAAGTCTCTGGTACACACACACAGATACAGAGAGACAGCAGTGTAAGTGGTTGTTTTGGTATAAGTCTCTGGTACACACACACAGATAAAGGAGGGACAGCAGTGTAAGTGGTTGTTTTGGTATATGTGTCTGGTACACACACACAGATAAAGGAGAGACAGCAGTGTAAGTGGTTATTTTGGTATATGTCTCTGGTACATACATACAGATAAAGGAGTGACAGCAGTGTAAGTGGTTGTTTTGGTATATGTCTCTGGTACACACAGATACAGATAAAGGAGAGACAGCAGTGTAAGTGGTTGTTTTGGTATGTCTCTGGTACACACACATAGATAAAGGAGAGACAGCAGTGTAAGTGGTTGTTTTGGTATATGTCTCTGGTACAGACACACTGATAAAGGAGAGACAGCAGTGTAAGTGGTTATTTTGGTATATGTCTCTGGTACATACATACAGATAAAGGAGTGACAGCAGTGTAAGTGGTTGTTTTGGTATGTCTCTGGTACACACACATAGATAAAGGAGAGACAGCAGTGTAAGTTGTTGTTTTGGTATATGTCTCTGGTACATACATACAGATAAAGGAGTGACAGCAGTGTAAGTGGTTGTTTTAGTATATGTCTCTGGTACACACACACAGGTAAAGGAGAGACAGCAGTGTAAGTGGTTTTTTTGGTATATGTCTCTGGTACACACACGCAGATAAAGGAGAGACAGCAGTGTAAGGGGTTGTTTTGGGATATGTCTCTGGTACACACACAGATAACGGAGAGACATCAGTGTAAGTGGTTGTTTTGGTATATGTCTCTGGTTCACACACACAGATACAGAGAGACAGCAGTGTAAGTGGTTGTTTAGGTATATGTCTCTGGTACACACACACAGACAAAGGAGAGACAGCAGTGTAAGTGGTTTTTTTGGTATATGTCTCTGGTACACACACACGGATAAAGGAGAGACAGCAGTGTAAGTGGTTTTTTTGGTATATGTCTCTGGTACACACACACAGATAAAGGAGAGAGAGCAGTGTAAGTGGTTGTTTTGGTATATGTCTCTGGTACACACACAGATAACGGAGAGACAGCAGTGTAAGTGGTTGTTTTGGTATATGTCTCTGGTACATACACAAAGGTATCGACATTACTTAATAGTTTATCGTTAAGTTTTTGTTGAGATATCTAACTAGACAATTGAAGGAATTAGTGGGATTTTGTTGAATAACCTAATAACATGATGCCTTGTTGACAAGTGTGATGTTATTAGAACATCTCACAAAACAGTACCCTACTTATCCTGCACTTTCCTAATGCAGTAACTTTTTTTTTTTAAATGTAACACAGAAAGATTTATTTCCTATTGAATACCACTTTTATGTCAATTATATGTTTACCACTATTTTTTACAAATTCTTGTGTAATATTTAACAGAAAAAACATCAAATATTTGTTCATAGTGAAATATAAAAACTTATTTGCAATGTACTACATATTACCAGTGACATTTTGGAGGGACAAGTTTAGTCAGGGCTTCCAGTGACTTTTCTGATCTGTACTCCTGGGAACACAAATAAAGGCTCATTGAAACAACATAAAGATTCCATAGATAATCAATGGTGACAGTTATTCAATTCAGAGTCAGGAAATTCAGGGCCTTCAAGAAAAGGTCATTGAAATTGATTTTCCAAATGTTAATAAGATATTTATTTAAGAATAAACAAAATATCATATGGTCAAGTTAGAACTATATTCCTGGCTATAACCAATATGAATATTCATACCACAGTGGTAAATAAAATAACACAGACACAGATAAAATTGATCTGCATGCTCATATTTAGCATAAATAATTTTATTTTCTATGCACCTGTTACACATCTACATAATATAATTACCTGTACAAATGCAACTGTCACAACAATTATGATGGCCTGGAAGAAAGTAGAAACAATAATTTAAAATCATGGTTTTAAAATGTTTTAATGAATGGAGAGTAGTAGATAATATAAGATACCAGGTAATATAAGATACCAGGTAATGTAAGATACCATGTAATATAAAATACCAGGTAATATAAGATACCAGGTAATGTAAGATACCAGGTAATATAAGATACCAGGTAATTTAAGATACCAGGTAATATAAGATACCAGGTAATGTAAGATACCATGTAATATAAGACACCAGGTAATGTAAGATACCAGGTAATGTAAGATACCATGTAATGTAAGATACCATAAGATACCAGGTAATATAAGATACCAGGTACTGTAAGATACCATGTAATATAAGATGCCAGGTAATATAAGATACCAGGAAATGTAAGATACCAGGTAATGTAAGATCCCATGTAATATAAGACACCAGGTAATGTAAGATACCATATAATGTAAGATACCATAAGATACCAGGTAATATAAGATACCAGGTAATGTAAGATACCAGGTAATGTGTCAGATGTTGGTGAACTACATGTAGCCCTCAAAATTCACATGCCATGGACATTATAACATTAGAATTGTATTTTTTGATATAACTATACCTTCTATTTTTGTTTGTACGTGAAGTTTTCGGTATATAATTGGGTAGATTGTTGTCTTTGTATTATAGTATAATGTAGTATTTTTACAATCATGAAAAAGGAGGAGTTAGCACTGAAATGTTGAAAAATGATTTAGTCTGCAGTGTGGGACATGTATTGTAATACAGCTATTTGTATGTTTACATATACATTACTGTAAATCACAAAGTTTTCAAAAATACCTATTTTTGCGAATGCTTTTCCAATCAAATATCCATGATTGTCTGAATCCTTGACTGAAAGGATGACTACTCCTACTGTCTATAACTACTACATGTTCCTTGATTAACACATTGTGGTCAACCATCCTCATGAATTAAAGCCAAATTAAATATCCTACAAAAAATACCTGATTTGGAGAAAAAACAGTTCACTGTGGGCAAGAATACTATTAACTTTTCTTTGGGTCATAAACACTTCTACTGAAGATAAATGTAGATCATTATTGTGTCAATTAAACGCCATCAAACTATTAAGACTGTTTCAAAATTAAAGCCTCAATATGAATCCCCCCCCCCCCCCTCCACACACGTTTCTGACACAATATACTTACCACAGTAATGCTGATAGCATCATCAAACTGCTTCATAAAGATGCTGATAACTGCTGAGGCCAACAGCAGCAGGATTAGTGGATCATTGAACTATAGAAAAAGACGTTTTATATAAAATGAAAAAATTGGATTATAACATAACTATGTGTTATGTTATAATATCATCTTAAAAAATACCCGACCAGTTCTACTGAAGTATACTTCTTTACTGTATGCATGTGCAACACCAAGATATAAGAGATCACCAAAAGAGCATTCTTTTTGGAGCATAAGCAAATTTTAAAACATCAAAGTATTTATCAAACACTGACATCAATTTCAGCACTTTAAATAGCCTGATGAACCATGTTTAAAATCGTGTGGGGTAGAACAAGGTTCTTTAATCAGCAGTAAACATTTGAATCTCAGGTTTACCTGTCCTAGATATTTTTTCCAGAGTGGTTCATCTTTTGTGATTTCAAACTCATTGTAGCCATGTACTGCTCTACGTCGATCGGCCTCCTCCTGTTCCAGTCCTGTACTGGACTCTGTCCTTAGCTGGTTCTCTGTCTCTGCCACAGACAGCTGACAAGCGTCTTCTGAACATATTGTTGACATCATTCCAAAGCAGACACTGGAAGTCCCTGTGTTCGTCTAATGTTCATACAAAATGATATGTATGGAAACTTCTTGGGTGTCTAAGGACTTTTTACATCATGATATGGCTATGCTGTGTAACTGATAGTAACTGTAAGACAGAAATAATAGAGCAAGTGAGAACAAAAATAGTAGATAGATGAGCTGGTATATTTTTGTATATAATTATCAATTACCACACTCCCGTAAAAAAAATACCACAGCAGAGTGAACAGCATAGAATTGCTGAAAGCAAAATGGGACAAAAAATTAAGAAGCCAGTGGAAAAACAATGTAACATGAAAGACTTTTTTATATATATTATAGTGAATAGCATTCAATAAATGTCACAGGTTATAGCAGATCAAAGCAATGGAATAGATAAATCCTTGTATATCTATACAATCTCACATTCATGTCAGTTGTGGTCCGCATGTATATACTATATTTGTAGTTCTTGTATTTCATTAGAAGTGACGACTGGTTTCGCCCCTACAGTGGGTTTCTTCAGGACAAAATTATAAGATATTTCTACACCTCAGGAGGGGGGGGGGGGGACCCAGGAATTAATTTTAACATTGCCCAAAATTTTAAACCCAGAATTTTTTTTCTGAATATGTAATACTAAACTTTTTCAAGCACTGCCAAGCGTAAAAAGCAAGAATTTATCGGACATTATTTCCATTGTCAAACAGATCGAATGAGGCATAGAATAGTTTTTTGAGTTAGTGGTATTATTCCAGGTTATATTTTATAACATAGAGGATTTATATTTTATGATGGCCAAGCAGAGCAAGTGTTAACAAATTCTCTAAAACAATGGTAAAAATGTTGGTTTTTGGTTAAAATGTTGCTGTTTGTGTCATGCCCGTCATGTGCATGTATTTTAGGTGAGCATTTTGGCAATTAAATATTGATTTATTTTGTCATATTTAACTGTTTGTCTTTTATTGTGAATTTGTATGCTTGCATATGTACAAGGGCAACACCCAATGAAAAGGATATAGATGCCAGGCTTTTATGCTAACATTGGTTATAATTATTATTCACCTGACGAAGTAATGCTAAGGTGGGAGCTTTATTGTCTTCAATTTTTTTTTAATTTAAACTTTTTAATCGGTATAATAAATCACTCCTGGTTATCAATCAATCAATCAATCAAATATTTTTATTCCTCTGTTAAGAGATTTACAAAAAGAAAGAGTTATTTACATCAAATTAATTTGAACGTGTTGAGTCTATACCATTATTTTGATACAGTTCTTCCTCGAATGCATGAGTAAAATCATTTTACTTTTGTTGGCACACTGGTACAGTATATATTAAAAGTCAGGGTGGATTATCATTTGATAAGAACACATGAGCAGCACTTCTGATAAATTTGGCACTGTCCAAGAGTAATTCCTGGTATTCATATCTTTACTTTCTAGTTTTTCTGCTGGAACATGTTTCCCGAGAAGAGTCCTTATGAAGTCTTCGTACTGCAGATTGTCTAAATAGACAAATAATGGTATGCCATATTTATCTATAATCCGTTTCATGTAGATGTCATGAAGGTCAGCTGTAGCCCGACAAACAGTCACATAATGTAAAATAGCATCTATGTACAGTACGTTACATAGTTTACACTGTTGCTCTATCCATTGAGGGGAACATGTCACCATTTTACACACAAACTTGACGATTTTGAGGTCCATCATAGTTTTAGGTGTTTTCCTAAGAATGTGTGGAGACGTATACGCACTATGAATGTCGCTATATCGCAAAAAGTCAAGATCGTCCGCAAGTCTTTCATTCAGGAGAGAGTCCTCCATTGTTTTAATAGAGTAATTTACAGTCCATTTCCACATCACTTTTGAGGGGAAATTGACATTTGTTATGTACCCTTGCAGGAATTGTTGTAAATTGTATTTATATAACATAGACCAAATATCAGGTATAAATCTGAGTTGGTAATTACATGGGTCTTGAATGAACTGGTATAACCTTCGAAGAAATATCTGTTTGGAAAGAGTTTCTGACTTGAGGTGAATGAGAGTAGAAAGGAAGTTGAGCTTCCTTTTGTCGATTTCTGACGGCAGTCTATGAAGGCCTAGCATAGATTCATACATATCGGATCTGGTTAGTTTCCGGAAGCATTGAGTTCTTTTTGCAATTGCGTGCTGTAGGACGTTAATGCGCTGTAGATAATTTTTAGTAATTATAGACCAAAACTTGGAACCTTAAAGAACACTTGGGATTATGACTTTCTTGTACAATTCCGTTGTTTTTAAAGGGTTGGTCTATTCACAATCCTGTCCAAGTTTGGTTATTAGATTGAAACAGTTCCTGCCTTTATTACACCCGTTTTCTATAGCTAACGTACTTTTGAGATCGGTGGAGATAATAATACCTACATGCTTATATGAGTCAGAGAGATTTGTAGGTTATGTTCCATGATTGACCATTTGAAGTCGTTATTCCGTTTATGGCTATTACCGAAGACGAGAACTGTGCTTTTGTCCGCATTTTACGTGAACTTCGATGTTTTCGTGTATTTTGTGCAGATGTCTAGTAGCGTTTGTAAGGCTGACGGACTGGTTGCAATCAATGCAATGTCGTCTGCAAGAGCTGGGTTACTACAATTTATGTCGTAAATCTTGGCTCCAACTCGGCTATGTTCCAACTCTAAGAGAAGGTCATTTATGAAGAAGATATATAAAAAGCTGGAGATCACTCCTCCTTGTCTAATTCGAGATTTGACCGGCAGCCATCTTGATCTTGTACCGTGTGTCATAACTGTGCTATATATATATATCAATATATGAATTATTAATTAAAGTTAGGATTTTCCCTCGCACACCCAACTTGAATAGCTTTTGCATAAGGCTGTGATGCCACACAGTGTCAAATGCCTTTCGCGTGTCTAAGAATGCCACGAATACTTTACTGTTGTTTTCCAAGTTATAGTAAATGGCCTCTCGCAAGTTAAACGCAACTGTGGAGCAGCTGAGGTTTCTTTGGAATCCTTGCTGTTGTTTACAAAGTGGGTTCGCGATACACGACAACCAGCTCTGGATTCTATTGCTTATGAGTTTTTCTAACAGTTTGTAGATTGCCGGAAGTAATGTAATCGGGCGGTAATTATCTGGATTATTTTTGGGCTTGTGCCCTCCTTTATAAATTGCAATGACAATGCCACATTTCCACGTCTTTGGTATATATCCTTTGTCTAACATTGCGTTAAAAAGTTTCATAATACAAAGAAACAGCTGACGTCCCCATAACGCAAATGTTCGCTACAGATATTGTCAACTCCAGGAGCTTTGTTTAGTTTCAGGTCCTTGATGGCATTTATCACTTCATCGAGTGTAAACTTGTAATTATGAATATCGAAGTTTTCCAAGACTGTGTTATCATGTGTTAGAGATGATTCGTCAGCATCAGGTTGAGTGTAAATCTGTTCAAAGTAGTTTGCGAAAGCTTCACAGATATCGTTGGGGTTCTGTAGGGAGTTTCCGTTATAAACTAATTCGGGGAATGGATCAGCTTTTACGGATTTTCGTCAACTAATAACCTTCCAGAATAGACGAATGTCAACTTCCGCTGTTAGTTCTAATTCTTGTTGACATTCTAGTAAATACGTGTTATATGCATGTTCATGAACTTCTCTGAATATTTTCTTTTCTAAGATTTATAACTCTGATACTGTAGACCGCAATGACTTCCTTCACTGATCCACAAAACGCGTTTTTGTAAAGAATTTTTGTGTGCAGACTTTGCCTCGAGAGACCAGTAAGGTTTATGGTGGGGATTATGATTTCTCAATGGAATTGTATTATTAGCCGCTGTAATTGCCGAGAGAGTCATAATTTCAGCGTAAGTATCTATATCACATTGCGTTTGTAATGGCATATCTAGTAGCCCTTTCAGTCTGTCCGTAAGCACTAATTGATAATTAATCAGGTCGTTGACAGAGGCTTTGTTCCAGGCTCGGAAGTCGTCCGATAGTGGTGTTCTACTTGAATGATCTCACTTTATCGGCACAATAAATGTGCAAATGATCGGGAGATGATCTGACGATATGTCCGTTTCTGAGGTAGTGAATATTTCACAATAGTTAGCAGAGTTGTAGACAAAAGTTTTGTCAGTGAATATATAGTCCAGCATTGTCTGACAGGGAATAAACGTGTATCTGTAGCCTCGACAGCTACTAAGACAGTTTAATGGAACTAAATTAAGGTCCGAGATTACCTTCATAAGTGCTGTAGAATTGTGTTTTGACACAGGGTATTGAGGGTTTTCATTTATCTTTGCGTTAAAGTCGCCACAAAGAATCACTTTTCATGACAGCGAATAATAAACATATGCATCACACAGTTGTTGAAGCAATAGATCGTAATCCTGTAAATTACTGTCACTTGGCATATAAACGTCTAATATGGTGATCATTTCAGTATTATTAGTATGTATCTTTATTGCTATTAGTCTATCAATGCTGACATTATTGAGGATAGAAACACTATAGAATAGGTCTTTCTTTATCAAAGCCACAACTTTGTGAGAATGACAATGTCACTTTGATATTCTGGCATGGACAACAGATCTAGATGTCCAATACATGCTGCTGATGTGGAAATTCCCCTAGCATTCCAAGTCAAAAGCTTCAGGTTCATGGTGGGCAGAAAACATGAAGTAAAATGTAATGTTACACATTGTTGGTATAAGCGGTTTTACTTCTTTGGATTTTTAATGATCGGTGGACCAATAATGGCTGGAATCTCTATTCAAATTATATTGGTTGTAGTAGTCTGAATTATTATCCTCCCAGTCGTCTGCCGCACTGTCGTTGTAAGAAGGGTACTCGTTAATGTCTTCGTGTCTGTAATCAGAAAGACCCGACGCCAGTTTTCGGTATGAACATGTATCGAATCCTGAACTGAGTTATCTATTGCGTTGTTTCTGTTTTCAAATCGATGCTTTTTATTTTGTTCTTCACACTGCTGTTTCTCAGTTGCTGGAGGTACACCGTCATGGGTCGATAAGTCCCGAGTTTTTAACATGGAAATAGAATCGCAGCTGTTTACTTTGTGAGTTTTCATTTCACTTTATTCCCCATTTCAGTAATAAAATTGTTACTCAAATGGGAAACTGTTACCCAAATGCAGGATTATTACCCATATGAGCCGTTGTGCCCAACCTGTTTATTAGAATGCTAGTCTCTTCGGTAACAAGTCGTTTCGGTAACAAGTCGTTTCGGAGTCCATAAGATGTTTTGGGACATGGCACAAGATGTTTCAGGACTTAATCAAGTCATTTTCAGGACATATAAAATTTTCACTTATAAATTACATTTCGCTCCTGTTTCATATATAGTCCTGTAAAGACACAAGAATGTTTTGAGTCTATGACCTGTGTCACAACTTACCTGTGCTTGAGATCATTAGTGTAAACAGATTGTGAGTGCTTCAGGGGATACCTACCAACATTTATCTGATTGACAGTGTGTTGGTACCTGGTGAAACTAATCTCATTATTAAATACAGATCTTGAGGAAATTATAAAATTTAACATTCATTCTTTCTTTCGTTAATAATAGGTTCCTTGTTTGATATTGCAATTTTGTACTATTATGTTTTCAATTCACTCTATTCCCCATTATTGACATTAAGAGACCAAGGAGTTAACATTGTTTCTAACAATGTTTTAAGCATTTTATTTTGCTATATTGAAATAAAATTTCATGAAAGTAAAAACGTGAAACACGTTAAATATGCTTTAGACATGTGAATCAATTCATCAAATTCAGCAATATATTTTGAACGACGTTTTTATGTTGTATATTTGTGTCTGTGTGAATATTATATGTATATTTACTTCATGTTTTATCAAAGTCATGTAATGGTAAATTTATGACGAGAGAAGGCCTATGCCTATGATAAGTTGAAATAACTTTGAACAAATCCATTGTTAAAATGTATTTGACATTAAAATATGTTTAAAGAAAAATGGCAATGTTAGTACCTGAGTACAGAGGAAAAGAAAATGATAAATCCCGAAACGACTTTTGACATGTCCCGAAACGACCCGAAAAAGTCCCGAAACGACTTTAGTCTTGTTACCGAAACGACCTTTCACCGTTAATCAGTTAATGACATACATGACATGATTATATGCTAAGTAACACATGAACACGTCCTACTGTCCTAAGCAGCGAGCAATGTCAAGCTGTAAAATTTCTCATTGAATAATTTAAGCGAATAAAAATAATTAAAAGAAGACCTGTACATACTTGGCACTTGCTGGTTGGTGTTGAAAAGGATGTAGTCAATCACTAGTTGACCAGTCACCTCTACAAATTGTTTTTACGGTGATATTATGACAGCTTTTGACAACAGATTTGCGTAATCGTTGTGATGGAATTTGCTTTCCTTCAAACCCAAAATTACTTCCAAATCAAACATTCATAAGATCCAAAATAAACTCCCAGTGCTTGGCAAGGGAGAGAAGTCGCAAGCAGTATAAAAACAAGATATTTTTTTCACAAAGTCAATAAAAAAATACTTTTTAACATTAGAAGCAGATGTATTAACCATTTTAAATATTTCGTTTTTTTCCCAAGAAGTAAGTAAAAGCAGCATTGTATGATAACATTGTGATTGTCTAATAATGAAAATACACGGTGTGTCCAGTAAAATTGACCCTATATACAGATACTGTAACATATGTTTGTTTTGTTTTTATTTTGTTTGATTATTCAACCTACTAGAAATATACAAAATAAATGATAATTGATAAAATGTCAATCTATCATAATCGGCAACATTTATTCATATTCTTTAAACTAATTTCGTTATCAACAAAAAGTAGGGGAATAAAATTGCAGGTGTCAAATTTGCCCTAACACAAAAAAGGAGCACGTTGGACAGGCTGTGCCGGTAACTCGGACCAAAACTTATTTGTGAGTAGTCGTGTTTTATATAAGCTTTGTAAACATTATGAAAACTCTCTGTGCATTGTGACATGTTCACATTTTCTCATATTTCATTTGGATAACGGTTGAAATGACAAGCAGCCATGTTCTAGCGAGTTGCATCATACCGGATCAAGATGATTGCTTTTGTGACATCTGTAACGGTGTCACGTGTGTATAAAAATAGGTTCATATTTATTTCAATAGCTTGCATCATTTCAAATAGTGGTTAGGATAGGTTGATTACAAGTATAAAAGTCATAGGTACAGTTGCGCTTTTCACATTTCTCATGGAGGATTTAAATGTTTATAGAGCTGTCAATTTATATGATCAGTACATTATTGATACTGAAGCTTTAAGGTATTAGTATGAGATTGGCTCATAACTTGAATGATAAAAATGTGGAAGTTGGTTGGTATACCCATGTCAGGAAAAATGTCAATAATGACCTTTGCAGAAATTATTTGTTGAAAATATTGTTGACTTTGTCTGAAAAGTTACATTTGAATGCAGAATTCTAGTGGTGCAAAATTGCAAGGAATAATGGAATTAATGAAAAAACTTACCTGAACATGCATTCCTGAAGTATCCATTTATTGACTATTATCGAGAAAAATGTAAGAAAATATGTCAAATCTCCAGAATAATAGCATATATTGCCACTGAATAAATCACAACTGAGCATAAAGCCAACAAGCTTAAGCTGCCTGAAGTCTGGGGAAAGCATGCAAAGCAAGTGCGATTTTACCTGTACACCATTCAAAACACCTTCAGGTTCTCACTCAGATAATCTGGCTTGACTAGTATCAATAGCCTTGTTAGCTTCATGAATTATTGTAAAATATCCAATGAAAATACATGCCATCATTCTTGAGATTTGAAGTATTTTCTTACATTTTTCTCGATAATATTCAATACACGGATACTTCAGAAATGCATGTACAGGTAAGTGTTTTCATGAATTACGACAATTAATTTCTGCAAAGGGCATTATTGACATTGTACTTGACATGGGTATACCAACCAACTTCCATATTTTTTTCATTTTGAGGAAAAGTTATGAGCCCATCTCATACTATATACACTGACAAAGGCATGTATGAAATACCTTAAGTGTAATATACTTTAATTATTTTTAAAGCTGCGTATACTATACAGCCAAATAAACCCTGTTTGCTGATTTCCAGGTTATCAACAACCATCAAGGAAAAAACAGTTGAAGATGGACGCCTCGTTAACAGGTAACCAGGTGCGCCAGCTGTTCATAGACTACTTCAAGGAGCAGCAGCACATCTATGTCCATTCCTCCTCTACGATTCCCCTGGATGACCCAACTCTACTATTTGCCAATGCAGGCATGAATCAGGTGAATATGCACTTAATAAAATAATACATAATGTAAATAAGTACAGTATATGGTCACAAATGGCCCCATCAGAGATATTGATGTATGCAATTAATGCTTATAAATGCATCAAAGATGTCATTAGATGACTTCATTTTAGAGAGCAAGGCAATTTGTATCATTGGTGCCAAATACTGACACATCTAAATTTTTACTTTAGAGCAGTTCCACTCTGGATTCATCAGGATTTTTAATTTTTCAAAACTCGTTCTTCAGATATACATAAGAAAAATGGAAGTTAGTAAGTAAAGTTAAACAAGAGTTTATCAAGCTTTTTTTGTTGACAGGTCAGTCTGGTATAATTGTCGGGTTATTTATAGTTCAAATTGAAATTAACTTGTCCTTCAAAGGATATTTTAACTTTACCAATGCACGATTGATGAACCATTTTACAGAAAGAAATTCAAAGGGTCTAACTTCTAGGTATATTATCATATTGTCGATTGGCATTGCAGAAGATAACTGGGAAAAAATAATACCTTTTGTGGGGTTTTCCCTGTATTATATACATGTCATTATTACAGTAGACTTCACTATAATTTAAATTTCTGTTTCAGTTTAAGCCCATATTTTTGGGCACCGTTGACCCAAACAGTGACATGTCCAAGTATGTGCGGGTGGTCAACTCCCAGAAGTGTATACGTGCTGGAGGTAAACATAATGACCTGGATGATGTTGGCAAGGACGTGTACCATCACACCTTCTTTGAGATGTTGGGGAACTGGTCATTTGGAGATTACTTTAAGGTACATGAACTTGGAGTAATCTTACATTATTAACTTATTCACCCCTGAAAACACATTTAAACTCTTCCAATTCAAAGGTTGGAATAGTTCATTATGAAATTTCAGGGGTGAATGAGTTAAAGAACACTAAGTTGAGATAGTTCTAGGTATAGTCCTTATTCAAACAGGATTGTCTCCAACAGGAATGAACTGTACCTTTCACCTGTCACGTTGACCTAAAAATTAGCTCCAACAATATTTGTAACAGGCCAGTCAAAACTTATATAGGGATCATGATCACCCAAGCAGACGTGACACCAAAGACCTTATATACTGTACTCTATGTACCTGAACATTGCACAGGTGGGCATACCTTAAAAACACTTGGAACAAAATAATTTAGTAGAATACCTTGAAGCTAAAGTCAGAACATAAGAACAGGTCACATTGCAGACTTGTGAACCCATGTTCTATATACCGGTAATGTGACTGGGTGAAGTGTGTAAACAGCTATGTAAGTCAGCTAAACTAAAAAGTAAACTTACCTGTCTATCCTTCTGATCTGAACAGTCCTTCTGTTTGTCATATTTTACTGACATGAATAAAAAAATCTTTGTTCTGGTCACTTTTTGAGAATTATATTTTGCAATCATTCCAATTGTTTCAAAGTGCTGAGTGCCCAGGATCTATATTTAGTAAAATATGGTCAGATGACTTTGAAATTATGTCAAATTATGCAGATATGTTATATACAAATTTATTTGCTGTACAGTTCAAAATTGAAATCAAGTAGTCTTAAAACAAGCATGTGTACCATATGTTATGACAACTTCTGTCCAGTTTTTATTTTTTCATGAAATGTAATGATATATGAAATAAGCATATGTTATGACCTAACTTACAGAAAGATTGTTGCGCCTTTGCCTGGGAGCTGTTGGTGGACAGAATTAAGATGCCCAAGGAAAGGCTGTATGTAACCTACTTTGGAGGAAATGAAGCCATGGGACTTGCCCCAGACAACGACACTCGGGACATATGGATAAACCTGGGGTAGGCACCCAATAATAGTTGTCACATCTTTACTGCATAGATTTAAAAGATTTCCCAGTGGGTGGTTGGGTAGAGATTCTGTCTATTAAGCTTGTGCACATTGACTACGTACACAGGTTTTGGGAGGGATGCCAGGGTTGGGGTGCCCCAGGTTCATCCCTGTTACATATATGATTAAGCCTCATGCAGGAGGCCCACTTTTTCTTTTTCACCTCTTCTCTCAAACTCCAAATCATTAGCTCATTCATTCTCATTCATTCCAATAGTAATAATATTTAATTTGATCGAATTGATATATATTAAATTACACAAACCATTCCTTCTATTCATATTCAAATATTGACGGTACATTCATATTTATCAATTCATCTAAGGGTATATGCCAAAAACCTGCTTTATTGATTTGGGATTGCTGTATTTTCCTTAGATTTAGACCAGAAAGACCAAATTTATGCTACATGTACTGAAAATGATGTTGTTTTTATACGACCGTCAAATTTGACGGTAGTATTATGGTATGGCGCTGTCCGTCCGGCAATCTCCTCCTACATTTTTCGACCGATCTATTTGAAACTTGGGATACATTATAATCATGATATGAAGTTGTGTCTCTCTTAAAAGAATTTTGATTCGACAATTTTTCCAAAAGTTTTTGCACTGAGGTGTGTGGGCCTCCTTCTAAGGGCAGATGGGTGGGGCCCATTAGGGGAAATAGAGGAAAACATCAAATATCCTTCTTCTTTTGTACCGATGAAGGGATTTTGACCAAATTTGGTCTGGAGCATCATTGGCCAAAGGGTTCTCAGTTTTGTATGAACGGAGGGTATGGTCCCCCTGGGGGCAGAGGGACGGGGCCAAATAGGGGAAAATAGGTAAATCTTTAAAAATCTTCTCCTCAACCAATTGAAGGATTTTGACCAAATTTGTCCTAGAGCATCTTTGGACAAAGGAGACTCAAGTTTGTATAAACGGAGGGTGTGGGCCTTCTGGCGGCATAGGAGCGGGGCCCAATAGGGGAAATAGAGGATTTTTTTTCTCCTACTATACAAGTGAAGGGATTTAAACCAAATGCAGTCTGAAGCATGCTTAGGGAGAAAAGAATCAATTTTGTTTAAACTGAGGTGTGTGGATTCCCCTTCTTTGGGGCAGATTAGTGGGGCCCATTAGGGGAAATAGAGGAAAACATTAAAGATCCTTCTCCTTCTGTACCGTTGAAGGGATTTTAACCTAACCAAACTTGTTTTAGAGAATCTTTGGGCAAAGGGAATTGAATATTTATAAATGGAAGATGCAACTTTGTTACTTGTACTCCTTTGATAAACCTGAATGGTACTCAGCAGGTTTTAAATTGAAAAATAAAATACCAGGTGAGCTATTAAGGCCCCTGGGCCTCTTGTTTGACCGATCTCTTTGAAACTTGGTATACATTATAATCATGATATTAAGTTGTGTCTCCCTTAACAGAATTTTGATTCAACAATTTTTCCAAAAGTTATTGTCCTTTGTTCATTTCAGTTTTTGATTTTTTGTCTGAAGATTTTCTCCTACATTTTTTTTATAGCATATCAGCTAACCACTCTTAGAATGATGCAGATCTTATTTCAATGTAAGAAAGTATATAACACTAAATGGCATTTGACAGGTGTATTTTGTTCCGCCCCGCGGTACTCTTGTTGATGTGTAAATTTGAATCACTCAAAAAGAACGTCTGGGGAAATTTAAAATGAACAAATATATGAATGTACCTACCAATTTAAACCTATATACATAGACACATAAACAGAAGTTAGCACTGGGCCAATACGGATTTTAAAAGAGAAGGGCAAAAGTTCTCCATGATACAATAAAACAATAAAGCCAATCAAAAAGAATTATTTAGTGTTTCTGGTAACCCCACCTATCATATTTTTTTGTGCCGACCCTAAACTTTTTAAGGCAATTTTCAAAGAAGCACTGTTAAAGTCAAGGTCACTCTCCTATATAAACCATATAACGTTATTTGTTGAAATAAAATGTGTTACCTACCCACCACCTACCCTAATTTTTTCCAACATGTTACAGGAAACACATATAAAAAATTGTGTGGCCTAATTGTCAAGTACCAGTGAGATATTCAGCAGTTGTTTGTTCTATTTGGGTAGGGAACCAGTGTCAGTTCAGTACCTATACTCACTGTTACAACAAGCTGTCAAGAATGTGGTATATCTGGACTATTTTTCTGGTCATTAAGTTAACTTGACTGGACTTAAGGCAGCAGACCAAAATGACCGGTTTCTGATTTTTTTGCCCATTCAATTTACATTTTTCTTATATATCTCATATGTTATTTTACAAAAGTTGTCTGGTCAAAAATGGCTTTTGTTCTGTTCAAATAGAAGTTACTGAAAAGCCTGTGACTTTCAAAGTATAACTTATATAACTTACATAATTGTACTTAACTTAATTACCAGGTATATAATACATGATTGTTAGTTATATGGTACAAACATTTGTGTTGAATAATGTTTGGGTATATAAATTAAAGCACTAATTTATTATATGCTATTAGCAATACATAGTTAAAGTTATATGAAACTTTTTGAAACAAATACAAAATAAGTTAGTTCAGAACTAACTTTTCATGAAATAGGTGACCCTGCAGTATTTGACTACCAAAGATAAGATGTCTTAATTACCATGATTACCGTGTTACGTACTGATTAGTTTTCACCTGTAAAATTACCCATTGTGATTTAAGAACAATATACATAATGTCTTGACATGGTGATGTCACATTGAAGAAATAAAACTCAAACAATGATGTTTGGCAATGATCAGGAAAAAGGTTTCAAGCAGATATTTACCAATATTGGTGGTAATGTGTTGGAAGAGATCTTGAACTCTTGCTGTTTATTTTAATATTTTTAATTGATATACGATTGATGTTGTTTGTAGAGTTGCGGTAGACAGAGTACTGCCGTTTGATATGGGAGACAACTTCTGGGAGATGGGTGAGACAGGCCCCTGTGGACCATGTACGGAGATCCATTTTGACAGAATCGGAGGTCGTGATGCCAAACACCTTGTCAACATGGATGATCCTGATGTTCTGGAGGTGTGGAACCTTGTCTTCATGCAGTTTAACAGGTTTGTTCATTTTCATATGAGTGACATTTTATTTTGAGATTTATCTTAGAAATATTACTAAAGGTATGTAATGGTAGACCGTGTTTAGAATTCTGAAGATTATTCACTTTATTATTTCAAGCATACACATAAAAATATTACAAATATAGCAAGTAAATTTTTAAACACTGCTGACCTTTTTTTTTTTTTACCTGAAATTGAAAATTTCTCTGATCAAAGGCATTTCCATTTTAGCTTCACATATTATAACATAAGGTATCACCTTATCTTTCATTAACCAACACTGAAAGATCATTTCGAGGCAGAGTTGTAATATTGGTAATGTTGGTTCAGGGATACAGACGGTACACTACATGACCTACCTAACAAGCATTGTGACTGTGGTATGGGACTGGAGAGACTGGTGTCAGTAATGCAGGGCAAGACTTCAAACTATGACACAGACCTCTTCATGCCCATTTTTGATGCCATCCAAAAGGTGAATGCTTTTTCCTAATCCACAGAAATACAACAATTTTTACCAGTGAAGATATATGATATATAATTCTCAAAGGGCTAATCCAGAAACTTAATATATATGAATAGTACAGTACTTTCATTCTTAAAGGATTGATGAGAAAATAATAGAGATTGATTAGGCCAGAAAGTATTTAAATCTGGAATAGATCTTTCCTTATAGACTGTTAAAACACTAGCATGAATCAACAATGTAAAAAGATATTGCATTTTCCATAAGGTAAAATTAGGTGATGAGTTGTCATGGTTACAGGCTACTCGGATGCATAGAGCTACACTGGTTATGTTAGCGTTGGCCAGTATTTGGCATGTATTAATACAAACTACTTGGATTCCATGGTGTACTTGTCATATGTTTAAGGCCCAGTATTGATCAATGTTTGTCATTTAATTTATGGTCACAAGCTACTGGGATTTATATCTACACAGTTCATGTAGGAAAAAACAAATATTATTCAATGTTTGGTTTCCATGGTTACGAGCTACTGGGATTCATAGCTATACACTGACTTTGTTAGGAAAGTCTAGTATCTATCAATGCTATCTATGTTTTTAGGCCACTGGGGCCCGTACCTACACCGGCCATGTGGGTAAGGAAGATGTTGATGGGGTAGACATGGCCTACAGGGTACTTGCTGACCATGCGCGTACCATTACCATCGCACTGTCTGATAGCGGCAGACCAGATAATGTTGGCAGGGGGTAGGTATTCCTCTACCTTCTGAAGTCAAAAATGCATTAATATCTTGAATTCCTTTTATAAAATAAATTGCCTATTTTGTTACTATTCCAAGAAACACAATATTTTTTGGAGGCACAGAAAAATACAATTTCATCATTTGATTTTAAATTGTTTGTTAGCTCATTTGTAAGAGCATTTAGATGATCAACTTATTACATGTAAATAATTTGCAGTTCAAATAAGCATCTGTCTTAATCTGTCATATTGGTAATCTACCAAATTAAAATTCTTTCAGTGAAGTAAGAATCACTTTGTGCGTATATATAACAAACAGATTCTTTTCATATGGAAATATCATCAATATAACTGTAATGTTATTTTTCTATAGTTATGTTCTAAGAAGAATTTTGAGGAGGGCTGTGAGATATGCCACAGAGAAACTTGGTGCTAAACCAGGCATGTTTGCTTCCCTCATAGACACTGTGGTTGAATTATTGGTAAGTGTTACAGAATCCACAATAACTATTTAGATAGGAGACAATGATGAAGACAAAATCAATGAACTAAGGTCTCTTATAACATCTTTTATCTGAATCTTGTATCTTACTATTAAAAAAGAAAATTGAAACGTCTCTACAATATGTGTCTGGACCTCAGTTTGTGATGACAGACTTCCATGATTCTGCACTAAAAGACTATACTTAACCTGTTATTTCAAACTTTCTGACTGGTTATAATGCCTCCTTTTCAAATGTAGGGAAACACACATAAACATCTGGGTCAACAAGAGTGATTAATATGCGTTGAATAATTGTATCATAATTGTTGAAAAATATATAATGTTTTTATAAATGCAGGGAGACATATTGTTTATCAAATAATGTACCGTGTTATCCAGTGAATATGCCCATGTCATATTTTTTTGCGTATTAACCCATGTAATATGACCTATCAGTCCTGTGATTGGTTGAAAGTTTCAATTGTTTCAATTGTGACGTCACCCCACGGACAAGTACATGTCATAGACTTAGGCACTGGAGTCAAAATGGCGTCTTTTTACATTTCAAGGTTGCATGTAAATGTCGTTTTACACGAATAAATGCCACAAATCTTGATTATGTGATAAAAATGATCTTGCTCTCGTTTTCATTTCATATCAAATTTATGAAACTTGTCACAAATTTTTCATTTTAGCTCACCAGAGGCTCGCTAAATTGAAAAGTTTTATACTCGTTTCATATATCTCATATGAAATGGAAACTCATGTAAGATCCTATATATAAGTACTGGATCTTCTCTATAATCTTGTTAGGGCATTACTTTTACACTGTAAAAAAATATCTTTATTTAAATTGAAGTATACTTGCATCTAATAAAAAAATAATTGAGTGATATGTACATATTTATGTTTCTAGGGAGATGCATTCCCAGAAGTGACAAAAGATCCAGAAGAGGTAATGTCTTCTCCCTGAGTGGGTGTCATTGTTGTGTAGTTGTTACTTATGGTCTATGTATGGCAATACTCATATGTTACACTACCAAATTCAGATGGCATTCATATCAGCTATAAATGCCATGGCCTGATTATAACGTCAACACTATTATGACTCCTAATGATAATGTTATATGGCTGACCCTCCCTTGGAGATGGTGGTTCTACTTATTGGACAAACGTTCATAATATAGACATTTTAGATTTGAATCGATACTGAATATATCAAAAAAAAATCTATGATATTATGTACCCCGTATTTTAAATCTGCTTCAGTTTATATCATCTGTATCAACATTAATGCCAACTAGCATGTTATAGAGTTTGTCATTTCTAATAGACTTTTATATTGATGGTAATGATATCAGTACACCAGAGTTATCACAATGACAAACTCTCTTTGAAGGTTGGCTTTCATGCACATCAGTATTAAGTTTAGATCAAAAGTTACCTCAAGGTGCATTTACTGTTAACATGACTCGATCAAGCAGATTAGAGGAAAGAAGAGAAAAGATCGAACTGACAAAGAACTAATGAAGATGGTACAAAGGTGGCCGCCATGATCCCTCTGGGATCTCTTGTTATGTCTTGGATTATTGTAGAATTATTTGCATTTATTTTCAGTTAAAAAATATAATCAATGAGGAGGAGGAGCAGTTCCTGAAGACCTTGTCACGTGGTCGGCGACTGTTGGAGAGAACTATAGGCAAACTCGGGGACACCAAAACCTTACCAGGTATGTGTCTTTGGTAACAAGGGAAAAGTCAATAACTACTGTTCAAATAAAACAGAAAATCCTTGTTGATTAGCTTCCTATACACTTTAGTATTCCTCATGTGTGGATTTTCCAGCTATAAATTGATAAAGACTAGGGGAAGTGGCAGGTATGGAGGCAATTTTTATGAAGCACATATTGTAACTATTTCTCCTGTCCTCAATAAAGATTTTTTATCATATTATAAATTAGCATCTGTGTGATACCTTTGATGTTATTACTTGGTAACATTGGCATTTGCTTAGCAACTGTACAATATCTATGATGTGTTTACTTGGTAACAGGGGAGGTTACTTGGCAACTGTACAATACCTATGATGTGTTTACTTGGTAACAGGGGAGGTTGCTTGGCGTCTACAATACCTATGATGTGTTTACTTCGTAACAGGGGAGGTTGGATGGTGTCTGTATGATACCTATGATGAGGGTTACTTGGTAACAGGGGAGGTTACTTAGCAACTGTACAATACATATGATGAGGTTACTTGGTAACATGAGAGGTTACTTAGCAACTGTACAATACCTATGACGTGTTTACTTGGTAACAGGGGAGGTTACTTAGCAACTGTACAATACCTATGATGAGGGTTACTTGGTAACAGGGGAGGTTACTTAGCAACTGTACAATACTTATGATGTGTTTACTTCGTAACAGGGGAGGTTGCATGGCGGTTGTACGATACCTATGGATTCCCGGTGGATTTGACCCAGTTAATGGCAGAAGAGAAAGGACTGATGGTTGACATGGATACTTATGAGGAGTGCAAGAAAGCAGCTCAGGTTTGGGTCATGTTCATTTGTTATAAAAATGCGAGAGAATAGAAAACTATTCAGTTTCCTAGGACATTTCTTCCCTGTGATGGAGGAGAAACATTTACAACCTACATGAAAAAATTATGTATTTACAATTGAATATAATATATGTAATTTCTCATAGAATGTGTTTTATATATAAACTTGCTTCTAATCTATATTGTTTATATACATGTTTTAGTTGTAATTTAGGCAAACGCTTCTATATGTATATATTGATGTGACTCATTGGATAATTTTCTGTCTAGAAACTGATATGACCTTTGAATGACCTTTTGTGTGTAAAACTGATGTGACCTTTTGTGTGTAAAACTGATGTGACCTTTTATGTGTAACACTGATGTGACCTTTTGTGTGTAGTACTGATGATGAGTTTGTCCTACAGTTGATGTCCCAGGGATCAGGTTGTACTGTTGATGACCAGATCAATCTGGATGTACACGCCATTAGTGATCTACAGAAGAAGGGTCTGTCCCCAACTGATGACTCGCCCAAGTACAACTACACCGCTGATGAGGAGGGAAACTACAGTATGTCCAACTTTTGTTGTATCAAATGCAGAATGGTTGTGATGAAAGTTAATTCCCTAATCAGATCTATAAAAGTGTTTGATAGAATTCATAATTAAATCTGTTTGAAGATGATTGGAGAATCGGTTTAAAAAAGATTCTTTTACATTTTAAAGTCCTCCATTATAATATACATTTCAATATAAAGCTATTGTAATAAAAATATTGTTATAATTATTTTTTTGTACAAAAATTGTAACAAATCTATTAATATTTCCATTGAATGATGACATCCTACATGCAGTGATTTCACGATTTCCAATCAGAATGATAATAAGATAACAATTATTTTGTCTCAGAGTTCGAATCTACAATGGGTAAGGTGTTGGCTATCCGTCACAGTAAACAGTTCGTCGACGAGGTAACATCGGGAAGGGAATGTGGTATTCTTCTGGACCGGACAAGTTTCTATGCTGAGCAAGGTGGACAGATATATGACCAGGGATTCCTAGTCAAAGTGAATGAAGAGGTAGGATTTTTGGCTGAGAATATAGATATTATATCCAAGAGAATAACAGGATTTTGGTTTTTAATCTGTACTTCTCCAAGGAAATAACCTCCCATTATTCCTAATTTTAAAGAAAAATATGTAGGTAGAATACATTTTTGGAAATCACTCCGGTGTACTTTTATGTCTCACAAATATTGCAGTTTTGGTGCATCATGGATAATCTGTGCACTTATCTCAAGGTGCAATATAATAAGGGTGTTTGATCAAGACTTTTCTACTGAATTATGATAAGGCCAAAACTTTTATGGGAATGATCATTGCATGGTTCTGACAAATTCGAAATTCTATTTGACTACCATATACATCATCATTAAAATATATTGTAAATTCTACTGAACTGATTTCCTTAAAATTCAATGGAAATGATCCTTATTTGGTCAAGACCGACTATGGTTGTTTTTGACTTGAAATCCAACTTTGCTATTATTTTGAAACATCTTTTTTTTTTACTCATTTCAAATACTACTGTGAGAGTTATGCTGAAACCATTATAATGTTTGACCAGATATTAGTACTGTTATTTTCAGTATGATTGGATTGATGTAAACATTATTGAGAAAGCCACTATTGTACGTAGCAGTGCCTTTTTCATTGTTCATATTTTTGCCATTTAATCAGTCCATGAAACTCATGTAAATTTTAAAGCCCCTTGGGCCTCTGTTGAAGTAATAAATATTTCTCAATTTCCTGTAGGATACAGAGTTTCAAGTACGGAATGTGCAGGTTCGAGGAGGTTATGTACTACACATAGGCGTGATTGTTGGGACTCTCAAGGTTGGGGACACTGTCCAGCTCTCCATTGACGAGGTATTGCTAAACACAGAATAACTCTGTTACTACATTCCAGTAGAATGTAGATTCCTGCTCTGACCCCAGGGAGGAGATGAATACACTCATAATACTAGGCTTGGCACCAGGGTCTGGCCTTGTCCCTGAAAACTTAATCCTTGTGTTATGACATGAAAACAGCTGAAATTCTCAACCTATAACCATGTATGCGTACTCTTGCTACTAGGATTGGCCCAGGACCAGGTCTCATACTTTGGGACTTGCTTCCTAGGTTGCAAAATAGAAATGAGATCCCAGCCATACAACCATATATGAAATTGCAGGGAGTGAATAAACAAATGCATTCATGCCATCAGTGTGTTGCCTGCCCTTGAGACTTAGTTCTTGTTACTGCTGATATTTCTGGTACACATTTGAAAAATGGGAATGGCATTCACCAGGTTTTAAATTGAAAGAAACTTCCAGATGAGCTATTTAGACCCCTGAGTCTTTAGAACAACTTTGTCATTACAAAGTGTGTATTTTATGTGTTCTAGTATCTCACTTTTTTCAGCTTTGCACAAAAAAATTGTTGTTAGAGAATTCCAGCTTGATTTTATCATGTATTACTTACAGAGTCACAGAATGGCTGTGATGAAAAACCATACAGGGACTCACATGTTGAACTTTGGCCTCCGAGGAGTGTTGCAGACTGCTGATCAAAAAGGATCTTTGGTTGCCCCTGATAGGCTTAGATTTGACTTCACTGCCAAGGTAAGATATGTTCTCAAGCAAGGAGAAAATTGCACAGAATAAGACAAAAAAGTTTCGACACATTATCAGCTAAATTAGGTCACCTGAGACTTGACCTAAGACAAAGTCTCAAGTGACCTATTGTGATCGCCTTTTGTCCAATTTACATATTAGACCTCTTCTCAGAAACCTTCCATGGCCAAATGTCAACAATAGCAGTGGCTGATTTTGTCCCCAGCCCCCAGGGGCCTAACGGGCGGGGCCAAAAAGGGTCAAATTGACTAAAATTTCAAACATCTTCTTCTCAAGACCCAGATATGGTAGAATCAAATACTCTTCATATCCAGCTCTACCTCCAAGGGCACCCAAAGGAGTCAGTGTGCTAAAATTTCTTCATTTTCCCTGTTTAGAATCAGAGGTGCTAGTTTCAAATACTTTTCAGTCTTAAATCTGTATGCTAGATATTGAATAAGGTTGATTTATTGTTATTTGTCACTTTGAATAATACTTCTGTTCATGTTTTAAAAACAAAATCAACTCTCTGTATAAATATATCAGAACTAGGGTGACCGTTAAGGCCAATGTGCCTCTTGTCTTAAATAATCCTTGTGTATACCACATAACAGTATGCACATACTTATTGTCTTTGTCCATCGCGTCGCTGTTGACACTTTTGTTTGTACTGATCAGACAGATGATCACTAACATCTGAGATCTTGAAAAAGTATTTTGATACCAGATTAGCAGAAAAATATTATATTATTCATAACTGAGTATTGAATTTGTTTCACAGAAAGCAATGACGCCAGACCAAGTGAAGGAAACGGAGGAGATAGTTAATGTGATGGCAGAAAAAAATGAAGAGGTTTATGCCAAGGAGACCAGTCTACCCGTGGCAAAGTCAATACAAGGACTTAGGGCTGTGTTTGATGAGGTATGTGTCCATTGGGGGCATACAGACAGGGTTGTATGAAGTTTGTGTCCATATGAGGCCTACAGGCAGGGTGTTATGAGGTATTTGTCCATTGGGGGCCTACAGGCAGGGTGTTAGGAGGTATGTGTCCATTGGAACCCTACAGGCAGGGTTTTATAAGGAATGTGTCCATTGGGGACCTATAGGCAGGGGGTTATAAGGTATGTGTCCGTTGGGGGCCTACAGGCAGGGCGGTATGAGGAATGTGTCCATTGGGGAGCTACAGGCAGGGTGTTATGAGGTATGTGTCCATTGGAACACTACAGGCAGGGGTTTATGGGGTATGTGTCCATTGGGACCCTACAGGCAGGGGGTTATAAGGGATGTGTCCATTGGGGACCTACAGGCAGGGTGTTATTAGGGATGTATCCATTGGGGGCCTACAGGCAGGGTGTTATGAGGTTTGTGTCCATTGGGGGCCTACAGGCAGGGTGTTATCAGGAATGTGTCCATTGGGGACCTATAGGCAGGGTGTTATAAGGTATGTTTTCATTGGGGGCCTACAGGCAGGGTTTTATGGGGTATGTGTCCATTGGGACCCTACAGGCAGGGTGTTATAAGGAATGTGTCCATTGGGACCCTACAAGCAGGGTTTTATGGAGTATGTGTCCATTGGGGGCCTACAGGCAAGGTTTTATGAGGTATGTGTCCATTGGGGGCCTACAGGCAGGGTGTTATCAGGAATGTGTCCATTGGGGACCTATAGGCAGGGGGTTATAAGGTATGTTTTCATTGGGGGCCTACAGGCAGGGTTTTATGGGGTATGTGTCCCTTGGGGGCCTACAGGCAGGGGGTTATCAGGAATGTGTCCATTGGGGACCTACAGGCAGGGTGTTATGAGGTATGTATCCATTGGGGGCCTACAGGCAGGGTTTTATGAGGTATGTGTCCATTGGGACCCTACAGGCAGGGTGTCATAAGGAATGTGTCCATTGGGACCCTACAGGCAGAGTTTTATGAGGTATGTGTCCATTGACAGCTTCATGTTCTGTTTTATGAGTAGAAAATATACCATTTCCTGGACCTTAACGCTCTAAATCTTAATAATTTGTTAATTTTAATATGAACCGTCTTCATATGACCTTGGCTGTTGTGAGGATAATCAACAGCAAATAAGCAACAAACATTTTAATATGAAATGAGAATTCTTAGATAAAGAGAATGGTACTACGTTGAAGAAAGTAAAAATAATATCTTTTAAGTCGAGGGTCAGGGCTGCCATTACTATTAATAGATTTTCTACTTCTGTTGACAGACATACCCTGATCCTGTACGTGTGTTGTCTATAGGAGTGCCTGTGGAGGACCTAGTTAGTGACCCTATGGGACCTGCTGCCTCTCTTACCTCTGTAGAGTTCTGTGGGGGCACGTAAGTAACAATAAACCTTACCTACAAGATAGTATGACCACACCTCAAGTCAGAACTCAATATTTCTTTTGAAGCTCATGATGTTTATTTTTTCAGAAATTTTAAGGTTAGTTATTATATTTTTAGAATAATTTGTAACTTCGATCAGTGGGATATGTATTGCAGAAAGATGAAAGATTTTTTCCATAATTTGAAAAGGGCACAATATTACTATACTGTTCCTGTTTTTAACCATGACACCAAATTACTTTTCAGTCACTTACGTAGAGCAGGCCATATTGGAAAGTTTGTCATAGTAACAGAGGAGGCTATTGCTAAGGGAAGTAGGAGGATCACCGCGGTAACAGGAGCTGAAGCCACCAGGGTGAGGCTGCTACATTGCTTAAACTCAGAATAATGGTCAAACGTTCAGGATTGTCTTTCAATTTATACTGTGGTATCTTCTCATTCATTTAAGCATTGAACTGCTTTCAATTGGCATTCATAGGCAAATGAATACCAACTGGACAAAGGCAAATTCAATGAAACGAGCTAGTGCTTCATGTTGGATTTGCCTTTGTCCAGTTGGAATTCATACTGCCTATGAATGCCAACTGAAAGCAGTTTAATACTTATATTTACCATTTTTGGATCTGTTCATCTCATAGAAAAAGGCACTTTCTAGTTTTTTCAATGCCTCTGCTAGAAGTCGAAACCTGGATCCTCTTGTCTTCTAGTCTTACACTCTACCGAATGAGCTAAAGAGAAATTCTCCCTAGCCAAGTCAGTAGAAAGCAGCTAGAAGTTTACCAGGGTGACATTTCTATTGTCTTATATCAATGTTATGTGTGTGACCTGTTCTTCGTGTGTGACCTGTAAGTGAGGTCATGGTCAGTGTGTTCTATGTGACCGCTTAAGTGTATTTTGTGACCTCTTTGTTATATGACCTTTTTTGTGTGTTTGACCTCAATGCTCTGTGTATGACCTCAATGACCTGTATGTGACCTTTGTAGTCTGTTTAACCTTCAGGCCCTCCACAGGACAGATCTTCTGGACAAGAATGTTAAGAACCTCGCTGAAAAGTTTGACACATGTCTTAAGACCAAGGAGCTGTCAGAGAAGGAGCTCACTAAGATGATTGTACAGATGGATGATGTAAGTATTGGCAGTCTTGGTGATGTACAAAATCAACGTCACTTTTGACACTGTCTTCTATGTACTTCAGTAGGTGTTAATAATTCTGGGCCTTTCTATTGGTTTATTTGGTGAAGGCGAGTTCATTACTAAATACCTGATAAGCATCTCCTTATTAGGTTTGAACACTTTATAACTGTGATCATCACGTCTGTCTTAGCTGTTGTGAGGGCGTTAAACCCAATACAATATAAAGCATGTGACTGTCCATGCATTGTCATACTTAACCGACTGGTCCTCTGGCTGTTGAGGGGGTGACTGCCAGTAATGTGCTATCATACGTAACATGTAGCATTGTTTTGAAATAGATGTAATTCAATTGCCACTAGAGCTTGAAATCGCTCGCTACAGAGCCATAATTTGAAATGCATGTTGCTTAAAAATCAAAACATTTATCAAGGATGCACCTGTCCACCTACTATAACTGCACATAATTATTGCTTTTTGTGTGTCCATGGAAAGATTTATTACACAGGGTTAGCGGATATAACAACAGAAATCTAAGTATTAAATTTTTTAACCAGAACAAAAACTGACATCCACTATTCCGTCCTTTCGTATTGCAGAGTTATCTGCTCTTGTGAGCAGGTATTGGTTGTTACATCATTTGTTTGTGAGAGAAACGTCATACATTTTTGAGAAAACGACGTTATTTTCTCGCACAAACTAATGACGTAACAATCAATACCTGCTCACAAGAGCAGATAACTCTGTAATACGAAAAGATGGAATAGGGGTTGTGAACAATTCCGTGCATGTAGCAGTAGGAAAAGATAAGCATCAGTACCTGTAGTTTACATATGTACAGACAAACTTGATCCTATAACCAGGTAGATATCAGTGCCTGGAGTTTATAGATTTTTTTTTTATTATTAAGTATGAAATGTCATGTCTACAATTTTAGAGAATTAGGGTGATTCACAATAATTAATTGTTTCATGGTGAAGTTTTATTTTTTCCTGAAAGGTGACGATTTTTTTGTTAAATCATTGATGCAGATTATTTAGCATGCATTAATTCACAGGAAATCACCAAGTCTGTGATACCATACTGGCAGAGGGATCGACTCAGGGCTGACCTCAAACGGCTCAAGGGCAAACTGGACGACCTTGACAAATCAAGGAAGGCTGCAATTACTGCTGAGGTAATAATGACCAAGATTTGTTTAAATTTCAGTTAAACTAACAATATTTTCTAATCTTATTTTTTTTTTCATTTTTTTTTTAAAACACAAAAAAGGCTAGACTACAATTTTTAGTCACCCCTGGGGGAACCCCAGTGGGGACTATTAATTTCGGTTTCAGTCCCAGATTTTGACCTCTGTTGTCTTGGGCTGTTAAGTGTGTGCTTCTGTCGTAATATACCAGGCTCTAAGGCCAAAAAAAAAAATTACTTGATTCTCGGGTCATTTTTTTTTCAAAAGAGATGCGGCAGGGAAGTATTTTTTCTTTCTTCAGATTACATGGCAAAAATGAGACGAGGTCGATTTTATTTTTATTGTGTAGTTTGTAAAACGTTCATTGTAGCCATTACCTTGTCTTTTTATAGTTGTGTAGAGACCCATCATAGAGCAAGCCTCCGAAAATCCCCCCACGTTGTTCCAGACGAGAATCACGAACCCCCCATCCCTTATTTGTAAGGAAATGAGCGCCATTTGTACTCGAGACTGTTTTCGAGGATTTTCGGAAATGTTTTGAAATATGCTCGCAGCAATATTTAAAACTATTAAATTTCGTTAAATAACCCCTGATTGCATTGCCAATTTAACAATTACGAAAAGTTGCAAGTTTAAGTCATATTATACGATAGAATGAGATAAATAGACTCCAGTAAAGTAGGTCCAACTGTTCAGGACGTTACGTTGTGAATCGATAAATACCACGTATGGGGAAACATAACGAAGAATTGCATCGCATTTAGCACTCTGGGGTTAAAATGTTGGGTAAAATCATGCTGAACTCTTCAATCTTGACAGTAGGAATGTGTCAAAATGTCATGGGTAAAGTTGCAAAGTTAGCAAGTTTGTGTACCGCAAAGAGTCAAGGTCGCGTGATACTATTAGCTGGCAGAAATTTACAAGGTGACATCCATGCGAATTGAACCGATAATGATAAAAGTTTGAGTTTGAAAAATAAATATTAACAGCTAAATACATTCCGAGCTTTTCTTTTTAAAGGAGAATTGCTTAAAACACAATTGTTTGGTGTTCTTCATGTCTCGCGAATTCGGCTGTTGGCGGTCCACGTCAAACCTGTTTGAGTGACTGCCTTAAAGCGTACACTCTGCCGATATTGATGACAGATTTGGTCGGATTTGCAGACGATCAGAAAACTACTTGGAAAAGTGTATTTCATAACAAAAACAAAAAAAAGATTTATCCCTTTATAAAATTGAATCTTTTCTGAAACTTATTGTTGTGAAAACAACATCGTTATTTTCCAATTACCTGTTCTGCCTTTGCCAGGTGACCGTGCCAGCGCGCAGATCTCCCCGTATTTGAGGTGTCAGTCAACGCTAACGTTATATTTGCGACATGCTTTCTTATTAATTCCATGTGTTGGCATAGATACCGGAACAGCATGTATATATTTACACCTGGTCATTGTTTACTATTTTGATTGACAGTTGAAAATATATCCGTTGTAGCTTGGTCAATGATTTATTGGAAGATGATCATACAGAATAATGGGGTGACTTTCATGTCATTCTGACATATTTCTAAAAAAAAAAAAAAATAGATTTGATTTCTGGGTAGTATTTAGGCATAAAGTACAATTTGATTTGAATACACTTGATATTGCAAATTTGCTTTTCATTGCACAAAATCAATGATATAGTCTTTGATGCAGCGAGATACTTTTCTCTTTGTCAGGTTGTCGAACAAACAAAAAAGATGATTGAGGCCAATCCAAACCAGTCATTTATTGTGCATGAATTTAAGGCTGGATCTAATGCGAAGGTGAGTATTCAAAATATAGTCATAGTTCATGACATTAACTCTAAAATCTTTGTCCCCCAGCAGTAGTTTAGGAGAGAAAGAAAGGTTTGCACAACCTGCATCACTTTCTAAGATGTCCCATGACTTACTGTATACTGATTCATTGTCCTTTGTTTACTGTGTGTAAGTTTGTTTGGAACATATTTCATTTATTTGGTCACTTCAATTTCCAAATTTTGTGTGTGAATCCTCTTGGAATTGCAGAAGGTCACATAGTGAAATTTTATTTGATACTTTACTATATGCAGAGTAATGGCCTTTTGTACAGTTCTGATGCCAAAGTTTGTCTGGAGGTGGGGGACTATGAGTGATTACAATAATTGCCTTGAGTGTGTAAGACATGATTTTTATTAGAATTAATTATGCAGGCTTTGAGGCTACTGTCAGTATATAATAGTCTAAGTATGTATAGCTATCCCCATCACAGTAATGACGAGACATTGTCAGGGTTATCAAAGGACAAATCTAGAAAGAAAAATGATTTTCTGTTTTGATGTATACATCATTACCTCCCTTCTTTGTCTCCAGTCACTGGATGCTGCCATGAAGCAGTACAAGACTTCCAGTCCTGAAACCTCTGCAATGTTTTTCTCTGTTGATAAAGAAGCTTCCAAAATTTTGTGTATGAGCTGTGTTCCTAAGGTGGGTACATACAAATATATGTAATTGTTGTTGTTCAGAGCATGTTCTAAAGTACGAGGTATTAGAAACACCTAACAGTTAGGAAAAAAATGAGATTAGGAACCATTATATTGTGAATATTAAGTGTATTTTTTCATCATAGTAATTATCTAGTATACAGCCAAATTAAAATTATCTGATATCAATGTTGCACATTGAACATGTTCACATGCTTGTTGATTTGTCTGCTTATTATACTTTGACCATAGACTCTACTTATAGTGGGAAAAAAATATTCATGGATAACAAGAAAACAGTTTCAAAGATTTAACCATGAGAACATTCATATATATATATATATAAAGTTTCTGTATCAAAGACAACAATTTGTGTTTCAGTCGTCCGTGTCCAAGGGACTCAACGCCAAGGACTGGGTAAATGAGGTTGTGCCTGTCATTCAGGGGAAATGTGGGGGCAAGGACCTAGCTGCTCAGGCGACTGGCTCAAACACAGACGGCCTCCAGGAGGCCATCAACATGGCAACCAAGTTCGCCCAAATGAAGCTTGTGTAAAGGAGTTGGCACATGTTTATTTATTGACCTTTTGACCTTTACAAGACCAATTTGAATGACACTGTACATTACTGGATGTACAGTTGGATATATAGAGGTGATGAGCAACATTTCTACGCCCAATATGTACAATAAACACATAATCGAGGGTACTTCCGACGGTATAACATTCTAAGTGCTAAAAACTTGTTACAGATTACTTCTGCAAGGAATAACTTTATTAACATGCAGTCATATTTGGTTTCGAGAGATTTTTGATATTTGTAAAATTTGAATTCATACCTCACAATACGTAATAACTTAAACTTTTATTCTCTTTTAGTTGGGCATGAAATGCCCTTTGAGGATTTTTGTGATATTTGATATTGCTCAACATAGCTTTTTACATATATCAACTTTGCTGATTATATAAGATTCCTGGTCTGCTGTTGATGTATAGTTTAGTTTGAGAATCTCATCAGTAATTTAGTTTGAGAATCTCATCAGTAACAGTTAACTATCTTAGTAATACTGGATGCCACGTTTAGATGGATTGTGACGATGATGATGATGATGATGCTCAGCATTTCTCACCTCAGTAACAGGTCAGTTCACCCGTTTTCCTGTGCAGAATGAACACTTCGGGACTATTGCTAGTGTCAAAAAGAACATTTTATTTATGATCTTATTAAAAGAGGAATTAATCATCTTTCCTTGTGTATGTTGCCCAAAGGATGTTGGTCCCAATAACAGGGGAATGGGGTGTTAGATGAGAAATCAGTTTTTGTTCTGTTGATAGTAAAGGTAGAAATTGTTGCTAAGTTCATGTGTACTAAATCAGCAAGAAATGCATGTGTGAACATAAATCTGTGCAATACATGCTAGGTAGAGCAGATGTTGGCTTTGAGATACATTGCTTTTGTTAATCTTTATATAATTGTTTTACTGTTGGAAGACCTGTTTGTTAATTTAGGATTTTTCCAGATTCGTTTAGTGGGATGCAATTTAATATTTGAAATATTAGAAAATGATGGGTGGGACAGGGATATATATTTTTAGATCAGATCTTTTTAATTTGATAAGAGAAAAAAATTGTCTCCCAGGAATCACTCTAAAAATTAGAGCACAGTCCTACAGAATTCAGGTAATTCCTGCTAATCAGTAAAGTTTGTTGAATGACTTGTTATGTGAACATTTATAACAGCAAAGTTTAGTGTTACATGCATCTGCACATTCGATATCGCTTCACTCTGATGTTGTAAAGCTGTTCAGCACGATGCCTTATGTTTGATATTACAGGTATTAGTAAATTTTAGCTTATAGTATAGGGATGGGATGGTAATCTATATATGTTTACATTTCCACTGCAAGTTCCTCAGTAAGCATTACCAGAAGGAATTACGTTCATAGGGCTATGAATGGAATTCGATCAGCATCATTTTGAAGCTTTTCATCTCGCCTCAAAAATATGCGAGACAAATGTTACAGATCTTCAATAAGATTCATCAGTTTGGAAATATATAACATGGAAGTTTTACGTTAAGCTCAAACAATGTCAATGTACCTATTAAACGTGTCGCGACATTTCAAGACCGAGTGGTCCCTTTAATACATTAATATGTACATTGTTTGTGTATGAAGTAAAACTGTGATAGAATTTGTTACAGATGTAGAAGCAAACATTTTGTTATTGAGATGTATATTACATCATGCTGTTAGTGTCCCAGTCTATTGGTGATGAGCAGGCAATTCCTACTTTCATGACAATATCCTAGATTGGCTTGCAATTTTGTCTTAAAATGTGTCCTAAAACTTGGTCCAAATAAGAATTAAGATGCAAATTATATGATCATCATTAAATTTGATTATCAATGAATTTTTCGGTCTTTTTGTTGTTTTTGAATATGTAATATTGATACATGTTGTATAGAAGAGGGTGTGATCTGGGCAATAATATTTTAAACGTCTATGTCTTTGCCCCTTGGAATGTAACGTTCTATTTTATGTCAATCTTTCTACACAAAATAACACAAACAAAAAGAAGTATTTGAATTTTAATTGTGAATATGTGCACACCAGTGAACTATACTCGTGTATCTGGACAACAACTGGACCATGAATAATAGTTACCCAGGATAACATCACAACAAGAGATGTTCAGCACAAACACTGCAGGGCCATCCATAATCTACGATTAAGTCAACTTATTGTAGATAAAAGAACACTGTTCATGAAGTTCATACAGATGTTAATTGATAAATTCTACTCAGATGCTTCTTTTCTCTCTATTGGAATAGTAAGATTGTCGTCCTTTAGATTTGAAATTTTTGAAGTTCTTGGACTTGTCTCTTTTCTTCTGTCTATCTGCTGTGTTTTGTTCTTTCTGATCTGGCTTTTTGACCAAGTCCAGTTCCGTCATCATTTTCATAACATGTTTCTGTCAAAATACAAGCACAAAATAAAGCTCTTGCCTACCGACATGTATTTATGTATCTGATCTGATCAGAAACACCAAATTTCGATTGCAAATAATATTAACTTTATTTTATAACAAGTTAAATAGAAATAGAGGTTCCCCAACGAGTGATGGTTGGTTATAACTCACTTTTATCAGACTTGGAGTTCGTAATTTTTTTAATGATCCTTAATGTAATTGTTTGTCCTCATATTGACAATTGTGTCCGACTTTTCCTTCTAAAGTGTACTTCATCAAGTTTAACGGATCATTCCGCACATCTTCCTCATCACACAACTGGTTCCAGTGAGAGAGTATTGTGACCCTTGATTTACCTAGCCTTATAAAGCCTTGTCAGGTCCTCTACTCCTGAAGTGTAAGACTGAATGCAATGAACTTTGCAAACATCTTACCTATTGCATAAACCTGTGCCTGTCCAACAGCCATGTTGTTCTAAATCTATTTCTGATATAGAGTTATGCCCCTTGATGTGTTTATCTTGCATGTTGTAAAGTTCCTTAGTTATTGCATTGATATTCTGAGAATACCTTCTTCAACCAATAAATTGAAATAGGGAGAATGCATTTGCAGATAGCAACCTTTATGGTATTTGGGACATATATGCATTGGGTTATAATCTTGTACACATCTAAACAGTTCTAGTTTGTTGGGAAACACACTATGTATGCAAAGAAAAAATATCTCTAAGTGAGGGACATCTTAAACTAAACACTTGATATCCGTTGGGTGGTCTGGTGGTGCACTTGCCTTTCATCAAGGCGTCCGGGGTTCGATTCCCCAATCGGACGTGAAAAGGTTTAGGGTCACCTGCCCGACCACGTGGGGTTTCTCAAGGTACTTCGATTTCCTCCCACGCTAAGACCCCCCCGCGTTAACATCCGGGCCAACAAGAGTGAATAATAGAAGTTGAAATAACTTGTTTCATAATTGTTGTAAAATAAATAAAGTTTATATATATATTTGTTGGGTTGTGCAAACGTAACACTCATTTGTAAACAGTTTTGTTGTAAACTTGTAGTTTTAGGTGTTGTATATGGTGTTGTATACGCACTGCCATTTCTTTGTTTTCCTCTCGTCTCCGAAGCTGTCCTCTACTTAGTGGTGTTGGTCTGCCATCTACAAATGTTTACAATAACAACAGGATACTTTAATACACAGTATGATTATTCTGCAACTTAAGCAAAGTTAACCTATGTTTTAATTTCTAGATCTGGAACAATTTATTCTACTGTGTTTGAATATCTAAATCTGAAACAGTTTATATTAAAAAGCAGTCAATCAGTATTTAGCATGGTTTTATGAAAATCCTTACAAATTTGAAGACGTTAACTGTAACAGGGAGGACTTGAAGGTTTTGCATTATCAAATACATGTATTGATATATAATTCCCATGCTTATCTTCAAAACTGTTCACAGTATAACACTTTTCTTGTCCAGAAACTGTTTAGAGATGTAGATAATGTATAGCTTGCTGGTGATATTTACCTAGATAGGTGTAATCAGGCAGGTCAGTGAGGGGGCCATAAGTGGAGCCGTCCATAGCTTTACCCTGTCTGTATAACAAAACCAAATATCATAATAAAATATCAAGGTTTAGAGAACATTACACAAAATCCTATAACATATATCATACAGTATTTCATTAAATTGACAAGACAGTTGCCACACTTAAATTGAAAGAATTTAGATGGTTAATAGTTGACACACTTAAAAGTCAAAGAAATGTCATGTCTTATTTATCTAGGTCCAAACTTTGTTACTTAAAGATAGCTAGTCTTATTATTTTTTAGAATAAGTTTTAATTTGCAATGCTAAAATTGACAAAATCATAACTTCTGTATTGCACCTCTAACCTAATATTACATTAAATAATTATCTGTATTTATTCTTTTCACTCCAATATATATAACACCAAATTCTGCTTTTATCTTACATGTTAATATTCTTAACGTGTTAGTTTTGCTGTTTTTTCTTAAAACCGACCACACAAGTACATGTACTTACTTAATTCTCCAGTTTCCACCAAATTTTAAACTCTTCCATTCTGCACCACTACTCTTTCTGCATGTGACAGATGTTGAACCGAAATTTCTAGCTGCCTCACGTGGAATTATCAAATGAACTAATCTATTCAAACCTAGAAAGAAAAATAATAATTTACATGTATTGTTGGTGTAACTCATAATCCATACAAACTACACCTGGAAGAAGAATGTTACGGAAAGAAAAATGATCTCTTCACCGATACCAAATAATTTATATACACCAACCAGAAATAGGATTTTGTAACCAGAAAGTAAGGTTGGATCAAATTTCAGCATTAAGTAATTTTCACCTTTATAGTATTTGTGTTTAGTATTTTTACCATGTGTTATCTAAACCCTAATCTGATATTTGTTACTCCCTACACACCAGGATAGCCCCAGACATATCTACTGTTACTAATTCTCGGGTCCATGTGATAAAAAGAGGCCCAGAGGGCCTGTATCGCCAATATGGATATGTTTAAAGTACTTGATATGAGGTAAAGAGATATAGCGAGAACATTAACTTCAAATGTCAAAATCAAAGATGGCGGCCTGGTGGCCATTTTGTTTTAGTGAATACACCCTAATAGTAACAGGCAATACTAGACAACTTAATGGAGACAAAATTGGGATAAAATCCTGTAATCCCTATGGTAGAAGAGGATTTTACCTCTATTTCCCCTATTGGGCCATGCCCCTCTGCCCTGGGGGCCACACCCACCCTTTTTACCAAATTGTGTGCCCTTGACCCAAGGATCCTGTAGACCAAATTAGAATGAAATCCTTCAATCCCTATGCTAGAAGAAGGATTTTAAGTTTACCTCTATTTCCCACATTTGAACCCAACCCTCTGCCCCCAGAGGGGGCACACCAACCGTTTATACAAAATTGAGTACCCTTTGAAACAAGGATGCTCCAGACTAAATAAGGATAAAATCCCTTAATCCCTATGGTAGAAGAAGGATTTATAAGGTTTTACCTCTATTTCCCCTATTGGGGCCCACCGTTCATATAAAATTGACAGTTCACTATACTGCACATTTTATATGTGTGCTGCAGGTATACTGCAAGTTTCTTTATGATATCTTAAACAGTGTAAAAGTTATGGCTTGTGCAGGCTTTTCCTGAAAGCTGCTAATATTTGACCTTTGATCTTGACGTAAACTCAAAGTGCACTTCAAAACTCTATGAGGGTGATGCAGGTAGATTCATAGATTCATTTTAGTTGTTTAAAAATTACAACCAAGACTAGATATATAACTAAAGAGGATCCAATGACCCCTTGACCTTTGAGGTCAAGGTCAAAGAGATCTATTGACAGTGAGGGTATATCATCAAGATATCTTAAAGGTTTAGAAGTTACGGGCAAGACCAAAAAAATCCAGAAAAACAACCAGTATACTAACATTATTGTGTTCATTTGATGGGGAGACATTACATGGTGTTGATTGGCTGGTTATTTTAGGGAAATATGGCTGCGCTTTCAGCCACTCACATCACGGGTTTCGATCAGCATGTGGCCGGCATCAATCTCAAAAATATGCAAAAGGTGGCTCTATGACCTGCACATGCCTTCTGCCAGTATAAAATATACTTTCTTCTGATCTACATTTGTTGCCATGTATCATTTTCATCTCCAAGCAAATCATTATATAAATGTGTTATTATACATAAATGCCACCTTCAAGAACACCTGATTGCAACAATTACACTCATACCCATGAGCTCTGTCGCAGTAATCGGAAGAAGAATGACCGACCTCTATGAATGTGAAAAAAATTGGAAAGGTACGTACAGTGTTGGAGGAAACCAAGAACATGTCTGTGGAACGAAAATACATTTTTCGTGAATACAAGAGGTTTTTAAAAGAAAAATTGTCCATCTTTCCAACAGTACTAGTTAAATCGCTAAAACGTGTAAAAATACTCTTTTAACACATTAGCTTGGGTCCAAATATAACTAACAAATTCGCAGGTCCCTGTGATCAAACCGATATCGTGGACGATATCCAATGGTGAGTACGATCTTGCTGGAACGCTAAGAACACCGTGGCCTCTCACAGTACGAAAAAATAGTCCCACAATTAAAAAAAAAATCATTAATCAGTTATTTAAAACATACTTACAATGCCTATACATGGTAAGCCAAACACCCAATCTCGCTAAACGCAATGCAAAGTATAGCCGGAAGCGGTACCGGGTAGTATAATATACGAATCGTATGTATGTGCCCGATCCGGGTGCTGTCAAAACATAGGGAGTGATCACTGCGGATCCAGTTATGTCTAAGGCGTTACAGGTCCAAGGTACAGTTCCTATGTTTTATTCTTCTTATGCAATGCTATAGATCGGATCATTTGCTGCCAATATAGTGTAACCACGGACTTAGATAATCTAATTCCGTGGTGTAAATCATTATATGGCTTAGCCTAGTTTGTTAAACATTAACTTTATTTACTGTACTGTACCACAGGAACTTGTAAAAACTGTAAAACTTAAGGTTTATTAGGCCTATATATTTTTACTTCGTTTTGCTATGTATTTTTGCAGGATTGCAAAATAGACACGTTTTACCAAACATGCCTGTACTATATATAGTGATGTGCAATTTAAGTTTCTAACATTATGTCAATTTCCCAGTGTATATCTATATATAATTTATATTCTATAACAGTAGCAGTGGAGTGGACTGGGTTGATCACTGTCGACCAGGTTCATGGCATATGTAGTAGGACGAGGAATTAGTTAGTGATAAAGATAGTGCCGTCGCTGGAGCTCGAACCCACAACCCTTGGCTCTCCAGCCCGACACTCTAACCGCTGAGCTAAAGGGAAATCCTTTACACTATTCCCCTTTCTTCTAACACCAACCCAGAATCTTTGACTCCCTGCCAAGGGTTCTCCTACCTTGAACAGGGAGGGTCAACATCACCAGTTTGTAGTAGGACGAGGAATAGTGATAAATTAAAGATAGTGCCGTCGCTGGGGCTCCAACCCACCACCATTGGCTCTCCAGCCCGACACTCTTTCTGCTGAGCTAATGGGAAATCTTTTACACTATTCCTCCCTTTTTTCAAACACCAACCCAGTTTGTTGTAGGACGAGGAATAGTGGTAAAGATAGTGCCGTTGCTGGGGCTTGAACCCACGACCCTTGGCTCTCCAGCCAGATGCTCTACCGCTGAGCTAAAGGGAAATCCCTTATGTCTGACGTTTGTAAGGCAACCTAATCAATCCACGTACATCTTTTATACATGCAGTCCAGAGATTGGAAGTCTCTGGTTTGAACCCCATCTGGTCATTGCAATTTTCTTTTCTTGTTACATTTGATGCCCAACTTAAAATACCCATGGATGCTTATAAGCTAGTGTATAGGATCTTGTGCATCGTTGGGAACAAAGATTTTGTTGAAAAACCTATATAGCTCTATAAAGACCTGTAATAGTTGTATCGACCTATCTGAAATACAATGTCAGTCTTTTGAACTATTTTCACGTAATTTTCAATAAAACAGATTTTTTTTTTTAAATGTTGTAAAGAAGTTTGAATTTTTACTTTTCCTTTATGGAAAACAAATATATACCTCTTACTGTTATTGCTTTTCGTTGTCAACATTTCCATAAAACCTATTCACATATGTATAGTTTTATGCAACTTTGCTGAATTTTTATCAAAACTAAAATCTAAGAAAACATAGCTCCAGTGTTCTCCCCAGGCTGTATTTGCAGCATGGCACCATGCTCCTATAATTTCTTGCCATGCTGCTATCCTAGATCTTCTCTGCTATATATTCATAGTAAATCTAAAGTTACCATGCTGCTTTGATTTTTCATAGAGTGCTGCTTTTACAGAAATATTGAAATAACATGCTTCTTTCAAAACAATTTTGGGAGAACACTGAGCTCAATATAGCTATAAATTATAGGTGGTTATAGCTATAGTGTAGGTCTTTACAGCTGTATAGCTCAATTGTTGAAGAGTTAATAGGCCAAATATATATATAATGGGCTCACTCAGGTTTTATGCTGCAACAGTCACAGTTAGCTATTTACCTCAACAGGTCATATTTTTTTTTCATTAAATGATAAAATGTTCAATTCAAGAAAAGAAATTAATATTTATTTATCTTTTATTCCACACAGGTCGGTCCATCTTGTATAGAATGCCGACCCATTTCTGACTGTCCTCTTTAATGAGACATGGATGCTGCTAGTTGCTTTGAGCTACAGAGCTGGTCAACACTTCCTGACCACATAGTGGTGCAAATACTCCTGCATCTTGGCCCTACCGACCGTTACAATGCGTCACTTGTCTGCCACACATGGCAGACTTGCTTTAACCAGCCCTGTCTGTGGCGCCACTTTCACTTCCGTTTTCTGTCTACTGTGAACCCAAAAAAGGACCACATGTTAGGCTACAGTCAGTTCCTAGCCAAGCATGGGCACCACCTGCGGGGTATAAGGCTCACACTAGATCAGAGTGACCAGGAGAACAGACACTACGCCTGTCGTGTAATTGAGTTGCTGGCTACTTCGGCAGGTCGTCAGCTGTCAGCCATTACGGTTACGTTTACTGGTGAGAACCCTTTATTCTATGCGGGAGCTGAATTTGTGGCTGCCTTGAGGGCGTTGTTTGGTCCGACTCCACCTACCATTAGACCACCATTGTCACAGATCTTACATGTAGACCTGAGTGGTCTCACTGCAGCATATGACGATTCTGTTTTTACAATTTTGGCTGAAAACCATCCAAACTTACAGTCGTTAAACATTCTCAACAGAATGTTGATTTGTAAGGTGAGTCCCTCTGCGATACTATATCTTGTTCAGAAGTGCAGAAAATTAACAGAACTAATGGCGTACCATTGCAGTTTATCGGACGACATTCTTGCATGTTTCGCGGAAAGTGACAGAACCCCTGTGGAACATCTGGAAATAGTGTGTAGAAGGGAAGAGAAGTACAACAAAACACTGACGTCTGAGGTGTGGCAAGGCCTGGTGACCGCTGTACCTAACCTCAGGGTCAGTCTGGGATTTGACCACACATGTCCACTTAACAGAGTGAAAGATCTAATGCAGCCAGATATCCCGGTTAGAGATCTCAGACTTGAAACTTTCACAAGGATCTTTGAGGAGGTGAACCTTGCTGCAGCCTTCTACAGTTCCACCTTGGAGAAGCTTGTCCTACAGACCAGAAATTCTGACGAGCTTGGAGCAGCTCTCCTTAACTTAGCAAGGACATGCAAACTGCTGAAATCCATATATGTTTATTGTGCGCTAAAGAAAGAGGTTGTGGAGGGGATTTTGGCCTCCTCAGCTCTGATTAAGGAAAAGAAGGACTACATACTGAAGTGGACAGCTGACCCAGAGCCCTGGGTGGTAGGGGTAGAGGAAGGTGATTAGAGTATGGGTCATAGTTCATAGAGGTAGAAGAAGGGGATTAGAGTATGGGTAGAGGAAGGGGATAAAATATAGGTCATTGGTTGTAAGGGTAGAAGAATGGGATTAGAGTGTGGGTCATAGGTCATAGTGGTAGATGACAGGGATTAGAGTATGGGTCATAGTGTAGAAATTTGGATTAGAGTATTGGTCATAGGTCATAGAGGTAGTGGAGTGGGGTAAGAGTAGGATTTATAAGCAGTAATAGTAGCTATAGTTGTTTTCATTAAAAAGGTTCTGATTTCTAAACTCCAGCAAAGAGTTATGACATATCAAATTTTAACTTATTACACAAACCATGTAAAATTTACATATTTAACATGTCACATGGTTTCAAGACAGGCTGGTCCCTTTGTCAAGCTATGACTGTGTGAGTGGTTTGTATTGTTCACCTGTACAATTATGTGACAAAATTGTATATATTTCTCATGTCACTCAACTAGGGATGTTTTGCCTATCGATAGGGACTGTATACACATGTTATCAAATAGGTTACTGGTAGGGTGTAGATCTAGCCCCCTCTCCCATTATGTCAGTATCGGGTCATACAGATGACTCCGCTGGTATCCCCTCTCATCTCTGTTCATGTTTCGAGTTTTCCTGATTTTGATTGCTTATTTGATTTGTCTCGTTTTGATATGTTTTGTTATGAGAAAGTTATACATTTTCTCCATTAAATGTTCTGTCAGATAGATATTTATACATTGTATGGTTGAATCTTGCCTAGTGTAGATTTTGAGGAAGACGTACGTAACACGACATTGGTTTTCTGTACATGCACATAACCAATCAATACCTCTGTCACTTATATAACAACCATAATGTACTGTCAAGTAATGTTAAGCTCAATCTTCTACACTTGTTACATTAGAAGTAGATGTGCTAATATACAAATACATAACACATTCTTTAGTATCTCTGTTAACATCATGTACACAGTGAAATTTCATCCTAGTAATATTAAAACCCCACAAAAATGTCCGACAGTGTGGTCTGGTGGCGCAGTGGATACTAGATAGCGCACTTGCCTTTCACCAAGATGGCCAGGGTTCAACTACCTGATCGGACGTGAAAAGGTATTGGGTCACCTGCTCAACCATGTGGGTTTTCTCCCTCATGAAGTCCCTCTATACACTTCTATCTGGGCTAACAAGAGTGATTAGCATGAAGTCCCTCTATACACTTCTATCTGGGCTAACAAGAGTGATTAGCATGAAGTCCCTCTATACACTTCTACCTGGGCTAACAAGAGTGATTAGCATAAGCTGAAAAATTAATGTTTTATAATTATTTGAAAAAAGATTATGTACATTTATTCCAGGAAAGACACTGCAAGCTTTTATCCCTTTAATATACACTCCATTGTATTTATTTAAATATTGTGCAGATTTTACATTTTGTAAACTAACTAAGTAATTTGCTTCATATCTTTTTGTGAAGTACTTTTTTGTGTAATTATACTGAAGGATTTAAAAACTGAAAGAACCTCGGTGAGTGATGTATGCTGTATAACCATTAATTCAATGCTTCTTAATTGTAATGGTTGAATGTCTTTTGGTGTACATTTATTGTTTATTTACTAAAGGTTGAACCTAATTAATATAGATATTGGATAACTCAGCTTTTATGACATCAATAGTTTAGTCTTGTAGAGTATCAATTTTAATCACATACAAATTGTTTTCATATATTTTGAGTCATAACCCATTGATTAAATATTTTTTTAACATGCAAGTTATATATAATTTTTTAAGCAATATTTCTCTTTAGCATACATTTTTCTATGCCTTGGAGTGTTAGTTTGTGATTTGTTTTAGATATTGTGTATGCTATTTATAGCTATATACACAGTCGTATGACAATAATTGGTGCTATTTATATGTACAAGAGCATACATATTCTCCATTTATGTTTAATATCATCTGTGATGAATTTGCTGAAGAAATGTGAGTTGATTCATGACAAAAATAAAGCGACTTAATGTGTATCGTGTATCTTGTTATTTTGGGGGTTTTCAGAGCTCTAATTAAATGATTCAGAAGATGAAAATAATATTTATATAATATGTCTGCTTTTTTGAAAACATTTTCCGTGGTACAAAAACAGAGAAGATTTGAATGGCGTTTCACGGTATGTCTATTATTCTACATACAGTGCAAGACAGATTTATTTTTCAGTTTTAAAGAGGATTGGGGTAAAATCAGCATGGGTCATATTAAAAGAAATCCTTCTAAAAGGTCAAATTCGAAATTAAGCAGAGTGTTCTTTAAAAACTAAATAGAAGCTAGCTGAATTTCTAAAGCAGGTATTCTGTTATACCTACTTAATACAGTTAAGACTAGTAAGAAATCACTAATGGAAAGTCCATGAAAAACAATAAAATCCCTGTGGCACATTGGAAGTAGTTTCCTAACACAGGTGGTCAACTTATAGAAGTGGTCACTGTGAAGTAGTTTCCTAACACAGGTGGTCTACCTATAGAGGTGGTCCCTGTGAAGTAGTTTCCTAACACAGGTGGTCTATTATAGGGGTGGTAACTGTGAAGTAGTTTCCTAACACAGGTGGTCTATTATAGGGGTGGTAACTGTGAAGTAGTTTCCTAACACAGGTGGTCTACCTGCATGTATAGAAATGGACACTGTGAAGGAGTTTCCTAACACAGGTGGTCTACCTATAGAGGGGGTCACTGTGAAGTAGTTTCCTAACACAGGTGGTCTATTATAGGGGGGGTCACTGTGAAGTAGTTTCCTAACACAGGTGGTCTACTTATAGAAGTGGTCACTGTGAAGTAGTTTCCTAACACAGGTGGTCTACCTATAGAGGTGGTCACTGTGAAGTAGTTTCCTAACACAGGTGGTCTACCTATAGAGGTGGTCACTGTGAAGTAGTTTCCTAACACAGGTGGTCTACCTATAGAGGTGGTCACTGTGAAGTAGTTTCCTAACACAGGTGGTCTACCTATAGAGGTGGTCACTGTGAAGTAGTTTCCTAACACAGGTGGTCTACCTATAGAGGTGGTCACTGTGAAGTAGTTTCCTAACACAGGTGGTCTACCTATAGAGGTGGTCACTGTGAAGTAGTTTCCTAACACAGGTGGTCTACCTATAGAGGTGGTCACTGTGAAGTAGTTTCCTAACACAGGTGGTCTACCTATAGAGGTGGTCACTGTGAAGTAGTTTCCTAACACAGGTGGTCTACCTATAGAGGTGGTCACTGTGAAGTAGTTTCCTAACACAGGTGGTCTACCTATAGAGGTGGTCACTGTGAAGTAGTTTCCTAACACAGGTGGTCTACCTATAGAGGTGGTCACTGTGAAGTAGTTTCCTAACACAGGTGGTCTACCTATAGAGGTGGTCACTGTGAAGTAGTTTCCTAACACAGGTGGTCTACCTATAGAGGTGGTCACTGTGAAGTAGTTTCCTAACACAGGTGGTCTACCTATAGAGGTGGTCACTGTGAAGTAGTTTCCTAACACAGGTGGTCTACCTATAGAGGTGGTCACTGTGAAGTAGTTTCCTAACACAGGTGGTCTACCTATAGAGGTGGTCACTGTGAAGTAGTTTCCTAACACAGGTGGTCTACCTATAGAGGTGGTCACTGTGAAGTAGTTTCCTAACACAGGTGGTCTACCTATAGAGGTGGTCACTGTGAAGTAGTTTCCTAACACAGGTGGTCTACCTATAGAGGTGGTCACTGTGAAGTAGTTTCCTAACACAGGTGGTCTACCTATAGAGGTGGTCACTGTGAAGTAGTTTCCTAACACAGGTGGTCTACCTATAGAGGTGGTCACTGTGAAGTAGTTTCCTAACACAGGTGGTCTACCTATAGAGGTGGTCACTGTGAAGTAGTTTCCTAACACAGGTGGTCTACCTATAGAGGTGGTCACTGTGAAGTAGTTTCCTAACACAGGTGGTCTACCTATAGAGGTGGTCACTGTGAAGTAGTTTCCTAACACAGGTGGTCTACCTATAGAGGTGGTCACTGTGAAGTAGTTTCCTAACACAGGTGGTCTACCTATAGAGGTGGTCACTGTGAAGTAGTTTCCTAACACAGGTGGTCTACCTATAGAGGTGGTCACTGTGAAGTAGTTTCCTAACACAGGTGGTCTACCTATAGAGGTGGTCACTGTGAAGTAGTTTCCTAACACAGGTGGTCTACCTATAGAGGTGGTCACTGTGAAGTAGTTTCCTAACACAGGTGGTCTACCTATAGAGGTGGTCACTGTGAAGTAGTTTCCTAACACAGGTGGTCTACCTATAGAGGTGGTCACTGTGAAGTAGTTTCCTAACACAGGTGGTCTACCTATAGAGGTGGTCACTGTGAAGTAGTTTCCTAACACAGGTGGTCTACCTATAGAGGTGGTCACTGTGAAGTAGTTTCCTAACACAGGTGGTCTACCTATAGAGGTGGTCACTGTGAAGTAGTTTCCTAACACAGGTGGTCTACCTATAGAGGTGGTCACTGTGAAGTAGTTTCCTAACACAGGTGGTCTACCTATAGAGGTGGTCACTGTGAAGTAGTTTCCTAACACAGGTGGTCTACCTATAGAGGTGGTCACTGTGAAGTAGTTTCCTAACACAGGTGGTCTACCTATAGAGGTGGTCACTGTGAAGTAGTTTCCTAACACAGGTGGTCTACCTATAGAGGTGGTCACTGTGAAGTAGTTTCCTAACACAGGTGGTCTACCTATAGAGGTGGTCACTGTGAAGTAGTTTCCTAACACAGGTGGTCTACCTATAGAGGTGGTCACTGTGAAGTAGTTTCCTAACACAGGTGGTCTACCTATAGAGGTGGTCACTGTGAAGTAGTTTCCTAACACAGGTGGTCTACCTATAGAGGTGGTCACTGTGAAGTAGTTTCCTAACACAGGTGGTCTACCTATAGAGGTGGTCACTGTGAAGTAGTTTCCTAACACAGGTGGTCTACCTATAGAGGTGGTCACTGTGAAGTAGTTTCCTAACACAGGTGGTCTACCTATAGAGGTGGTCACTGTGAAGTAGTTTCCTAACACAGGTGGTCTACCTATAGAGGTGGTCACTGTGAAGTAGTTTCCTAACACAGGTGGTCTACCTATAGAGGTGGTCACTGTGAAGTAGTTTCCTAACACAGGTGGTCTACCTATAGAGGTGGTCACTGTGAAGTAGTTTCCTAACACAGGTGGTCTACCTATAGAGGTGGTCACTGTGAAGTAGTTTCCTAACACAGGTGGTCTACCTATAGAGGTGGTCACTGTGAAGTAGTTTCCTAACACAGGTGGTCTACCTATAGAGGTGGTCACTGTGAAGTAGTTTCCTAACACAGGTGGTCTACCTATAGAGGTGGTCACTGTGAAGTAGTTTCCTAACACATGTGGTCTACCTGCATGTATAGAAATGGTCACTGTGAAGTAGTTTCCTAACACAGGTGGTCTACCTATAGAGGTGGTCACTGTGAAGTAGTTTTCTAACACAGGTGGTCTACCTATAGAAGTGGTCACTGTGAAGTAGTTTCCTAACACAGGTGGTCTATTATAGAGGTGGTCCAATAACTAAGATGATTTACCAGTGTCTTCATGTCAAACCCTTTTGGATAGAAGATCTGTATCATAATTAACTCATTCACCCCTACAGTTTTAAGCTGGAATTGCCCAGTATTTAATTTGGTAAGGTTCAAATATGACTTCAGGGGTGGATAGGTTAATAAGGTTATCTACTCCATCACCTGAATTATATGGGCTCACTGTACCACTGTGGAAATTTATATTTATATTAATTGTTAGTTAAAAAAAACATTGGATTGGACAAGATAATTTTCATCTCACATACCTGATTAAACCATACTAGAATTTACCTGTGATAAATCCTTCAGTCCTGTCCTAAGAAATAACTTAATTATTCTCTATTTCACACTTACATGTACAATTATTCAATTTTTTATTCAACCCAATATGCAGAATGGGCTTATTATCTTATTCAACTTTTGAGTCCACCTCTAAATTAACCTATAGACCAAACTTCTGTTTTAGGGTTTTGCTTTCTTATGACCAGTTTTTGGCATTTCAGTACTTGCCAAGTATGATAACTCATGGCTTTATAGTTGTTTAGTTATTGTTTTGAGTTTTTAACATAGCTGATCTCAGTTATCTTGATTGTTGATCAGTATTATTAATTTGCATCAACTTGTAAGCTCTCCACTGAAACAAAATCCCGACGAGATATTGTTACTTTAGCTCAAAATATTACTTTATTTGAAAGCAAATTTTCTATGATTTGATATGTTTGACCAATGAGACATTCAAAGAGGGTCAAGGTAATTGTATTGAATAGTTCAACACAACAATCTACAGTGCTTCATGGTTCTAAATAAGAAGTGGTTTTAAGGAAAAGATGACAGATTCCATATTACCGCGTAAGCTCAACCATACTTTTTACCAGGTGAAACAAAAAATCTGACGAGTGTTTACCATTATAAAAGCACATATACAGTTGAACTAAAGGAAGACCAAGAAAATATCTACCGTACCTATTTTACATTAAGGTCCTGTGATAATGGGGAATGTACACAAAAAGTAACTACAATCAAATAAATGATGTTAATACAGTTTATTGACATAATTAAGCTGCTGATCGACACTCGCATTAATGTCACTACATGTCATTAAGGTTCTGCTTAAGGGTAATTTGCCTAACTGTTAAATGCTAAATATTTCCTTACTTGTGCAAAATATATGACATTTTATGTAGTAAAAAATAAATAAATATACAACATTTGATATAGTGCCCTATCTAGCTAACATAAGCCACTCTAACGCGCTATACCAGGGTGTAGGGAATTTCATGTACATTTCAAATATGATATAGTTGATGTGATTTAGTACTGCATTATAAAAGATATGTGTTGTTCATGTTGCTTTTTCGTTGAAAAAATACAGATATTTGACAAGTTTAAAAAAAAAGGTGAATAAGTAAAAAAATAAACATGTCACATGTAAATGTAATGC